GCTCGAACGACGCGACCGGGCCGGGCCGCCGGTCTAGCGACATGTTATTAGCCGCGCTTCGCCGCTGGCCTAATTAACGCCGGCCACCTCGTAGTTTAAGTCGGGTCAGGTATTGAGCAGACGGCCGGGGCCATTGTCTTACCCGGATTGACTCATTCAATAGTTTTCGATAGGGAGCAAAGATAAAAGGGCCAGATAAAATTGGGTACCGGTCGCGGAGTGGCTCGAGCCATTCCGAGCTCGGTTACCCGGGACGGATAAAGATCGCACTGTACTCCCCGACTTCTTTAGATTTTTATCAGGGACCGGGCATTGATGAATTGTCCGGGGGCAACTGTCTCGTTACCCGGGGCCGGGTTACAAAGCTCAAAGGACGAACCGAGAAATCGCGATACAATGGCCGCTGGAAATTAGTACTATTTATCCTACAGCTTTCCGTATCGGTCGGCGGAGATGTTGCGGGAACTGGATCGTGTTTTGTACGGATGATCGAATCGAGATGGGAATCTTTGAATGTGGGTTTATAAGATCGGAAGTTGGAGTACCGATCGTTTTTCGAGACTAACGCTGTTTCGAACGTGTCAGGACACCTTTGGAATTTGAGGATTTAACGAATGGGACGTGTGGATTTACGTGTTTTCATGTTTTGTGAAATAGTGGGTATTGGTAGAAGTGCTAGATATGGAAATAGGTAATTTAATAAGATTGTATTAATAATGATATTAATTTAGTAAAACAGCACTGATTTAGAGACGTGACTGTAGGTTTATAGTTACTAAATTATACGATTGAGTAATATATTTATTAAATTATACAATTTCCTCGACAATTATCGGGACTGAAGTTAGTGTTTTACGTGAACACGTGATTACATTTGACTGCCGATTTATTAAATAAATTTTGCAAAAATTATTTACGACATATGAAGATGAACTTCGAAGATTTCTGTAGCGAAAATCAAAAAGCAGAATTAGATTGTAAAATTGAGGAAAATTACTGTTTCAGTATTTACCATGTTTTATTATAGATATAACTAGTTTCTTCTATCTACGGCAGATGTAATAGAATATTTAAATTCTGCTTTCATACCTATATCTTCGAAATTATTTTAAACGTTTTTGTAATACAGGGGTGAATGCACACGAATGCACTTCCGAGTTGCACAATACATTTTTCAATTATTAACACTACTGTTCCTTTGATTCCGGTTTTACAATATTGCCTTTGAAAAATTCGTCGATTCATTCACACTCTACTAACTTTTACATTCGGTTTGTCCTAAGATGTAACTTTGTAAAATGAAACGTTACTATACATTTTCCATTTTACACATGAACTCGTTTCCTTTTTAATTGAATTACAGTGTAGAACATTCTGTGACTGCAGAAATACATAGGTAAATGACAATTTCAAATAAGGAAAAACGATGATTTCGAAACACACTTTTTCCCGTGATATTTATATAAGGAAACGTTGAAAAAATAATTGATCAAAACGTTCCCTTTGGAACGATGGAAAATAGATGTTCGGTAAACAATTAAAAAGTACGGTTTATTAATTCGAGTCACCTTATTTGCTTTCAATCAACGTAATGCTCGGCAGAACTAACAATTTCATACGGACCGAGATAAACAACGAAATATGGATATTTGCATTTTAAAACCGACGCGTGCGACGTGTATAAACTTGTCGGCGTCTAATAAAAAAAATATATTGTCGTTGGGCAGTTATGAAAATACTATTTCAAAGCGGCGCCGAATCAATTCGTGGAGATCCCGAGCCGGAATTGTGGACATTGAATGTTTCATAGGATCCTGAATCAATCGCTTCGAAATCGTAGCGAGCGGGAAATATGATTTATAGAGATTCGCGATATTAAAATTTCAAGGCAGGATATACTGCTCCGCGGCAGTGAAATTGCATTTCCACGGTGTAACTTTACGATTTCTTTGGATTTTATTGGCTAACGCTTCAAAACGTGCCCGGAGCCTAATAAAGCTAACTTCCTGTCGTACGTCTGCGTATAATACGCTCTAGAATCTTTGAAATTTAACTTGAATATGAAGGTGAGGTTAGAATAAAGGTTAATCGAAAGGTTAATCGTATCTTTATAATTAATTTGTCATATTAAATTGTATTCCATTGTATTAGTCATAATTAATTATAGAATATATTACGCATTAGTTAAAATACATAATTATATACATGAATGAATGTAATTATTATCATTTAGAATTCAAAATTTAACACACTCTTGGAAAGAAGGAGAAAGCAATCGAATGATATATGTGAAACGAATATAACATCATGAAGAAATTAGGAAATATTAAGAAAGATTATTTAACTCGTCTTTCAGAAAATTTAACATACTACCAAACAATAATACTTCGCATTCAATGACAGATTCTTAATTAACGTCCAACTATTAATATTGTTTTCTATTACCAAAGTGTTTCTTGCGACAACTGCCTCGTCAAGTCACTTATTTTCCGAAATGTTACAATATGTAACATTTAAATCCTACGAAAATTCAGTTACACTATTGTAATATGGCGTCATTACCCTAATTGTACTCTCAAGCCACTAATTCCCACGGTCGAAACGAACCGACATTAATTTCCCGAAGAACGATACAATAAACCAGAACAAACGTCCATAAACCTAATGCGGACCATTCGGAATGCTTATCGCGCGAGCCATGAATTATCTTGACGCAATATCAGCTGTTCTATATGTAAACGGGGGAGAAGCATAAGGAAATCCCGGAATATCCTTCGCCGGCGCCGTGAACGTATACGCGAACGTAAACCGCAGCGGTGACAGGTGATTCTGATAGCGCCGGACTCGTTTCCGCGTATCTTTCGAAAAGCGACTTTGAAGAAAAATCAATATGGAATGCACGGGCGCGCCGTCCGTTTGAACAAACAGCTCGCTCATCGAATTTTAATGTGCGTTTCCCAGTCGCGGATACACGTGGAAACCGCGGCGTCTCGAATCGCAACTTTTTTAATATCGGCCGACCTAGCGTCGCACGTATATGCTCAGGTACAGATTAAACTTGAGACGCAAACCGCGGATGCATTACCTTCGCGCAACTTATGAAACGGACTTAGGGACCCTCCGAAATATTCTTAACATTGACCTTTTAGTGCCGGAGGCCGATACATCGGCTCTGCACTGGCACTTTATTGTGTTCTTCAGGAAATTAATGGTTCGTTTCGATCGTGGAAATTAGTGGCTCGAGAGTACACAATTAGGGTAATGACGCCATGTTACAATAGTATAACTGAATTTTCATAGAATTTAATATTATTTGTTGTTACATTTATTGTATGTATAGTGTGATTGAAATAATACCAGTGTTTATGCAGTCTTTTACTGTTTACTATTGTTTTACATTATTATTTTACAAGTATTGTTGAAATTGTATATAAGTTGTTGATATATATACATGATATACCTACTGGAACTAGTCAAATAACTAGGTATAAAGATAAACAAGTGAAACGAAATATTTCTTATTGGAACCACAAATAGAAGAAACGACAAAAATCGAGAAGCTAATTAATTGAAGAGAAACGGAGAATTTTAAATGAAATTTTAAACCGGTCATTGAGCCCGAAAGAACATTTCTTAAAATGAAATTCAACATGACAATATTTTTTAAGTATATAGCAATGAGTAGCTTGAAAATACTTTTACTAATACCGAGCCGCGATTTATTGACACTAAAACTACCGAGCAATTAAATCGACTTTTGAAATTCTTCTATAGAAACTCCAAGAATCCATCTACTGGGACTTTAATTGATCGGCAGTTCAGTTTGTGTTGCTAAATTAATTTCTTTAATGATTTCTCAGAGGAACATCTGTTGTCTTTTTAATAATCGCAGGATTGAGTGATTTTGACCCGTCTGGTAGTTTCAGTGTTAATACTGATTTTCGTTTCTCCGTTTCCGTCACCTGACGCGCTCTAGCTTTCGTAATTTTTCGATGCGCCCCGGTTCGACGCGATTGAATGCTTTTCAGGATTCGCGACGAAACAGCGGCCATAAAAAGATTCAATTTACTCGTTTCTTGCTTGAGACAATTGGCAATCAACTTTTTTTGCGCCGTGTATTTTTTATTATTCCTTCTTTGGATTATCGATGCATGATGAAACATTTGTAAAGAAATTGTTCTGCGGTATAAAAAGATTCAAGTAAATTGCTTTTTGTTTGATATAATCGACAATCAATTTTTTTCCGCTATTTATTTATTAATCTTTTTTAGAACGTACCGGTGTATCATAAGAAAATTGTAACGAAATTGCTTTATAGTATACGAAGATTCATTTAACTTATTTCCTGTCTAGAACAATTGGCAATGCAGTTTTTTACCACGTATTTGTTACCATTCTTTTTTAGAATTATCGCTATTATAAAACAAGATTATAAAAAGACTTATTTACATCGTAGAAAAATTTAATTAAACCGTTTCTCACTTGAGACGTTTGGCAATCAGCTTTCCTCTGTCTATTCATACTTTTGCATAGCATTTCACCTTTTTATATTGTTTTACACAGTTTTATATAGTTTTGTATAGTTTTGTATAGTTTTATATAGTTTTATATAGTCTTACATAGTTTTATATAGTTTTATGTGGTTTTATATTGTTTTATATAGTTTTATATAGTTTTATATAGTTTTATATACTTCCATATAGTTTTATACGGTTTTATGTAGTTTTCTATTCGTTATCATTCACTTTAGAATTATTGGTACAAACCAAAATGTTTATTTATACTATTTCTTGAATTATTAGGTTTTAAAGGCTCATCGTCCATCGCAGAAGTTTCCGACGTTGCACGTATTTACGCGCATACATACACATACGCGTACGCATTAAACAGATTACGTAATTTCTTTTGTTCCCCGGATGTTTTACAAGCGTTCTCCTACCGAAAGTTTATTCAAAGGTTCATAATCTCGGTGTATCTGATGGCAACGCTTCTGTTCGCAGGCTAAAAACGGGGGAGTGGCAATGGTTCCGTTTTATACATACTTCATAACGTGCAACAGCACCGCCACCATAAAAGATGTTATTGGTACGTAGAACACTATCAACTACACGCTCTTTCGTTGTTTGCTGCGCACATAAAAACCACTGTTACTTTGTAACAAAGTGTAATTATTACTGACGAAGCCCTTTTTCCCTGCACGAACGTGTTTACTTTAAAAGTAGCGACATAAAATGCGCATTGCTCGCGACATAAATACGAAGAACCGGTTAAACTTGCTACTGGCTTTCCAACAATTATTCCTACCCTAGAAAAATATCAAAACTTTACGGTGGAATAATTATTATCAAATACGTACCAGTTCGTAGTTCAGATGTTTCCTCGAATTCAAAATTAAAAATGCAAAGGCGACGCGAAAGATACATTTCTTCTTTCCTTTATTCTATAACCAATTTGTTTCATAAATTAATTCACTTTTCTAAATATTTTAGTATTTACTTTCTGTTTACATTACACATTATATTATTATTTTCAATTTTCTTATCGCCAACGTGTACCAGATTATAATTCTATCCTTCAAGATTACGCTCTTAGCTCCATAAAAGAATCATTTCAAACAATACCAAAGAAAATCAGTGTAGAATTTAATAAAATGATTAAACCACTGGACACACGTATAAAACAAGGAAATCTTACAACGCACGCATAAAAAGCTACATTGTCCGAGAACGCGGCCTTTCCATTTCGCATAAACAGAGTCGCGCAATTATCGAAATAAATATCCGTAACAATAAACAACCAGCCATCGTTGCTGCGAATGTACGCCGGAAAATCCGCGTACGAAACTTTCAGCGTCGAGCAGAGCTTCCATTACAATTACCGAAACTGAAGGGGTCTTGTTTCCGTCAATTAACGTAGATTCGAGCAACGTTCGAATGGAATTAATCATCGATCAATCGGGCCGGCGGACCCTGCTCGAAGCGAAAAGTTAATGACAATGCGCGAGCCGCGCATAATGAAATCAGCATTTAAAACGTCTCGGCTTCGGCGGCCGTGCTTATTAAAGGTCCGTGCTATTTCAGCGCACATCAATCACATCCGAAAGGTGGCAGGGATCGACCACGTTGGAATAGGAGCCGGCTTCGACGGGATAAATTTGTAATTATCTTTTGAGTATCCCCGTCGCGTCGCGCGTTCGGAGAATCGTTATTACCGGCGGGCTGTGTTCCCCGGCGGGGCATTAACGGTTTCGCCTATGCGACAGCGTTTACAACAATTTTGCGACGGCGAACCGCTCGGTCGGCCGAGCGAATCGTAAAATTCCACCCGTCGACGACGGAACACCGCCCCCCGGAAATCCCGGTTTACCGGCGATCGTTCGTTCTCTGAATGACGAAATTGACCCCTTGCTCTGTGATTTCTTTCCTCGAAGATCGATTTAATACTAAAACTGCCGAGCAATTGGAATGTTTACTAAGTTTCTGAGTTTTGATAGAAATTAGAACAGTATCAATTCTTCGAGAATGCCTTGTTAGAATTAAAATACTTAAAGACTGAAAATTTCAAAATGAGTCAATTTCACTCGTATAGCTTTAGTGTAAACTGTTTTGTTGATAACTTATTGAGAATAGAGAGAGATTCTAGGAATACTCAACGTTTGCTCTAAAGTATAATCATTGATAACAGAGGAATAAGTATAGAGGAGAATAGAGAATAGAGAATAGAGAAAAATTCTAGGAATACTCAACGTTTGCTCTAAAGTATAATCATTAACAGAGGAATAATGCATAGCTTGAACTCAAACGAATCGAATAATATTCATGTTTGTTAAATTCTATTTGAAACCTTCGCGAGTCTAACACATCATAGGGCAAGGGGTTAATTGCACGACCAATCGAACAGCAGCGTGAAACGTTGACAATTCGTTGCAGCACACCGACCGGTTTAGAAGACGTATCCAGGTATCCTCAGCTGTTGGCTACGCTGCTGGAAGACCCGACATGGACGGAGGACGACATTAAAAAATTAGCTGGCCTCAATTTACTGAGGGTATTTGCTAAAGTCGAGCAGGTGAGTCATACGCTTTCAATTAATTAAAAGGATCCTCTTCGTAATTCAATCTAGTAACGCTGCAACCATGTGGCGGCTTCGTCGCTGCCATCCCTAAATTTCACTCTCAACTTTCTCTTTTTTATTTCCCATTTCTGTCGATCCTACACATCCGACAACTAGGCTCCGGCAGGATAGGACTTTCAAAAAGAGAGAGTTGGGATTATTAGCCCTTTTCCCGTGTTTACTTCCCATGCGATCTTTGCGGGGAATTTCGGCGACTAGGGGTTGAGAAGTTCGTTTGACCTGTCAACACTTGAATTTAATTAACACGTTGAGCGCCATGTCAGTCACTGGTCACTGACGCTTCTGAATGACTAAAAAACTTCTTGATTATTATTTGTCTTTTGTAAAACCGATAAGTTTCATTTGATAAAATATTGTAACCGTGAAAGAATGTCATTGAAAGAAATGCTGATAAAAAAAGGTTAAACGCGTCATACGTGAATATTCTCAATATAGGAGACGAAGTTTTATCGAACGCAACATCTGAATTTTGATAACTTTAGATTTCTTGGGTTTTCTAAAATACTTTTAATCCGGGAATTAGCAGCTATGAAGAAATTATTGCTTAATTTTACTTATTTGTAACTTTCTTAAATCAATTTTGTATCACCTGGAATGTTTATAATTTAACCGATGACATTTTATCATAAGATATATTATAAAATATTTATCGAAATATTTATTATGAAGAGGAACAATATTATTTTATGCATAAGTAATTCGTTCGATTCCTACGTAAAGTGAAATCATTGAAATTTCAGGTACGCGACGAATGGCACAGAGCGGCAGTTTTGCCGGTGGAGAAGATCAGTCCGCCCGACAACTCTGCCTGCGTCTACGGAGCATCTTGATCTTCTTTGAGGACATTCGTAGCAGGATCCCTCGATTTTGTACGATCGCCGAAGGTTCGACACGTCTCACGGAACTATAGGACCTTGTAAACGTGCGGGCTGGATCAACTGAAAGATCACTTTTCCCTGATAGAATCTTTTCGACTTTTCCGGGAAGTTCAATCGCGCCTTATGAAAGATGAAAAATTGAACGAAGATGAAGGATCCATCTGTGAAACTGATAAGGGCGAGACTGTGGAAAAAGCAATCGCTCTCAGGACACGTTCAGGTTTTTTCACGCTGCATCCTCTTGTTAGAAATCCCCGTAGATTTATCGGTGAAACTTCGAGCCGTAAATATGATTTACTATTATCCTTGTTATATCCATTTACAGATGTATTTTTTAAGCAAAAGGAAAACCACAAAAAGAATATATCTGTATCGTTTCGCGGAGTCGTAAACCTTGCGAAACCTCTAGAAGATAAAACGAGAGTTTATCATTGATTATCGATTAATTTATCATAATTCAAAAGTCATTATTGCGTTACGATTGAAACCAAATGTAATTCCAAAAAATAGTTTTACCAGAAGGAACATATATATGATAGTTTCGAGGAATGAATATTCAAATAGTAACAATTTATGAATTATTCAGAATCATTTCGATTGAAGGCTTCATTGAGACTGAGCCAGTCCTGAGAACGAGGATAATGAATAATTTTAAACGTAAGAAAAGCGTTCCTAAATGAATAACTCGTATTGACGCGGACAATCGAGGCGGCCAAAATGCTTGCACGGGGAGAATATATTTCGAGCCGAGAGTATCCGTGGAAACGTATCCTCTCGATAATCTCGAGCGAATCCAGTAAGTGTTTTTCAATACCTCTACCTTCGAATAATTTTAGAAGATCCGAAGTGATGGATGCTAATGGTAAGGGACACGCGTTCAAATGCAAATCAAGGGAGAGTTGCATTAATCGGAGTTTAATATAAGCCGGACCCTCGAGTTTCTTTATTTTCGTATAATTCCATGCATGAGTTGTTACCGGAAGGATTAGTGATAAAATCGACAAACAGAAAAAGAAAAAATATGAGGAAATTAAAGTAACGAAGACTAACTAACGCTAAAGATAGATGAATTATCGCTGACTATTATCGTTAGGTTCTTATCGCTGGGAAATATAATTCTTTTCTATTCACGATAGGCACGTAAATGATCCAATTATATTCGAGATGGTAACTCTATAAAGAATTTCGGTTTTACGTTCGGTTGTCTTATCTCCGTTGGTATGCTTGCGCCAAAATATAGTGTCGAATTAATAAGTGCGCTTAAGACCAAGAAATTAAACGGAGGAAACGAAGAAAAATCCAAAAGAAAAACGACGAGGAATAAAAATTTGTAACGTTCCATTAGGAGTTCACTGGCAGCTCGCGTAGATCAGTTAATCGCGTACGTTCAATGATTTACGGCTTCTAGTGTTTATATATTTGCAAGGGATATCGTTGATATATTAACGCTCGTCTGTAAGACCATCGAAGAAAGACTTGTTCGTCGACTTTAAATTACGCATGAATCGATCGCTGGATCTTTCCGACTTTCCGACTGAAATCTTCAGAACTACATATTACTAAAGCGTTCGTTGTAACGGGACTCGTAATACGCATGCATGACGCGATTATTTCAGGATACTGCTTGTTTGTTTATACGCTTGTTGGGACTGGCGACTGTCCGGATATCTTTCCTATTCGAATATCCAAATCGAATATTCTTTCAAGTGCCAATGAAATTCGGCGAGGTCAATTATAAAATTCGAGACAAAAGCAAATGAATTTGGATAATTAAGTTCGTTGACAATTTTACCTACTCTGACGTGTAATTAATATTAATTGGTTTCATATATTACTCTTTATTTTTCTAAAATGAGAAATATATTATTTCTGAGCTTTATTCAATTTTACAAATAAAAGCAAATGCATTACGTTGTGCCTGTTTAATGATTTTGTCTCTTAATTTTCGCGTCATTTAAATATCCGGAGGCATGGAATTATTCGGTTTTTGTAAACAAAATTCTGCTCTTGAATATTAAATGATTATGACTAATGGATCCATTGAATATGTATTCTTTGTATTAAAATCGTTTTAATTATTTCATCGAAGGATACGTTAAATTGAATGTTCTCCCTCTGTAATGATGTCTGGAAATGAACAGTACGTTTACAAAAACAGTCAAAGATTAAAGGTAGAAACGACATCTATCAACCCTTTGTATTCTGATACCACTTTAAACTACCATTATAATTAAAGCGCTGCCATATATTCTCCATTTTCGCTTAATTCACAGTACACCCAGATATATTTATAACCAAGTAATTGAAGAGCATTCATTCTTAACATATGTATTATTTAAACGACCTTAAAATGCTTCGAATAAAGGCAGCATTAAAGGACAAAAATAAGAATTCAGAACGTAAAGAATTAAGAAGGAAACGTTGCTTTGCGATTCGTCTGTAGGACCACCGGGGACTTTTAAAAAGAAACTCTCTGGAGTAAAATTCACGAAACGCCACGGAGCATTATGCAATTTTAAGCATGTCGACACAGCCTCATTACAGAGAAAGAACACCATTCATTTTTGTGTAGCTTTTTAACACTTTCGTAAGATCATTCAATAACGGATCTCCGTTAATATTAGACTACATTAATTTTTCATTGGAATCGATCGGAATACTTAAATTTTCTATTACGGATATTCGAGTATCGCTATAAAGAACCAGAACGAAAGGAAGCATCCGGATAAATCGTCGCTATTCATTTTTGTTTAGCTTTTCAACGCTTTAGATCGTTTAATAACGGATCTGTTAATGTCAGACTACATTAATTTTTCATTGGAATCGATCGGAATGCTTAAATTTTTCATTACGGATATTCGAGTGTCGCTCGACTGTAAAGAACCAGAACGAAAGGAAGCATCCGGATAAATCGTCAGGACCTGTTATTACGATCACCAATGTTAAACACTGCCAAGCCACTTTATACTGAACCATTCCGACACGAGAAAATTGTAATCGCTAACCCCGTTTCGGTACAGTAGCCGAGAGAGTAGCAATAAACCTTAGCCGATAAATCGTCGATGAAAGCATAGATCGCAGAACGGAAGCAAATACACTTGGGGGAATATTTCTACGAGCGTAGAAAAAGAATCCAGATCTTCGAGACGTTACTTATTGTTAAACAGTCAGCGAGTATCGAGACACACACACACACCATCTAGTTTGCCAATCGCTCTCGGACCTTGTCCAGGGTTATCCTAGATTTGCCGGACGAAACGAACACAATGCGGATGATTTTAATTGGATGGAAGAGGGACGAGGAAGAAAAAACACGCTGTATAAATAGGAAGATAAATATCGAATCAATCGTGACTGCGATTATTGTAAATATACAGACCACCTCAAAATTCTTTCGCCAGTGGAAACGCGAGAATCTTTTCCATCGAACGGGAATCGAGAATATTTGTATCTTTCTCGGGTTTGAGATCTCGTTTTTCGAAGTGCAAAGAAACCACGTCGAGAATGTATTTCAATATTTTTATAATTTTATAACTTACGATCAATTATATTTTAGTTTTGTTGTACTATATAGTTTCTTATGGATGCTAACCTCTGAACGTAATAGAAAAATGTTGTCTTGTACAATATTGAAATGAATGTTGCCAGTAACGAGTGCCTATCCTGTTGTCGACTTTTGTTCGTTTACTTCTCTAATAGTAATAAGTAAACGTGTTAAGTGGATTTGTTAAAGGTATACAGTGAAAGCAGTTTAGAGGGTAAATTCCTGTCAAATTCATTGATAATTTTATACGGTTTATTATGCAATGTTGTAGTAATAGAACAGACTGATTACATTTAATAATTGTACCTTCTCAATCGCTGCGTTTAATAATGGAAATTGAATTTGTTCTCGTATACATTTGTAAAAGTTTTCAATGGAAAATTAATGCCACTGAAGTGTCGTTTTATACTTATGTGAGTAGACGAATCTTTTACAAGTAAAATAGAAGAAATTAACCTGTAAATAATATAATTTTGAAGATACAATGTAATGTAAGACAAACGTAGTACATTTTGACATTTATTTTTTAATCCGTGTCGTGTAAAATGACGTCTTAAGTATTCTCCAATTTCACACGAATTACACCACAATCCAATTTCGTCGAAACTATTAACATTGCGAAAATATTAATTAATATTAGAAATTTTAATCGAAACTTTCGTCTCTTAGTATATATTTTAATTTCCATATTGTGCCAAGTTTTGGCTTTCACTAGCAAAAATTTGCAATTAATATTTAGCGCAAAGAAATGGAATTGAAAAATAATTTATTAACATTAAATTATTAACTGTTCGCGAAGAGTATTTACTCTGCATAATTGTAGTTCACTGCTTTTAAATTTTAGTAAACGACATTCTACACTAATACTCTAGCCGACATTTCGAATTCTACACAAGCGAACAGAAATATCCATGATACGTTATCTACGAACATTAAGATTCACTTTTATGTCGCCAAATGTTTCCTCGCATCTAAGACTGTAAGAAACAACAGATTTTTCTACTATGTTTAGACAAACAATTCCATTTAATCGCCCAGTAAACGTGTTTAAAATTGTCGAAGTAAAAGCAACGTATACCTTTGCGGCGATTACTATAAAATTCATCGAATAAGGATGCAAACGTTTTCCACGCTTACAAACGTGCATCGACCAACACTTCAACCTGTCTTCTTTTTCGTCTGCTATGTAAAACTTTTTTCGAATAATTTTAAAATTACGTTCTGTACAATTCTCATTTATCTCGCGTTAATTCTTATCGTTGAAAATATTACCATTGAAATTTCGAATATCCGTCACTCGAAAAACGACAATCTCAAATTATACGATAACGAAAGTCTACTCGATCCCAACCGATGGAAAAAGTTCCCTCGTTTCGACTGGTAGATTTTGGAACGATCTGTACGCGTCGTGTTCACATCTATCAAACATCGATTTTCGTAGCGTTTACACGACGCAGGCACATTCTCGCAGCGTCTTTGTTTTTTCGTAACGACGTTTTACCATTTCGACTTTGTAATATCACTTGATAACCACACGAGTAGATGATATAATCGAGGCGACCGAGTGAGGGGGACGTGAAATTCGAGCGTGACCGAGAACTTAGCGAGTAGAATGTCCTAAACTTGTACGAAGCATTTCGACTTTTCTTACTTTTTTCCGACGTGGGGAACGCGTGCGAGAAATTTTTAGGTACCTGTAATTAATATTGTTAACGACTATACATATATATTATATACATATATTATATAAAGAAAAAAAAAAGAAACCATGGCGCCTTCGACGACTCGCACCATCACTCTACGAACTTACGGTAGCAGACTGTCCCGTGGAAAATGATTGACAGTGGTTCGCTCGAACTGGCACGGACGTGCATCGATTTCACCAAATATCATACAGAAAAAATCGTCGCGAGGTGTCAGTTTGAGACTGACTGCCACTTTGTCGTTAAACGATCAACATTATAAAGCTTGACTCTTCGACCACTTGTTCTATGATGTCGCGTCATCGACCGAATCTGATCGATCTAAATGTTACCTACTTTTTTAAAAGTGTAAATTAAATATTACCTTTCTATTGTCGATCGTTGATTGTTAGAGTAAACGTAGACAGAACTATCGAATTCTTTTTCTTTCTCTAATAAATTGTTAACGATAAAGTAATTATAGAGTTGTGAAGGAAATCATAGGACAAAGGGTTACCCTTGATATAATGATGTTAACCTTGAGTTTATGGAACGTTCAGTTTTATTATTTAAATATATCTAACGTTTGACCAGAAACATTGTTAAGTATTAGCTGAATTTATAGATATTATAAAAAGAAAGAGTATTTATGAAAATGATTATTAGACTTCTATTTGTTTCATAATTTCTGTTTATGATTTTAATGTATAAAGTGTAAGGTTGTTATAGTAACATGTTGGCAGATATGCGAAATTTATAAATTTAAGTAAGTTTGAAAATATTTATGTTCCGATTCATGGATCAATCGTTATTATTAAGAAAGAAGAGTAGAAGTTGTATAGTTTTAAGAAAGACGTACACGAAGATCGATGTGGCAGCCAAGGCATCGAGAGACGGCGGACTGTTAGTCACTTTCCACGATGCGAAATGTCTTGAACGCGATTGTTAGCGGAAGCTTTTTTCCTCGAAGCAAAAATACGTACGCTTGCGTTTTCCTCGGCGTTTAACAAGGGTAACATGCAGATCGAAGAGCAGAATTAATTGTCTACCGACAAAGTATCTGTAGAGAGACCGCAGAATCCCGTTGAATAAAACTTTTAGCAGCAATAACACTGATAACCAACACGTAGCGAACGATTAACTAGCGTAAAAGACCAATAGGATGATATTCACGATTTCTAATTCATAAAGAGTAAGTCTAGCACGTTAAAATATCGAGTTGGATCGATCGTTTTGGAAACGCTTTTCCGTCGGAGCAACTTTTTTTCAATAGAGCCGAAGAGAGGACAATATTCCACCGAATCTTGTATCTTCTGTTATTTTCTTGTAACAAATCAACCGAGAAAAGAAAATAACAAAGATATCGTTAGTATACTTTAACAATGAAACATCTCGGAAAAGGACCATAAGCGTTTAGCCATAAATAGATCGTCGTATATTCATAGCATACGTGTAACTTAGATCATCCAACAAAGCGAACAAATTTATTCAATCTCAATTTCTGTAAACCAGTCAACGTTCATAAGAATATTTATCGCGAAGCGTGAAACGAGAATCGATTCAGTTAAGATTGAGAAAGGTTTCCAAAGTACTGTAACTAGTCTGCATGAACAAAATTCTTCGAAAGAAAAAAATCCTTCAAAAAGAACATTTCTATTTAACGTAATTAGTTTAATAAAATTAGTTGTTAATGTAACTAGCTCTTAATGTAATTATGGGAATCCGCTCTGTAGAGATTTCTTAGGTTGATTAGCCACTCGAAATGCTAAAGATTATGGTCCAAGATAGTTGTATTTCAGTTCTAAGTAGTTGTCAATAGCACCCCTGAGTTGACTTTATATTTGACACGTTAGCACCTATGACGTCTTTCTACGCCGTATAAATTTTACATGCGAATCTTACGTGATCGTACATTCTACATGCAATGTTGCACAGTTGACAATCATTGCTTTCATACGATGAAATTTCCATTTTACAATACTGCATTATTTCAAGCCGCAATCACTGAATTGTCCCAGCGATTGCAATACGTTATATACCTCTTGCTGCGAAAGTTTCGGGAACAAATGAGAAAAGTCACAAACAAGTTTGAACTAATGGTTTCATTGTTTTTCAAACTATTCTCCTTCAACGTTAATACATTCTCCATTGTGCTGTGCCATCACTTTTTAAACTTAACACGTTGCATATCGGGTAATTTTAAGAAAATCACTATACGTAGAAAAATACAATATCTTATTATTATTTAATATATTTTAAACAAATGATAGATTCTGATAAAATGTAATTTTTAAAGATTTGTATAAACACGAGATTTCGTTCTTCGTATTCAATGTGTTGAGAACGCGGGGCTTCACTGAAATGAGGAATAACAAAATGGCCGTAAAAATGGCGGATTCCCGAGACTTTCGCAGCAAGCGACGTACCATCGATCGAATCACGACATCCAAGTTTGCCAATAGATTTCGCTGCGTCCACCGCGAACGATCAGTGTTCCCTGAAAATCGGCGAATAGCGTTTCCAAAGCGACCGATTCAATGGCAGTACATTGCTCAATACCACTGATCGGGACTCGAAAATGGAAACAAGACTCACTCTTGCGTTCACGGGAGCGTAACAGCCGCACGACGCACGGACTTGAATCACGCGTAGACATATGGTACCGTTCCATTGGGTGATCCCATAAATAATTTGGTTCTTTATATTTCTCTTGTTTCTCGGAATGAAGATAAACAAATCTGTTTCTAACATAAGACATATTTCCCTTCATTGTCTACGAATTGTCTATATTATGATTGCTTCAAAAAAAAGGTTCGTTTATCTCTATTTTTAAAAATAAAGATAAACAACTCTGTTCCTAAGGTAAAACATGTTCTCCTTCGTTATATATAAATTGTCTATCTGTACATTGTAATTACTTTAAAACAAGCTTCGTTTATCTTCATTTTTAAAAATGGAAGGAACATAAAAGAATCTTATTATTTTTTATAGGATGACCCAATAGTTTCGTAAAACGGTGTATTTCTTGTATAAAAAAACGAAACGAAGGGAACCACCATTTCGTCCCTTCGGGCGGAAACCGCCGGGGATTGTGGGTCTCGAAGCCGCGCGACAATGCCGAAAAGAAAATATTTCGAATCGATCCGCGAGGAGAAGGAACTCTAGATAATCATTTCGAGCGTGTGTGGGTGCGCCGAATGCCAGTGGGAGGATGAGAGTGCTGTTCCAAGTGAATCTTTTACGCGACGACGGCGGAGAAAAAAACGGCGAGAAAAGAAAGCAAACACTGGGTCAGTAAACTTCGAGCGTTTCAAGAGAAGAATTTGTTGTACAGCCGCCGCTTCCTAAAACTGTATCCGAATCGTTGCAAAACAACGGTACTCGCTTGCACGCGCGCGCGCGCGCGAGTCATCGCGGTTAATTCCGTTCGCGAGCCGCAGGGACGTCGCGAAAATTTCCGCGCGAAACGCTTCGGCGCACGTTTTACTTCTTGAAAAGCTCGAAATCGGTTGGACGTGTGTTTCATTTGTTTTCCGTTCACCTTTTTCCATGGATTGCGCGTACCGGGATGCAAGGTTCGACAACAAGCATGCGTACTTTAGCTGAATTACCTTGTTTCTTAAACCGAACTTAGCGAGAAAACATACACAACACAGAGGCCAAAACAGACAAAGGAAGGATGAGAGAATTCTTGTAAAGAGCGAGAGTGGTTAACCTACTGGAACGATAGGCGACGCGAGAGAGCGAGAGAGAGCGAGAGAGAGCGTGCGAGAGAGAGCGACAGAGAACGAGAGAGAAAGAGAGAGCGTGCGAGAGAAAGAAAGCCTGAGAGACCGTGCGGGAGAAAGGGTGAGAGAGGGAATGAGCGAAAGGGAACGAAAGAGTGCGAGCGAGATAGAGTGAGAGAGAGCGAAAGAAAGTGCGAGAGAGAACGAGAGTGTGAAAGAGAGCGAGCGAGAGAAAGTGAGAGGGAGAGGGAGTAAGCGAGAGAAAATGAGAGAGAAAGAGAGAGTGCGAGAAGAGAAAGTGAGAGAGAAAGTGAGAGAGAAAGAGAGAGTGCGAGCGAAAGAAAATGAGAGAGAACGAGAGAGTGCGAGCGAGAGAAAGTGAGAGAGAACGAGAGAGTGCGAGCGAGAGAGAGAAGTAGAGCGAGCGAGAGAGAGAGAGAGAGAGAGAGAGAGAAGGAGAGAGAGAGAGCCTTAGTGATAAATCTTAACGTATATAATGTAAACAACACACAACTGCCTAGAAACTCAGATTAATAATATTATAAACTTATTATATTATATACAATTACAACCGACATGTCCAAACGCACAAAAGGCAAGTTTGGCAAGACGAGACACGCGCATGTAAATAGAATTATATCGACGTGTAATCCACAATGTATATAAAACGAGGGCGACAAGTGGGCAAAGGGTTTCGCGGACTGAAGAAGCTGAGGATCGTTTTACGTTGGATCACGGATACGATTTTTGTCGATTTATTTCTCGAGATCGAAGAACGACCGTCGATCATTCGAGCTGGTTGCTTAACGACCGGACTGCGGAAGCTCATGCGAATTTAACGTTTTATGGAATTCGAAGGATTCAGTGAAATCCCACGTCCTCCGTCGTTTCATTCTTTCTCGAAGAAAGAGGATTGAAATTGAACGATTCGTTGTACTCTATGATTTTCGCCGGTTACGAACGCATGAAGCGTCCGCAGTACATTAACGCGTTCGCTGGCAGCGTATATCTCGGTGACGATCCTCTCAATTGTAATATTTCGTTCGATCCGACAAATCTTCAAATATTGAAAAAATGAAATTGAAACGAGCAACACTAAATTCCCGTTTTCATTTTGCAATTACTAAAAAGACAACGGTTTCTGTTTCAACAAACTGAATTATAAATCAGTTAGTCTCGATACCTACACCCTTGAAGTTTCTAAAGAGGAATTTCAAAACGTCAATTTAACCGGTAGTTTTAATGTTAAACAACAGTATCTGTAGCGTTCATTTGATTTTCTTCGTGGAAAATAATCGGGGATGTCACAAGTACGCGACGCTGGCGGCGAACGCGTTAACAATTGACTCATCGAAGGGACAAGTGGATGAAGTTGTCGATTCTACGTTTATCCCGTGTTCTCTCTGTTCACCGTGCTGCCAAATATCCGTTTCCGCCTGGACCGATCGCTCGTGGAGTCTGTCACGTAGGCGAGAGTTTCCTTCTTCCAAACTTCTTTTTATAAGAGACAAGACTTCTACCCCTAGGATTAGAGGATTCGATAGATTATTTTTAAATCCCGCCGGAGCGCGTAGAGTAAGAATCGAGTTCGGGATTACCGTTTAGATTAAGAGACCGAGAGCTGGATAACGATGCGAAAGATCATCGTCGATCCCCCAGACTTTCGACAGCTGCTGTCGTCTTGGGCGTTGACCTTTCGACACCGGGAGATTGCGTTTTGCCGACACTTTGTCCGTTCGGCCCTTCGATTCGTAACGTCGAACGCTCGGGATGATGTGTATTTTAATCGTCGATAATTTCGAGCTCTTTAACGCTTCGGCCATTGTTACGCTTAACACGTTAAGTGTGGAATTTGGTTTCGAAAATCTTTTATCGCAATAAAATCGAATAATGGAGTGTGTAATCGTCAAATGCAGGCCAGATGCGCTTACAATATATTCTAATGAAAATTTAAAGAAAACAAAGAAAAAGTACGTGTTTCGAAAAAGTTGTTTAGAGTTTTAAGATGATGTATACTCGTCAAACGCAGTTAACTTGTTTTCAAATTTATTTACTAGTATTCGAGCAATATTAAAACGCTGCAATTTAGTCTTTGATTTGTTTATAATATAAAATTGAAGAATGTTATGTCTAGTGAAGCTATTTTTGGAAAACATTATTTATAGTGAATTGGATGTGTCAATGAATAATTTAACTTTTTTTATATAGCAGTATAATGTAAATTGAATATATTTATAAATCTTGCAAAAATTATGGATATTATCAATAGATCATGTGCTTTTGTGTTTCTTGGAATATTAAATCTAGAATGCTTAATTAATTACGTATTAACGTGTTCAAATTTAAATTTGCCACATGCATTTGTTTCTGGTGTATCAACTAAAAGTTCTTATTTGTTTGAAGTCTCTTAATTTCAACAAATTTCCACCGGCCGTGCTTAAATCGCTTGAAATTATCGAGAAAGCTTTCACTTTCGTGACATAACGCGTCAAGGCCATACGTTGGCCTGATTTCGTCGTTATTGTAAAAGCAGGATGCCTCGAGTTGTTCGACGATCGCCGCATGCGGAATCATTTTTAGATAAATTTAACCCAAATGGATAAAAAAGGTGAGAAAGTTTCGAACAAAAGGCAGGTACACGCAAAAGATTATAAAGATGCACGGATAAAACAAGAAAAAGAGAGAACGAGAGAGAGAGAGGAAAAGCGAGAATGCGATAAGAAAGAAAGAGAGCAAGTGAGTGTGTGAGAGAGACAGATAAGAAGGAATGTATAGGCAATTATTAAAGAGACTATGAAAATTAAGATGATATAGAAAGTTTTAATAAATTAATTACTAACGCTACAAACAGAAGACACTTGATACCTATTACCTAAAGAGCATATTGTACGTTTGTACGCGTACCCACACACACACAGGCACGTACACGTACACAAACACACGTACACTCATGTACACACACCGTAACAGACACACAGGTATACACGATTCTTTGGAAGTTTGAATTTACACACGTACACGTGGAACGGTCAAATGAGAAGATGCAGAATCCTGCGCGTAAATAAATTAATCTTCATTCGACTCGACATTGGTATAGTTACGAACGTAAAGCAGACACATAAGACTAACAAGAAAGCCTCGGTTACGCGAAAGTCCGTATTTTTTTCAAACGTTCCTGCCCCGCAACATGCGTCGACATAATAACATGTTGAGATTCTTATAATTCAATTTTATTTTGAAACCGTGTCTCGAGAAGCGGTCGAAGCAATGGGTGTTCCGTTTTATTTTTTTATAATACCTGGAAACCTAAAGAGGAATACGGAATTGTATTGTATCATAATCTATAGGGAGTTTGTTCGTTTGTAATGTTTTTAATTATACAGGATCTGTAGACAAGGAAACAGGAAGTGTCATACAATTGATGCTTCAAATAAGTATTTATGTAAGTGTAGATTTTTCACGTTGGAAGTTAAAGTAATCACAAAGATGTTTTATTTATTTATTTATTTATTCATTTATTTAATTAATTATTTATTTATTTATCTGTAGACACTGTTCATTATTCGTTGTATTTGATATAGTTATAATTTATGTACGATTGAAATAAATGCATGCACCGTAGATAGTGTAATGAATAGTGAAAATAAACTTTGTTGAATTTAGCAGTAATCATTGAATTTAGTGATAATATAGAATATGTAGTAATTAGAAGTTGTCGCTTGTTTTGTCCATAACAAACTTAAAATAGTCTATTCAAATTAAAATTTTATTTCTTTGATTTTATATGTTTTGTGTTAAATAGTTTTATTATTTTAATATATTTCCATGTAAAATATAAAGATATAAAATGATTTTAAGTCACAGATACTCGCTATCACACTTCTACAAAACTTCATTGCATTGCATTGAATAATGTAAATCAGATTTTGGAGTTTGTTAATTAAAAGAAATATATTATATACAAATATCATTGCCTAGAATTATTTTTATAATTTCTTTCTGTAAGAATAATTTGCAACATAACTGAATATATTGAAAAATAAATCGATAAGAGCAAAAAAATTCATAAAATAAATTAGGAAACTTAGGAATGTGTTTTAATAAGTTCAATTAAATTCACTTCACACTTCTAATCCCTTCCCATTGTTAATTTTCTGTTGTTATTGAAACATTAAAATATCATTAGCTTGTTTTCGTATGTAGTATACTTAAATAAGTTAATAAATCAAATTTATACTCATCTTTGAAAAAGACATTAAACGTGACAAATCCGACTAACACAATATTTACACATTATAATTCTATATTTATTGTTAGTCACATGTTTAACATTCCTTAACAAAATTTTCCAATAAATATATTTCTAGAATATTACTTAAAATTGCCATCTATAGAACGTATTAGTAAAGTTTCATCATTTATTTCTAAAGCATATATATATACTACTACCAACCAAAATAGTCGTATCACTTGTTGAGTTTCGCTAATCTTATATCCTCTGATAAATTTTTCTTATTTCTTACGTTTAAACTAAAATATTCCAAGCAATCTTCTAATAAAAACAACGTTTGCCAAGTTTTCAATTAAAAAAGAAAAAAAGTAAAAGTTTAATTATCAGAGACTACGGACTTCGAAGATATGTCTGACAGAAAAGTTTGAAAAAAGGGAAATTCGCATCTAACCGATGCTTACTTGTACGTTACTTGCTATTACCTACATAAAAATTCTATATTATATAGATTACATAAATAAATATACATAGAGAGACACGAAGAGTGAATGTGAATGGGAACGACGGAGAAACGGATGGAGCGAACATATGGAAATATAGGAATAAATAAAATCGAGATTTTTTTAATGAATTGTCGGGCCGGTTTTTCGAGAGATTTGCTCCAACGGCCCCGACGAGTTTAGAGGAAAGGGAACTTTGAAAAGTGATACGTTATTTATCGATACTTTTAGTTGAACCGAACAAGGGAAACCTTTGATCGTATATATACTATTATAAGTTAAGGAACTTCGATTTGTTTGATGTTGAAAACTCACGGGAACGTGAATCAATCGTCGTGGACTCGTAAACCGGACCACTAAAATCGAATGATGTGTTTGGGAAATTCGATCTCCAATTTGATTTCTACCGCCACTTTGAACAGCTTTAGTTCAAACAAGAATATACTAATGATTTCAAATGATTACGGATCCATATTTCTTTCCCTGTAATTATTTTCTTCCTCTACGATTTGAATTAAAATATTTAAAAAACAAGAAAATTGTTTATCTTTAATAACTGAAGTATTACATGGCGAGTTTAGTTTCTGATTTTCGTTTGCTATAATTTTACTAATTTCCTTTTTTGTTCAAAGGATATTAAACATTAATTTGTGATAATTTCGTAAGTATAACGTTATTTAATGTTGTTTTCGTTGAAATGCGTTAACGTATTTTTAAATTGTATATGATCTTAGACAAAATATGCCAGCGTTATTGATCTCGCAGTTTTCCAGGACAAATTCGATTTTATGTGTCGACTCGATAATGAAACGCATGATAAAGTATGTGCGAGGAACACGGGTTCAATTGATTGAATGGGGACAGAGGCGATAGCGACGACAACGACGATGATTTTATCTACGTTAATCTAGAAGACATTGCTGGAACAATGATTTGTACACCTTCTATGAAGGACCGTAGAATACATTATGTTACCTAATACTCTTAAGCACGCATTATCTAATAAACATTATTTACAAAAGCAATGGATGTGTTGACTAAGGAATCTATTCATTTCTCTCCCGTTCGCTTCAATTTAACTATAACGAATACTTCAACGAAAATTAAAGATATCGTAAGAAACTTATATTTAATAATCAAATAACAAATACATCTTACTTTATTGATTAATAATATCTAATCATTTATATCTTCAGTGAATTACATCGTCAAAAATAAATTCTTTTTATTTTGGTATTAATTTCTTTCCGTTTTCACGTTCATAATGTCACATTAGTATCTAATTTAAAGTAGCAATGGTTACGAAAAAATTATTTACTTCCGCCATTCTCTAGTTTGTAGTAATTTCATCTTTAAAACAATCATGCTTTGTTATAAAGATATTTTCAATTCCGATATTGAATGTTTCAAAATGAAAGTTCCAATTGAAAATTCCAGTAGCAATGACTGAGATTAAGAAGAGGAGAAAAGAAAGAAAATGTTCGAATTAATAGTATAAAATATTGATATTTAAATAACGTTGAAGCTATAATATTGTCACTTTTAATAAAGACCCAGATTGCTTCAATCTATAAATATATCTGAAAAGATTATAAAAACTCGAAATTTCATTCTCGTCTGCAACTGCTAACTCTACGCGCAACGTCCCCCGCCGAAACAAAATACAAAAAAACACCAAAAGCTTCAAACAGAAATGAGAAAACCTAAACAGCTTCGGTCCATCGAAAATAAAAACAAAATAAAACCTCGAAATTTCATGTTCATCTCCAAACTTCCGTTCCACAAGCAAAACATACACAGAACTCCCAAAATCCCCTCAAGCTTCAAAACCAAACTTTAAAAATCCTCTAAAAACTCCTACATCTCCTGGCTACATCGAAACGCATCAAAGTAAAATCCTACAAAACCAAAAATTCAATTTTCCTCGCTAGAAGTCCACTCCACGCACAATGGGACGCAGAGAGGCGAAGTATTTCGCGGACGGGGACGAAAATTCCAAACGAAAAAAACAGAAGGGAGAGAAAGGGGGGAAAAGGGCTGTGAAGCATCCGGAGGCCGATAGACACAATAGCACTTGTCGAATCGACGATAAGCGTCGTCGTCGGCGTGTCTCGTTCCAGGACGCCGCTCCGAGGGGGCGGGCGGGGGAGAAGGACGGAGTGATTCGCAGAGGAAAGCGCGCGCGATATAACACATCGATCTGCGTCCGCGCAGGCGCAGACCGACCCGCGTCCGGCTGCGAGCGGATTTTCCCCCGAGCCACCCTGTATAGGCCGTGACCGGGATACGATACCAACAGGTGATGCTGGAGTAGAGACACTCCCTCGAGCGGCGTCGTTGATCGTCTCCCCCGAGTCCTGATCCTAACGGTGATTTAGTATAGTTTTCAGCGAGTCTCGCTCGCTGGCGTGCCGCCAACACTCGTCCGGACCCGGCGAGGGGTTGGAAAGAGAGAAACAGAGATAGAGGGCCGGAGACAGGGAAAGAGAGGAAGATAGGATCTCGTTAGGGGGTCGCGCAGGACGAACGACGAGGACGACACGGTGAACCGTTAACGATCAACGCGTCTTCGATCGCTCGATGATCTAGTGCACTGCTCCTTGTGTTTATCTTTTTCCCTCGCCCCTTTCCGATGCTGCCAGCCGACCACCCGCCCCGGCGTGTCCATTCGGTTCCACGCGTTCAGTCCCGACTCCCGGCTACTGTGACACCTGACGCATATCGGCACCCTACGGATTAAGAGCCCGGTGACCAGGATCCGCTGGAAATCACTGTGATTCTGACGACTGGACTACGAGCGAGCTGAAATCGGTTTACCCCGTGCAACGGGGGAGTTACGATCCGTTGACGATGCCCGAGAGGATAGTGGCTGTTCGGGACCGAGTTGTGGGAAGAGACGGATAAGTGGACCGTAAACTCCGCTGGATCTAGTTGGAACTCAGATAAATGAATTCGACCGGATCGTTTGGATGCCGGCTGGCTTTTCGCGAGCTGATAAACAAAACTGTGCGTCCCTCGAGGGGAAGGGATGATGGTTTAGTGCCGCGATAGGAAGTGAAGTTGAAGAACCGCGGAAAGTTGTAGAGTTTATAGATTCTTCTGCACGATGTGTCCGGGTTCTGCCGGGGAGAGCAACAGGATATTAATTTGATGGAAACACGCTGCCGCTGCCGGCGCTCGCCGATGTTTTTCCAATGAAATAGAAATACCTTCCAGCCGATTGAAAGTGCGTTCTCATGAAATCCAATCGATGCTTCGGAACTTTTTTACTTGTTTCCTGTTTATTAATAAAACGGACGTTAAGAAGCAACCGCGATCAATGAACGATCTCGGTAGCTTGAAAATTCTGTGGGAAGGATGATTGTTGTTTAAGCGAGAAGATAAACAATCGAATGTTGTTCTACCGTCTAACCGAGACGGAAAAGTCTGCTCGCGATACGTTCGCGGAGAGAAGAGTTGAAAAAAGAGAGCACAATGCTGACGCGATCGATGCGAATGAACCTCATCTGGAAATTCGAAACGAGCGAGGTGAATTAGAGCAATCGGCTCGCCAGCGGTTTCCGCAAAACGCGCAGCGACGCGATGGAATTCCGTTGAATTCAACCGACGATAAATCACTGTGCGTCAAATAATTTCCGACTCAATTAAAATATTCGTCGCCGCTGGCGAAAGAGATGATTCGAGTTTTCCGATCGCGAAAATCCGATACCAAAAAATGGAATATTCGTGTAACATTTCCCACCAAGGAAACGAAGCGCAATTGACTTCGATCCCAGCGAAACGTTTCCACTGTTTACAGAAGCAACATGGATTCACCGAGGCTTGTCGAATTAATGAATTGAAGCTTTTATTGTCGATGCATTGTCTGCTCTAAGAGAGAGAGGACAGAATGGTGTAATTAAAGCGGCGAGACGATCTAGCTAGAAGAGCGTCGAGCACGAAAGACGTCGCGTCGCGGGAAAAATCGGCCGACCCTCGATTGTTCGGCGGATCGTCTTAATTACGCGTTGCACATTGTAACGGCGAATCGATATTCCCGAAACATCGGACGCGGAGGATGCGTGTCCGCTGGCAAAAAGAACGGAACAAAGGCAGCCCGATAACACCGCGGAACACGCGGTGCACGGCGACGGTTTCGGAGATCGAGCCCACGAGCGGGAGCTAATTGGCGTCTGCTCGACGGCGACGCGGCGTGTTAATTCTGTAATTAGAGGGAAGCCCGAAGAGGGATCGTTGAAACGACAAACGCGATTCAAGAGGCGCGAGTCTGAGTGCGTTTCGCGCGCCCGTCTCGCCGACGGAGATCCTCGGCCATGCGCCGGAATAAAAATAAAGCTGGCCGACGCGCGCGAATCGCCCGCCACGCTTTCGACTATGATTGAACGCTTTTAGGCTTTCCTCGGTCTCCCGGAAAATAGTTTCCCGCGTCGATTGCTGATTTATCCGACGTGTAGTTCGAGGATAAACTGTTTCGGCCGTTCCAAACCGTGCTCCGCCAGCGGACGGATAAGTCGCAGGAGGATGTGATTTCGAGGCTACCCAGGCGGGAAGGTGAGTAATATTTTCTGAATTGAATGACTTATTTTCAATTTTCTATGAAAATTAGAACAATACGTTTCTTGAGATTCAAAGGGTCTAGTTTTGTACGTGTACAAATGCACGAATTTCATTTGGAATTATTTGCAAAATATTATAACACCTTCGTAATTTAATTATTTGGAAAGAGATTTTCAATTGGTCAATTTGACCCGGTAGTTTTACTGTTAACCTGTTAACTGTGGGATTTAGTTTGTGAAATCTCTGGTTTCGTGCGCAATAAAATGAAAAAATGAAGCGTGTACTCGTCAAACGCAGAAGGAATGCACCTATGGTGTATTTTAATGAAGAACCAAAGCAAAACAAAGAAAATTTATCGTTGAAAGAGTTAGTAACATTTCAAGCTTTAAGTTGACGCGTATACTCGTCGAGCACAAGTAACAAATATTTAAGACAAATATTATATTGTAGAAATCTAAGTATAAACAGTTGACTGTAGAATGTATTAACAATTCAGCACTACAATTAAAAATTATGTATATCACTCAGTATAATATTGAACACAAACTTTGACGTATATTTCAAACGATCTCCTAAATATTTATTCTTCTGTCAACAGAAGCAACACGTTGCAATCGTATCTAAAAATGCTTACCAAAAACTGAGAATAAAATGTTCGAAAATATCAAATAACTTTTATAGTGTTCAAAGATAATTTAGGTATATAACGAATTTCAAAAATATATAACAAAAATCACATGAAGCACGACATTCAAAATATTGTAACCTAACGAATGAAAATATTAAATTAACCCAAATAATTACTTAAACGTAAACGATATCTGCACGAAATACATTATCGCAGAATGATTTATCATCGTCACGGGTCTGTAAATACGAGCAACGAGAATTTCCGATTTCTGCTCGGGTGAAAACGCTTTCAAAGTGCAAAAAATAATATGACTTTCGAAAGGGTAACCTTCGTCTGTTTCTGCGAACCGTGCAAAAGGAAAAATGTTCACGTGGAATACGAGATAAGAAATTTAAAGGGAGATAATGTGCGCGCGGTTCGCACAGCAAACATAATGGCGACTTCGGTGGATCTTATGGACCACGCGTCTGTGCATTGTGCTTTTTGCATAATTTATCATCCGGCCATGGCCGAAATAATGAAAGCGCTTTCTGCCGTTTCTGCTCCGCCCGATGTGAAATGAAGCTTCACGGTTTTTATATCTTGAGCACCCGGACTCTAATGTCCTCGGGTATAATATAAACAGTGAAAATGTGTTTGCGAGAAATAACGTGCTTTCTCACGGGCTAATGAATAACAATGATCAGAGAAAATAATACGTACATTAGTCGAACGATATGTTTCTTTTCAGGCATCGATGAATTATGTTTCGCAAAAATGCTATATAAATTGTCATTAATAATTTATTGGGAAAAGAGAACAATTCTAGGTATTTCCTATGTTTACGTTTGCTTTTAAGTAATAATTGATTACAGAAAAAGAATATTTACTTTGTCTTCGAATGAACTGAACAATATTTATGTTTGCTAACCCTCTATGGTCCGAATCTATGTTCATGATTGTAACAAAATCTATGCAGTACAACATTAATAAATATCCACATATGAATACGAATTAATCTTCAATAGTTTCAATAATTTCATCAAACGAATATATTTTGTAACATTCAAGTTCCAATGACGTTAAACTTTCACGCCTGAGTATAAAAGTTCTAGTTAACGGATTACATAATTTCATTCACTATTTCGGAGTTAATCGTACACATAAACCGATCAAAATGAAAATCCAAATCCATAGGCACCCAACGCCGAACAAAATTCGTAAAACGATCACGCGCATTCCTCATCTCGAGCGAATACATAAAAGTTTTATTCGTTCTGCTATTTCCATTTCATCCGGAAGCAGATGGACTCAAGAAAATCCTATTCTTCTCGGAATAATAACGATGATTCATAGCCGAGAAACACGTCGAATGCATTTAGGACTTATCGTTAGCTCCAAAGATTCCAGAATATATATACTCGTATTACGACTGGGAATACGCGCCCTTACACGGAGAATAATAGTCGGTAAGGGGATTTAAAAGTCCAGCTTTAATCACTTTAATTGTTGCGAGTCTTCCCGTGAATTGCAAATCCCCGCTTTATTTCCGACATGGCTTTCGTCTGACCCACAATGAAGTTGAAAACAAAGATCTTTTTTTTCACAGTGGGATCAGTATTCAGTGACCGCGTGTTAAAATTGGCAGTGGCAACCATTATGCAATACGCTTTTTAACCCAAAGTTGAATCCTCGTAGAACAAATCAATTCATCGTATTCATCGACTACACGTATTATATATTTCATGCTGTATTGTATCTGATTTCTTCCTCATTGTGGATTTATAAAACAAATGTACAATATGGAGAACAGCTCATTAATAAGCATTTGAAAAAGCTTCATCCTCTGCTGTTTGTACTGTCAGCTATATCGCTGGAGAAATTCTATACAACGATTGATAGAAATTGTTTCTGAAGCAGGAAATATTACTGTGCAAAGTTTGACGAAAATTTTATTTCTGTATCCAATTTTCTATCTACCTTTACATTTCATTATTAGAGTTCCATGTAGAAGGCTACAGAGGATGGAAATTAACATTGATTAACATATAAATGGAGAACATTCGTATAATTGAATACTGACTAATTTAAAAGAGGACGTGGACATATCCAATTTCATTATTTAACGCAATGCCTCGTTCTTGTCATTCCTAAAATGAAATGACGCGAGAATTGAAAAGATCCAGGAAATACTGTAACTATTAAAATTGGAAAATTCTGTTTCTTATTATCTTGTATACGATTTTCTTTTTTCTAAGTAGTCGTAAATAATACTGATAATAATGAAAAGTGACATTGTGATATTACTACACAACTTTTCATCTTTCTTCTGAAAAATTTAAAGTTGGACAAATATCTTTTCTGTAACTACTCCATTATCTATAATATTCATTCTATTCATCTGTAATATTTTATAATATTCAGTTATCGAAACGACAATCATCAACCAGCAAGTGAGTCGAACATCATTCAAAAATATATTTATGTCCAATTGAGAAAGGAAGTTTTCAACAGAGACAAGCAGCAACAATTTTTCAATTGTTGCAAAGAAAACATCGATCCTTTCCCAGGACAATGAAACTGTTATCTGGCGTGTAGAACTTAGAAGTTTCAACGTTCACGCGCTCCGCCAGTAACTTTTTAATCACGCAATGAAGTAATCCCGTGTGCGTGACCGCCGTTATCCGTCTCCATTTATTGCAATAATTACCTGATACGTCATACAACTCTAATAAAAAGTCTTTGGTAATCCGAATATTTTTCTACAATTATAAAACTGCGCGTGATCTTTATAACTGTAGGGATTTATAGAATCATTATGAAAACAAGCTTTCCTCTCCTCTTATTCTCTGGCTCTTCTAAATGAAAACACTCCTTGAAGGTTGTACAACAGTGTGTGATTATTTTCTTCTTTGGTACCTCAAGAAATGAGGCACTTATATTCTTTCATTTTTCGGTTCTTCAGGACGAGGACGGCGCTTAAGGGTTATCGTGTGCTTTCCTATCTTGTACATGTTGTTATATGACACTCTATGATCATATTCCTCTTTCAGTGACACGAAGAAAGCAAGAAGCATTTTTTTTTCTACTTTCTGGTTCTTCTACATGAGAATATCCTTTAGGAGTTGCTTCTCGATGCTATATATGTATTACTTAATACTGTGTAATTACTATATTCTTATGTCGCTGCGCTTCTTACTTAAATGATTTCAACAGGAAATTATTTCTGCAATTCGTTGATTTTCAGGATGAAAATATTAAGTTAAAAATAGTTTTTAGAAGCAACTGTGGCCACTTCGAATTCGACTAAGTCGGAAAATATGATAATCGAACGTATAAAAAATACAAACGCGGGTTCTATTTTATTTTTGTGTTTCCAAATTGTTACGATAATAAGAATGAACATAAGAACAGTAAAAGATAGTGGCAATTAATATAAAAATAAAATACAAGAAACAAACACCGCTTCTATTTTATCTTTATGTTTTCAAATCCCTGTGTCGATGGTGATAATAAGAATAAGAATAGGAAAAAATAGTAGCAATATGTCACGCTTCGAATCACAATTGAAACTATCGTGGAGTAGATCTGGATATCTCGGTGTGCTCGCGGCTGAGAATATAGGCAAGTTTCCAGCCGTAAAGGGAGGTTGCGAAGGAAACCGTAAAGAAGGATTTGGATCGATGCAAAACGCGAACTTTCCACGGTGAAAGATACGAAACAGGAGCGAACAATGCTTCTCTATCCGACGTGTGTGAATTAGACAGTGGTATGGCCGCGCACACGTAGAAAACCGGCAGATAATGTTACACGAATACATTGTGCACGCCCGCCAGTGCCTGCCCCCGCTCCTATGTAAAAGTGAATGAGCGGGCGAGGGTGGTAAAAGCTGTAGCCGAGGCACTATATACACACATCACGAAGTTGAATTAAAGCAACGCGAGCCAAGGAATCTCGCCCTGTGTTAAATGAAACGAGGTACTGAACGATTTAGTACCCTATTTTGCGTAGCAAATAGTAAGCACGAACACGCCACTTTAACGTGTTACGGTTTTCTCCGCGATGAGTCACGTTTTAATTGCTATTAACGCTGGAACTACCGAGCATTTAATACGATTGATGTGTAATCTTTACGAAAATGGTAACAATAGATAATTTTTTTCAATATAAATCGATAAATATAAAAATACAGATATTACTTTCTCACAAAACATATAATATTAGTATCAATTCTTTTTCAGTATAAATTAATAAATATAAAGATATAGATATTAATAAATATAAAGGTATTCTACCAAAGAAATTCTCTTCGACACGTATATTATATTTCATGAAAGAAATAATTAAGTACGTATATCCAAAAGTACGATTAGGAATAATTCCGAACAATGTGTCATTCATACTATTTTACTCAATTTTGCAACATCGAAGTTGAGCCTCGCGATTAATTTCATTAAACATCTACGCGGAACTTTCTTCCCCTTACACCTTTACCGAACTAACTTTTTCACTTCGCTCCCCCTCTAATAGAATTTTTAATTAAACCCGCCGCAACACTGTCCCTCGTAAATAATGCAGCATTTATTTAACTTCAGCGCAAAATGCCCCAAGGAAGCATCCAATATCAAGGGACGCAGAGAAGAGCCTGCGGTCCGGGAGCGCACTGGAATGTCCAGGTATGTTTAACAATTTTTCTAGCCTGGAAACTTTAAAGTTAATATCGTATCTGCGGTGATTACACGTTACACGTACTTAAGAAAACTAATTTCTACATCTTTTCTTTTTAGCATCATTGCCTCCTCTCTTTTGCTGAAATTCTCATAGAAAATAAGTAAATAGATATTACCAAAGATTCTGCACCTTTTAATTTGCATATAGATATAAACGATTTGATACAAAGTAGATCTTACCACGTCGATACTATTGCTCGATTCGAATATTATTTCGTCAGCTATATGCTTATGTAATTAGCTTGATAGATTTAGTCATGAATTCATTATACTTGTATATTATGTTACATTACATTCATATTAAGTCATACCCGATACTTAAAATTCAATAATAAATATATGAATTTCATTAATTATATGAATAGAGAGAACCGTTGAAAATAATCCACTTCATTAGTAGTAAAATAGCAGTATTACTGATTATTATACTAAACAGAAGATACTAATTATAACCATATAGTAACTTGGTATAATATAGTAATACAATTTCGCTGTATCTTGCGTTTATAATTTTTACAGCTTTTATTTGCAATAAACATTCTTAGCGATATATAAGCGTGACCATGGTCTCTATTTCATTCATAGCAAACGCGACAATTCTTTTTAACTAAGATAATTTCGAATCAACTCAATTTTAATTGGATCACGAGATAATTCCTCTTGCTTCGAAAATTCTAATTCGTTGCATTATTCAGTTTATTATCTGTTAACGGGGACAATTAAATCGAATAGGTGGTGAGAGACAAGGTGACTACGCGGTGTTTGTGGTACGCCTGCGAAGCTCTCGGAATTGGCCTGCTGTTAATGCTTTTAGGAGCTTGCATGGCAACTATAGGTGAGTTGTCTTTTAGTCTTTACTGTCGCAAAGCTTTTCCACGCGCCGCAGCAACTTTGACAAATAAGTACGTACAATAATATAGATCGTGTACAGCAGTAGGTTGTTTCTTCATTTTTGCACTGTTTGCGACGAGCGAATTTTACTTAATAAAATACACGTTTACAACAGTTAACTTAAATCAATTGTGATCAGCATTCTTTTTAGCACAGAAATTATTCACCCAACAATAAATAAAAATGACAACATAATTTAATTAACAGGTCTGAGTAAAAGAAATTCAAAATGTATTACGTAACTTCTTTCTATAATTCTCCAGTATAACATCCTCAAAATAATTAATTTACTATGTCTACTATGTTTTTAATTTTTCTATTAATCAACTAAGTCATTACTAGTAATTTAAAGACACGTAACATTTGTATTTAAAAGTTCGCTAATAGTTTGTATTCCTAGAATCGCATTTGAATATTGTAGAATGAATACCAGTATATCTTTTAAATATTTACAGTAGCTACGTTGCTAGGCTTCTGCTAGAATTAGAATGTTATACGTTCACATTAATATTTTACTACACAGAAGAAAATATTTAAATATTTCTGTATATAATAAATAACTAAAATTTTACTGTAGAATGTTACACATACATATACATGGAAAACGAGATTTACTTCATTAACTATCTCGTTCTAGGTACGAAACCTACTTTCGCAGGCAGACCTTCCCCCACTCTCCTTTTCATTAATCCCTAATGCGATTTTAATTGACCCGTACGTAAACCTATTTATTACATTTCCCTGGTACGTAAATACTGGCGCATTTACAATTACGAAGCTGGTCATTAAATGCAAAGTGAATTCAAACAGACATTACGAAATTTTTATCTATAGTATTAAAATAATTGTTACTTGGAACTACTAGACTATACTTATTCTACACTTTACTTAATGCACACTTGAAATAATTACTACACTGAATGATATTAAGTGAAACAAGTTGCGCAGACTATTTAGTTTCCACAAAGTATCAAGTACCAGATAAAGTTCGAGCAGTTTCCTCGTTAGCAGCGAATCGATTTACGATTTCAATTAGTATTTCACTAGATGAACAGATGAAATTGGTATAAAATGAAATAAAACAATTTTACAAAAATGCTCTCTGCGTTTAAATTTTCATTTAAGAACCTGCACGAAATTTTTCCAGTATCTTATATATTTTCTTCGTACACAACAGGTGTCCTCGTACTTATGAATGAGAGTGTACTCGCTGAACGACGACTTTCGTTCACGACTCATTGCGTCACTTTGTACATACGATATGAAAATGTATGTCGAGCAGCCAGCTGACAATTTATTTACAACTATCGTGAAATATCCAATGTTTCATTCTCGGTGAGAAATCTGACAAATTTAATTAACAATGTCAGTAGGTACGCTGACTTTGTTTTTAATCGAATAGTACATGACTTGTTTATTGTGTACATAACTACAATGTTTAGTGAATGAACTAAGAAAACATTAATTTTTTAAGGATTCTATTACAAACTCCCAATTGAGAAATATTCAAATTTATAGTTGCACTTTTATATTTAACTATTTTAACCGGCATATCTTTGAAACATTTTCAAAAGAAAAATTTTGTAGTAAAGTTCGTGGTATTAATCGAATACCAGCAGTATTAATAATTATGATAAGAAGATATTAATATTTTCTGCGGAAATAGACTTGTAACTATTTAAACACAATTTTATATACCCTTTGACTCGTATTATTAGAACAATGAATAGATTCGTGTCTTACAGGATATTTCGCAGATCAACTGTCCGTGGCACAAGAGGTCAGAGGTAATCTAACAATAAGAGTGAAAAATGAATCACGAGGATTTCATCTGAACAACCTTAGTTACGCTGGACCAATCGTTATGGGTGTAGGAGGTAACGATGATATTCACTATTTCAATGATCCAAATAGTGCTCCTTCCTTATGATTTCTTCGTTTTTACACTTTTTAATCTTTATACATTGAAGATTATATTATCGTTATCCATTCTTAAACCTATTATCTAGTAAACTGTAGGTATATACGAACACATAAAAATAAAGAAACACAAAGGTTTTGTAATTCATAAAAAACGCAATTAAAAATATTATTGTGGAAAATAAAAAACTTGATTTCTACTAATTCCTTGTGGTTTGGTTTCAATTTGCACTGTTACACCTAATTCTTTAAAGAACAACTTACTTTTACTTTCAGTATACAAGATTTTATTTTAAAACTGTAACATGGTTAATGAAAAATTTTATTTTAAATCTATAAATTAAACTTATATATTATTACAAGAAAAAGATACTTATTAGCATTGTATATTATTCGGAATTGCAATGAAATGAAACGAAAAAAAATAATCAAAAGATGAAAATTTAAAGCATTCATTTGTAAATCCATTTTAAAGAAACATAAATTTGTATTATATTTGAAACTGTACGAACAAGATTTGTATTTAAAGAAAAAAAAGTAGTTTGCCCCCAGAGAGATTCGAACTCTCGACCCCTGGTTTACAAGACCAGTGCTCTAACCCCTGAGCTATGGAGGCTCACAGTATTGCCCGTCTTGAAACTAAAATATTTACCTACACCCTGAATTGTGAAGCTAAAACATTTTTAGAATACTATATCGACATTTTTTTCAGTTAATAAATAATTATTTAATTACCAGATACTGTAAAACAGTTTTTATAAATCAAAATAATCTAATAATAACGTTGAGAGCACTTTTGTATGAGTAATATACTGAAACTATTATATGTATTGAACTAACAATTTAATTAATAAATTGAAAAATCCTAAATAAATCTCATTTTGTGATACGGTTCTTCAAATAAAAACTTCTGTAATTTTTACTGGCTTAAAACACGTTTACTTTCTACCTCATAATTTATATTAAAATTATATAATTAATTATTAGATAAAATAAATAGTAAAATAATGCAATAAGTAAATATATCTAAATACTGAAAATGGCCCTCAAATATTCTTGTTAATTAAATATCACACTGCATTTTTAAAAACAGATAATATAGAATCATTTTGGTACAATCGAGATCTTTACAAACCAATAACAAGACCAATTATTTCATTTCATTTTTCATTTACGTTTAAAAGAGGTTTCCAACGGATTACAATTAAAAATAATTTATGACCAATCAGTGGAGAATATTCCTCGGTAAATTAGAGGTCTCCGTATAACGTAATATCAATTTATAGGATTTATCGTAGTAGCAGCTTGCGTGATGACTTTCGAGGCTCGCGATAACGCCGCCAAAGTGGTGCCAGCACGTTTTCGTTTTAATCAAACGTCGACGGTAAAGAACATGAAAAATCTACGAACTCGAAGATCGATATCTAGTCAGACGACTAAATGGGACCACCAACTTGGTGTGTTTAGAGTAAATAGGAGTCCAAGCCCTAGCATACACGAAGTGTTGAGGAAACAGCTCACAGCTGAATTCATGCAATTTTCAAAGAATCTGAACGATAAGCAAACTGGCCATTGCATCAAAAAGAGTCCCAGCGCGCCAACTTTAATAGACAAGAAATCACCTCGCAAACGAACCTCCAAATACGCTGGATGCGCGCTGTTGAACCCAGAATTATTGCAAAGGCACGCCCTTTCCGTTGATAATCCAAGCTACAGTACTCATCAGGTAAAAATTAATGTATATCTCAAACACGTATAAACAAAATTTAATATATGATTTAATGTAATTGTATCGTTTATATTTCTGTACGTGATATAATTACAATAAATCATAAGTTAATAACCGACGAATCATAAATTATTGCGTATGGTTATTTATATCATTAAATCATTTATATTTCTGTACGTGATTGTTGAATGCAATTCGAACAGATGAGCAGAGAAAGTTTGGAGCAACAGAAGATGGGCGGCAGCCAAATTTCAATGGCGATGGATTTGCATATTCCCAATAAAGGTCCTATTACACTGAAAGTGAAGGACAGGTCGGACACTGCTAGGCGACATCAACTGCTTCGTCAGACGAAAGTTGAAGAAGTTGATGAATCGGTTTGGTCAGCTGCCACTCGTGGTCATTCGCCTAATCTAACAGGTCAGTCATTATGAAAATAAAAAGCCATTGAACAATTTAATATCGAGAGGAAACATAAAATTTTATAATGTGCAATAACACCCTACTCTTATATACACTGTCGGTTAAAAGTGTGGGACCAATACATCAGCTGAAAGAAAAACTTTCATGTTTTGCGAACAACTTTTATTGGACAATTTCTGTGCATAATTTTTATTATTTTATTTTGCATATTTATGAGATATGTGATTTTTCATTTGTGGTCCCAAACTTTTGACCGACAGTGTACGTAAATGAATACAATAAATATGTATATTGTTTTGTGTTAGGAAAGAGAAATTCGATAGATATAAGACTGCTCGAGGAGCTAGCTGCGACGAAAGATTTCATAAAAGTATCTCCCAGAGACTTCCGCAAGGTATCCTCTCCGAGCTTCCATAAAATGTCTTTCGATAAAATTGGAAGCGAGCGCAGGATCGAAAGATCAATGGGTCAACGAAAAGCGAGTCTGGAATTTAGAAGAAGTCCCGACTTCCGCAGAGGAGACTATAGGTAATATCTACCTGTGTTGCATTTTCAGACCGTCGTCTTTGTATTAATAAGTTATTATAATCCTTATATTCATACTTTTAAAATTATCATTACCTCTGCATTCGTATTCTGTAAATTATCATCTTTATATTAATATCCTCTAATTTATAATTAAATTTACATTAAGAGTTACTCAGCAATTTCTATAATCCCCATTAAATGAAACTAAACTCCCAGCATAAATAAAAACTCATCAATTTATCATACACTGATCTCGAGTTCTCATTATATCGCATTTGTAATCGAACGTTCACAAACGAGATTACATTTACAAGTAAACAAAGAAAACACATGTATATGTATCTATTCTAGAAAACTGTCGGTAGACAGGTTCAGCGTCGACTGCACCAAATATCTATCCGACGACGTGGGGATCAGATCGAGGGCGAGCAGCGGCGAGAATCTAAAGAGACAACGCCAGCCGAAGCTGTATCAGTCCAGATCGGATGACAACAGAAGGCAATCCTTCGACAGGCACCAAAAAGAATCGAGCAGGTACTCGTTGAATACGCAGGCGGTGATCGAGAGCAACGGCGGCGACTGCGAATTCAAGTATTTCACGACAACGTCGGTGGAGACTGAGCCAAGCCGAGCGGACGTTTCGGATGAAAGCCACGGAATCGATATCGACGAGCCAATCGCCGGAGCCATCTCCTCTGAAGGGCTGACCGAGGCCGACGCGTTGCTCGAGGAACCTGAATTGGAGAATCTCCCGGAGAATTGTGCGGTGAGCCTGACGGATTACCGGGATGAAAATGAAAAATACCGTTCGCGGCGAACGGAGAACTTCATGATGGAGTGTCGTGGATCCAACGGCCAGAAGACGAATCAATTTGTCAGCGAGAGCTTCAAAGGTTTCTCGGCTAACGAGCAAACCACATTGTACATAGCGGACGACGAGGTTTGAAGACTGTACGCAACTCTACGATGATTCACGGTATTCTCGCGATTGGTATTCGATACGATTTGAAGGATCACAACGATGCTCGCTTAAATTTTACAAAATTTACTCGGCTAAATTCCGCTGTAATTTATTAAATAAGTAAATATGTTCCAAAATATATCGTGCTTGGTCTCCTTTTAAAGAACAGTCTCACGATTCAATTGATCAAAGTTTCAGTCGGTAAAAGAGAAGAATAAAAATATTTAACATTGCATTTAGGTCCTCTTATTGACCTGTTCGTTTTGATAGTTCCAAAGTTCGAATCTCTTGCTCTTTCATTCGCACCATCTTTTTCTACGAAAGACAAATAAAGAAGCTCTACTCGGATCTAATCGCGAGAATACTGTAACACAGTGAGGGGCAAACTGTGGCTCGCCATTATTAAAATAATAGTATAGAAATTTTTAATTTCATGTTCAGTAAAACGTCGGAAGGGCTGTACTAGAAACAGACTGTCAGATGAGCATCTAAACTCACTTCTCAGAATCAATATATCCTGATTCGAACGAGATTATGAGAAACTTTAAAATAATATTTTTTCAGTCCTTATTGAGTTTTATAGTAAATTATATTAGCCCACCAAAATTCTGTCTTTTTTTTGGTCTACTTCTAAAACAGTTTGCCCGTCACTGATTTAATATATAAAAATTGTTGCCTAACTTTCATAACTAAAGGACATCTCTAAACTTCAGCAATTTACGGTTTTAAATGTCCGTCGAGGTTTCGAAAGCTAGTAAGTAAGTTGTAACATATGAAACTATTTTCCGTTGGAATGAATATATAGGTTATCATATTTTTAATATGATTTTCGAAATTAATAATGTTTTGGATAGTATTAAATCAATGACGGAACCGACGAAGTACCGTTCGTTGCAGCGAACTTGGCACTTGGCACAAATATATGACGGCTGACGGGAAACTTCTTATTTAAATTTGTGTGATTAAATAACTCTTTGAAGGGGATGTTTCTAAACTTAGAGACAGTGATTAATGGTTTCTTTATTTCATAAAATCTAGAATATTAATTTTTATAAATAATATTAGAAACGTTCGATTTATGGACTTCCTTCAATGAGGAATGAATGTGCAGGTATTTATTCGATCCGAAGAAAATGGGCATTTCATGTGTTACAAGCCTTCGTTTAAAAATGTATTTGAACTTTTACATATCTATACGTCTAAACGCTGTTAAACAGATGATTATATAATAATGTTAACGCAACTCTTTGTTGTTTAAAGACACGTTTGTCAACGCTGAGCATTTCTACTGTTCAACAGATAACGCGAGTTTGATAAATTGAGTATTACGTAAGAATTCCCAGCGAATAGGTGTCTAGTAAAAAGAAACTAATTCTGCGCAGCGCCTCGTCACTGTTGCGCTCTAAATTTTTATTTAAAAACAAATTTTTAAATAGCATAGAACATAACAATACGTAGGAATTTTTTAGGATAACGAGAATTTCGCCTAGTAGCATTCAAACTTAACTTTAATCATGCCTTGACTATAATATTACTCGTTTTCTATCCAGTTGTTTTTATATACTCGTAATTAACCTGACAACCAGGGGATTACTCATTTGTAAATATGATTAATAATTACCTAATACCACTTGTTTCTATACCGACACCATGTAATTTATACTAATGTAAATGTTGTTGAGCAATTCTGTTAGACGAACGTTTAACTAAGGAAATAAAAAAAGAAAAGAAAAAATGTCCATGGATATAATGAAATAATAATGATAAGCGAGTTCGTTTTACCGGCTAGCAGGTTAAGTAGAAGAATCTTTCTTTCTGTACTATAAACAATGTTGACGATGAAAATATTGAATAATCTGAAGATAATATTGAATAAGAACAATCTAATATTTCGTTCAAAGACAATCATCTATGATAACAACCAATGTTCTTCTCGCGATTAGCACAAATATTATTTACCATAACGATGACAAATAATAAATTCAACTGGTATGAGGTAAGAAGTAAATATTCGAAATGGATACTTTAGGTCACAATCAAATTGTGAAACATATTTCTGCCATGAACAATACTGAAAACTCTACTACTGAAAAGTGGTGTCTGTAAAATGAATGTTGCACACTGTTCAAGGAGAACTAGTAGAATTTTATACACGTATAGCGAGGAACAAAAATGTTACTTCATTTCGTATACTATACATAGACACCGACAGTGTCATTAATTTCTGTTCTTATGTATTTATTGTCAATAGACTGCAGGTATTTATGCAAATATAAATTTTTATCTAATAATTTAACAGTTTATTGTTCAGTAGGTACAATGCAAGACTTTGTTTTCTCTAATGAAGATATGTGTCGATATTCAAATAAAATAAAAACCTTAACAAACTCTATTAATCACTTCGCTATGGTGGATTTCATAAATTATGTTATAAGTGCATAAAATCTGCAGTCCAATGATTAGTATTAAGTTTGTAAATGTATAATATACGACTATATATACTTTGGAGTATAATTAATAATATAGGAAACATGAATGTTTGTATTTCTCTTAGGTATATCTCTTTGTAATTATTTTTCATATAATATTTTACATATTAGGTGGAAAAACGAGAAATCTACTATTTCTACAATAAAATGGTTGTATAGTTTAAATTCAGGTTATCGTAGAACAATGGAGGATACACTTTTTCGGGTCAATTGCAATATTAAGATTACCGGAACAAAAGTTAAGTTTATTTGATTTGTTACTTCATTTATCTAACTTATTCGAAGTGACAAATATTTGGTAATGCTTTAAAAAAAGGAATGTTGCATACACATTCGATTATTATTGTTTGTTAAAATGAAATTTACGATTCATCAACTAATATTCAAACAAAATATTGTTAAATTTCAATCGAACGTGTTATTTTTGTAACATAAATGAATAGGGTATTTCGATTATAGTGTGTTCTGTGATTACCATGATATGGCAACAAATCGTACAATCATAATCGTTACATTTTTATGCTTAACCTATCATACGACTGCTTCATAGTGAAAGTTACGCTAGCGAAGTTACTTGCTATAGAAAAAATATCTACCGAAAATGATAAGAAATCGTGTGTATAGATGCTTATATTAACTTTCGAAGGAAAAAGTTCATAACATCACATACACGCATCAGAAACGTTTACTTTTCAAAAGAGGATCATTTGAATTACTATATTTTACAGATCGTCAATAATTGATAGGTTTAATAACACAACCTTAGTTCATTCATATTAATTCCTATAAAATAAATCGCAATAATTGTCGTTTGAACATCATCGTGTTCCACTTTGTAAAGCGTTCCATAATTTCACGCGAATACGGCCTATCCGACTGTATTTTACATTTTTACGAAGCGACATTGCAATCGATTGTAGATTCGAAAATTACGTCTCGCGAGCGTAATTAAAACGAACGACATTCACGAATGTTGTACAGCGATCGGACGACCAGTAGAATCGAAAAAGGAAAAATGAGATTTAACGAGAGCGACAATCCATTAACCGCAAGTGATACGTGAATCGTCTTTTAAGCGAAAGGCTTAAACGGAGCGTGCGTAGAAATCTATTTTTATATCTCTGATACGACGATACGGCGACATGATGTTAATTCAACAGTAATATTAGATCCTGTAATATGGAACATCGGATTTTACGCGAAAAACCTTATTCGATGTCCTAAAGAACATTTATTCAATCAAAATATGCTCTGTTCGATTCGATACACTACTGCCAACTTGTTTTTAACGAATGTATTCCTTTTTTGAAAAATTCTGAATGTTTAGAGTGAATAGATTCCAAAGACATCATTTTGCAACGAAACATCACCGAAACGAAATTTTGCAAATCAACGTTGCACCGTTCTTTCATCCACAGTGTTGTCCCAAATACTTTGTTTATATTTTCAACGGTTCTTGCAACATTATTTCCAAGTTTGAATTCATAGAAGAAAATTGCACGACTGTTGGCAGTATCAATGTTTTCAAAAAACGGTACAAGAAATAGTTAATATGCACAATTCGGAGAAAATGTTCCGCAAGAAGGTACTCTAGTAATCAACACTGTTTAAGAAGTTACATGAAAAACAAAGGATTAACAATGATAGGAGTACAAACGTTTATAAGTAAGACAAATCTGACATTTCGTATTACACGGTCTAGTAATATCACGGGTTCTTTTCGCAAGATTAACTCGTTTGTAGCAATACAGACGTGTGGTTTGTGGTAAAAAAATTATCTTCCGGCTGTTCGAGGTAATTCAAACGACATCGCGTTGCTTGTTAATTCTTCAAATGCCCCGCCATCTTTACGTACATATACGATGCGTCGAAGTTGGGTCAGTATGTTCTACGAGCAGAAATTAGAAGGAAACATTTCACCGAATAGTTCGAAATTCAGTTATCGACTTGGGAAATGTACAATTTTCGTACAGGCAACACGTTGACTGCAGATTTTATACATTTATTCCAGTCTCGATAGTCTAACGCTCAATATAATAAAACAAACTTGAGCTTCGTGAAGTTTTTATTTTACTTTGACCCTAAACGAAGTCTTATTAAATAAACGGAATCTTTGTTTCGTTCTAGTTTCTCTAAAATTCGCATCTGTATAGATATCTGTATTCTAGTAGGTAATAGAAATTGAAAATTTTTTTCGAGATTGTGGCAAATGGAAAATGTAAAATAGTATATTTCGATCCGACTGTAGCTTCTGTATTTGTATATTTGTTCATTTATATATTTATTTATATATAAACCTCGAACGGCCAGTTTAGTTTACAATCACTAAATAATAGAAATATTGTTAAACATATGCTAAGACAGATTGACGAGGAAATGAAGCTTAAAAATGAGAATGTACTTTCGCGAAGTTCGCGAGAGTAAAATTACATTAATCCAGAAAATAAAAATAATACTTACTCGATTTTTAATGGACCAATATATAAAGAATATGTATATAAAAATGACAAATTATTAAAAATATTGAAAGGATACTACTAGGTACTCCGGATCTGATATTTCGCCTTCAAAAATTGTTAGGGATATATTGTAACGAAAATATTACGTGCGTTATTCCATTTCGAAGACTAACATTTATTATCATTATCAAATGAAGATATTTTAATTAATTTACGCCAATAAGTAATTCTTATCGCTTAATCAAATAGTACGATAGATTAAAATTAAAACAATTTCTTCACATTTATTTTCTTTATAAAAATTTCAAGTTGTAGAACGACAACTAAGCTATTAATTGATTGGAAAGTAAACGTTAAATATTCACATGTGTACGCAATAATTTTTGTTGAATAAATATATACAATCGATTCCAGAAATCAGAATTAAGCGTGATAAATATTAGTCTTCCAAATATAACTTCGCAAACGTGAAAAGTGTAATATAATCACTAATAACTCTCAAAAAATTGCATTACGTACTAGTATTGTTCCGTTTATTATTTTTGCTAACATTATGTGAATTTTTCGAATACATTTAGCAATTAACAAGAAAAACATAATCGAGCTGTGATGAAATTGTAATTAAATAAAAATTGCTACCGGAAGCGAAGATTATTGTAATTGTCAGTGCTGTTAAATCGTTGCATTAATCGCGTGCATTCAATGTGTTAACACAATCAATTTAAAAAGAGGTACTCGTGAAATACACAATATCAATTTTACATATCTGTTGTAAAATAATTTTAAGAAATGTATCTTAAAACATTCAAACATTTATATACCTTGTTTAAAAAATCAATTCTTTGAATTAAATTAGGAAAAAATTGATTAGCCTTGAAAAAGACGTTGTATTCGATACAATTTTTAAATTTCATTTAATTATTTCACATATTGACTATCAGTCGATCATTTGTACCTACCACAAATTGACAAAAATCGCAGTTTACTTATTGACGCCAAAAATGGAATAATATAAAAAATGAATTCAAAAAAATGATGTCAGCGAATGTCAATGAATGTGCAATATTAATAATATATGCTAAGAGGAATATTTTTAGCTGAAAGGAATAAATGAAACTATAATAATTCTTAAAAATATAGTTCAATATGAATATTTAATCCCACGCATATATTTCAAGGGTATCTTTAACAGCACTGGAACCGTTGCGAACAATCATAAGCGATCGTATCGCAATTAAATTGTACTCAACAGTCACGTTGAAATAAATCAACATCGCTATAAGGTTCTGGACTAAATGTAATCTTTGCATGCTGATTGTTGTAACATCTCAATAAAACTATTTCGAAAGCATCGTCCTTCTGCCTCGTTGCACAACGAAATCAACAAAATTTGCATATCCATCATAAACTACACCTCGACCGGCCACTTACGTGTTGATAATCGCGTGCATACTCACCGATCGTTGCGTCCTCTCTCCACGCCGCTGACTTTCACCAGTCCGATCTACATATCTGTCAAACATAAAACAATACAAACAAAACTTGAATCATTCGTATCGGAACCTATATCCTCCCATATCCTCGACCCAACAGACACTGAAAATACACCTAACCGATACACGATAATCCACACCGATACTCTACAAGCAATAACCTAAAAACAGCACTGAAAGAGCACCAACCAAATTCAACCGGAAGCTTCATCAAAACCCGAGCGAATTTGTTCACAGAATACAAAAATAATTCGCTCTAAAATATTCGCTTCCAATCGATATATCGAGAAAGTGGTCGAACTCCGTCGATGTCAAGCAAACAGGTACCATTTTTCTCCTGCGCGCCCAGCCTGGTCGGTAGAGCAGAGGCAGGTTGCATACCTGTGCACCGGAATACCGAACGCCAGGTGGCGGACGGTATACATGTGGGGAGACCGGTACAGGTGAGAGACGACGGCGGGAACGGGTGAACGAGCGAGAAAGGTCTTATCGGACCTCCGGTCGAAAGCAGGACAGACGCGATGAGGGGCGACCGAGCATCGTCCGAGTGCCTTCGCCCGTTTAAACAGTGCACCGCTGGACGCCATACTCGGCACGCCGTAGTTCCTTCACTCCGGCCGGCGAGCCATGCTCGGCCTCTGATCCTCGTGTTTGGCTTGTCATCCGCGCGCAGAAGTGCCAGGACGCCGAGCGACTTCGGGCGGCGAGGATGTTCCGCTGTCGGTGAGCCGGGACCTCGGCAAGGGACAAGGAGCAGATATGACGTCCGAGCGGTTTCACAAGTGAGTTTCCCCTCGCGGCCAGCGCCAGGCGACCGTGTGCATACCGAGTTTTCGTGGTCTTGTTTCGGTGCGCGGTTCGCGCCAGGATATCTATTATACCCCGGGACCCAGGAAGCGGAGAAATGTCGCGGGGCCGGGTTTTTGTGCGCGCCGGAATGAAAAAAGGAGCAACGCGGCTGGTCCACCATGGGAACGCGGAGTGTTGCGAGGCAGACCCGTGACTAGGATTCGATAGGGTGTCGGACAAGGGAAACTCGTTTCGTAACAGATTTTTCGGAATCGACGTCGCCCGCTTTCCCGGGGACCCGGTTAAACTGTTGCTGGAACCGCTGTGCCTAGAGCGGTCCGCCGAGCCGCAGAACTGCCAGATGATATAATGAGATTTCTTTGGTGTACGGATTGGTGTTCCTTTTTACGCACGCTGATTTGTTGATTCGGTAGAGATACGTTGCTCGGAGACGCGGTGTCGTTGAGGTATACGGATTGTTGATAGTAATGTATGCAATGTTGCCGAATAATAGATTCAAAAATTTGAAGCGCTTGCTTACCTAGAACACAGCGATTGCTATGATCAGGCGCTATCTCGTTGCTGTATGTATTATACATAGACACCGCGCGTGCGGAATTTATGCATGAGAACACCTTTGCTTTTATTTGATTCACCGCGAAGATTTATCGTCCAGCCCACTTCTACCAGCACCAGGTGTGCAGGCACGAAATGAATATCATCTTTTGTCGCTGAAAAATTAGCTGCGTTTATATAATTACAGGGTACGATGATTCTTCGTGTGAATTAAGATGCCTGCATGCTACAGGTCGAAATGTGAATGGTATATTAAAAAGAAGTTTGTTGAAACTTTGATAATGGGTTTTGTGTAGTGAAGCAGAAACATGGAAATTTTAATGTACATACTAGATACATTGAGTTGCATTGGAATATAAGATTAATATATATTAGAAACACAATAATTTTGCATAGAAAAATTATTTTTAATTTGAATTTCGTTTAATAAAAATTCATTCATTTAAACATAATGTGGAATTTAAAACAGAAATGATAGGAACTTCTTTGTTAAAATTGGAAAGTGATATTAATGAATTTCACTCATAATTGACCTCAATAAAACCTGCAATAATCAGATTTGAATATTTAATTACTGCTTTCGAAACTGTTGAAATATTCTTTCCTGTAATATTACAGTATTGTTATGTTAGTACAAACATAATTTTCACACCCTTGATGCATAAAATTATAATTAAAACAGAACATTTGGACACAACAAAAGGAACAAAATAAATTGTGAAATTTTCAAAAATATCGTAAATATTTAAATATTTATTAAAGGAATTCATATTAACGATTCATAACATACAAATAATAAAAGCACTCAACTAATAAAGAAGTATTTCTTTATGAACTCTACGTCCAATTATAACTTCTGCGAATATAATTTTCGAAATACCATCGTAATGGTTTTGCATGCACGATAGTTCACACTTCATTTAATATCATTAGCATGTTGCATTCTATTTACACTTTCATCGGAGCTAATTCAATGCCTATAACGCAAAATTGTCAAGAGACGTTCACGGCAAATGATTTGTAACAAGGAGAAAATTATCATGCGATGAACTCGTTAAAACTTTGTACATACTTTCTCTAACTTATTGCTCTCTTTTCTCATTTACAGCCACTCGTTGGGCTAACATTATTTGATCCATCGATAAGTATCCATAACACAAATAACTCTCGCATTAAATAAACGATGCTATTATTATGAACAGACTAAATCATTTTCGGGATATCGCTTCTTAATTTTTCTGTGCGCAATTTCGCTATTGTTAAAATTATGATATTTAAAATTTATACTTTCTAAAATACGAATCAATGAAAAAGGATTCGAAGAATGAAAAACGCGAAAACTATTTTAAATTTTCAACGGAAGAAAACAAAGTTGTTAATAGAAATACAGAAATATACACCTAGATTGGATCTAGTTCAGAGGAGAGTTAAACATACATGAACCATTGCAAATTTTTCAATTCCATATCGTTGCGTACAATTTCATCAAATCAATGTACAGAGTATAAATTCGTCGACGTCTCTTATTTGTAATTTCTACATTATTTAGCCGATTCGAACGTGCATTTGTAATTCCTACATTATTCAGCCGAACATGGTTTGTTGTACGTTACTTGCGCATTCCGAAACAAACGTAAATATATTCGACCAAATCCAAAGGTTCTTTCAATAAACTCGAATGTATAATCGCGGGTAATTTGAAAATAATCGTTTTTCGTATAGAGCTGCACGCGACGGCGCCTTGGACATCTTAAAAGAAGCTACGAAAAAGGATTGTAACGCACGGGATGACGGAGGAATGACCCCCACATTATGGGCAGCCTTTGAAGGTCACATAGATGTGCTGAGACTGCTCGTCGCCAAAGGGTATGTATGCTCACCAAGCTATTTAATTATAAACACGTTCGAGAAATATCCACACATACCATTCTCATACGTACATTCATGCCGATACATAAACTCCCAAGAACTATAAAATAATCAATACCATTTAATTTCTTTTTTATTTTCCAATGAATTTTAATTCATTCATTGACATTCAACGCTCAGTTTTTTCTTATTTCCTTCGCCACTTATCTCCTCCGAGTTATTTCTTGTGCCGAGGGCTCAGAATTTAATCAGCGTGCATTACATTTTTGCTTCGTATAGTTCGAAGGAGTTTTCGTCATTAAAACTATGATCGATTGATTTATTATCGGGTGTAATAGAACAATTGGGACATTCCTCGGAAAATTATGCTTTAAGCACCGAGGATTACTATAATTATAAAATAAATGTAAAACTAAAACAAAGGATTAAGAATAATCGGATTACCAATTGAAAATTTTAATAATAAATACACTCTTGAAATCTTTACGATGAAAATATAACTTGCTATTGTTTACCTTCTGTACCCTCCTCATGAATGGTTTAGAACATCAGTGGTCTAATTAATAATATTAATTACTAATACTAGTAATTGTAATATTAGTATTTAATTAATTCAAGGACATTTCACAAATTTTGTATATTATTAATATATCATATATTAATATTACCTTTAAAATAATAATATACCTTTTTTCTACAATTATCAATATTAACAAGAAACAGCAATTATTAACAACAATACGATCTTAGTATTTAATTAATCCAAGAACGTTTCACAACAGCTTCTTTTTCTCGAGAACTTCGAGATAGGAGTGAAGCCATTATCATTTTAAGCCACTCACATAAAAGTCACGTCAATCTACGTATCCGCGTTCACTCGAACGATACAATTTCCACAAAAACTTCGAACTGTTCGTTCTGTACCCCCGTTTAACCTTGAAAATCAGCATACGAATTAAATACGAGGTCGTCGTGGCTAGTGAACACGACGATTTGAACAATACCCCGTACGAATGACATTCACGAACGTCGGAAAAAGGACAGAATAATATATGCATCCGACGCGACGACGGAACGATGATTATTTTAAATGCGAAGCGACTGCTCATAATCCATTTTACACGCGGCCATTATGTTCTTTCTCCAATAACGCGCTTAGCGATGCACGCACGGACGCGAGAGAGTTTCGTATTGTACGATGACAGATGTGCGAAACCGGAAACAAAGGTTATAATCTGGCATCTATCGACCCCACGGGCGGAAATTGCGGCCAAGTGAGCACCGATGAGAAACAATCGAATACGAACGGAACAAAACATCGGGAGGGGGACAGAACGGAAGGGTATATAGGGGAACGAGGAATTACTGCTCAGACAGTCACGTTTCACGCATTTTAGAATATCGACGTTCTCTATCAGAGCTGGACAAATAGTAAATACTCGACACTTTATCTATTAACACTTAGACAGCTTGAAACAATACTGTAATCCTTTTCATTAACTTAATTGAACTCGTTCAATAGATTTTATTAGCCTCTTGCACTACGATTTATTTGTGAACTATGATTATTAGGAAAAGAAAGAACTTTGATGCTTGTTCTATGTTTATGTTTACTCCAAACGTTAATTAGTGATAGAATAGATTGATAATAGAAAAAGTAATATATAATTTATATTTAAAGAAAATAAATGACACTTAAATTTCTCAAGTTCAGTTTAAAATTTTCATCGCGAGTCTACACGATATTGTAGGTCGAGTTAAAAATTCATAGAAGCAGAAAAGGTAATTATCAAATTGCAAATACTCTCAGTTGAAGACTTATTGAATGACAGTAGAAAAAATAAACAAAATTCATGTGGCAAAATAAAATTCTTTTTCCTAGAATAATGTTCCTCTTAATTTCATTAAAATTCCCTTATTAATTATGATCCAATACGACGAAGAATATTTGACAAGTTCTTTTTCAAACATTAAGAACTAAATGCTCGAGTCAACGAAGTTTTCCTATGCTCAATCGAGTACGCCGCAAGATCTGCAATCTGCTTCGTCGAGCTCTTTGTTTATCCGCTGCAAATGCATTAAGTTGTTGAATACATGCCTTGTGTAACACCTTGCGTGATCACCAATGGTCTGTAAAGAACGATATAAAAGCTGAAAGACCGCACGTGCCCTATTGTGCACAAGATCAGATGTCGCTCGGTTGGCTTCAGTGTGGTCAACATACGATGGAAACTTGATATAAGGCCTCCTATCCTTCCGGAACTTTGTTCCGCTCGTATGACAGGATGCGGTGCTGAGGGGACAATTTTGTCCTCCGCGTTTCCAGAACAACGCCAATTTTTACCAGCAATGGTCGTGCTGGCAGGCAACGTTCCCTAAACGAATGAAATCTTCTTTTAAAAAGAGATAATAGCTTATTAATATTTAGTACACATTAAAACTGAGTGCTTGTACAATTATAAAACTGAAGAACTACATAAAAATGAACAATATTAACTTGAGAATCACGAGGCGATTCCAAACCTCTGACAGTGCACACTTTCACGTAAAAACATTGTCTTTCAAAAATGTTAATGAAGTAAATTTGGAAAAAGTAACTATTATCATCGTATTCAACCTTTGAAATATTCAAACTGCACTTTATTTAGAGTAAGGAATTTTTTGTATCAAGAAAAAATAGTTTACTGTTATTTCTGTAGTTGCGAACTGTATATGTGAAAACATTAATGAACGTTTTATTGTTTTCATGAAATTGTGAATGAATATTAAATACCTTTTTTTGTTTACTAACCGATAAAGTAGTATGATAAGTGTGATATAAATAGTGTCCAGTTCAATTTTAATAGAATGCAAACAGGAAACTACAGGGGGTGGTGTTTATACATTTTTAATGATTTTCTTCTTAGGGGTGACCCCGACAAAACCGATTATTTCGGTAACACAGCCCTTCACCTAGCGGCAGCGAGGGGTCACGAGTATTGCGTGAAGTTCCTCGTGAAATTCGGCTGTAACATTTGGTCGTTAGACATTGATAGACATTCTGCCAGAGACTTAGCTGCCATAAACGGGAGGGAAATGATCCTCCAATTTCTAGACCTTGCACAGGCCGATCAAGAACTGAACAACCGTAAAAAGAGCCGAATACTCCGGGAGAAGGCTGAGAAAGATGCCGAGAAAAGGTATTTTTAAACAGTGAAAAATAGAACTACTGTGACGAACAAAAATGTAAACGAAAATAAACGAATGTTGCAACTTACTGCTGAAAGAAATTTAAAATATTAAAATATGGTGAGGTTATACAAATATTATAAGCTTTTTTAAAATATTATAAGACACTATTCAGATACAGGTGTTCACGTACTTTTAATTTTATAACAATATTCGATTAGAGTTAATATTAATATCTACAAGTCTATGTTACAATATTTTAAAAGCTTCATTAAAATATGGATTGATCTTTCTGTGGATTATTTTACTTCTTGTTGATTTTATAAACTGATTTTTATCTTGATTTAATAACACTTATACTCACATTTTTTTACTTACTTTATTTAATAACCACTTCTGATTAAAGTAAGAGAATTCCGAGACTCAGGACACAAAACGAGTAAATATTTTATGATTGAATATTTACATTTTTGATTATCACGTTATCGTTTAACATTCATAATTTTAATATGGATAATGCCTATTCATAATTTATAATTATTAAATTACATTACATTACATTTCACTGCGTTCATAAACAGGTTAAAAGAATACATAAAGAAGCAAAAAATGGCGGAAATTAGAGCCGAGAAGGAACAAAAGAAATTATCGAAGGATCGGACGAAATTGGACTTGGCTACAGTGAACGAAGCTGGTATTCTGCCTTACAAGCCCAGTATATTGACCTTCAAAGGTCGCGTGAAGCCTTCACCGACGTTCAGCGATATCGTCGGCACTAGCGCCAAGAAGCATGGCAGCGCAGTGTGCAGGAAAGCTTTAGCAAGAAAGGCTGTCGATGATTTTAAAATTGTAGAGGTAAGATACTTAGAACTATACTTCTTTCAGTATTTATTGCATATTCTTTCAAACCCACTTCGTTAAGAGACTTATTTCATGCCCATATTGCCTCTAAAGTATAATAATTGATAACAAAAGGATATTTAATTTAATTTACAAAAATTGAATTTAGGCTTGTTGAATTCTGTTTAACCCCTTGCCCTATGATTTCTTTCTAAACTATAAACTACTTTGTTATTAATAATTTATCGAAAATAACAGAAAATTCCAGTTTTATTTACGTTTTTTAAATTCTATTTGAAATCTTCGCTACGTCTTACACGATCTTGTAGGGCGAGGGGTTAAAATCTTGACGTAATTAAAGTGATCGCAACCTTTGTAATGCAATTGGGGTCTACTGCATTTCTAGATTGAGGTAAATGGGAAAAAGTCAATTCGTAGCCTCACTGGCCTCAGAAGGGACTCTGAGATCATGTACGTAGGAACTTATGAAACGCAAGCTCAGCAAATGGGGAGAAGGGGGAAAATCTCGGACGTTTGGGGTACTCTGAGCAAGGCGCAGAGCACGCCTGATCTTTTAAGCGATCGCGCATTTGACGAGGAGGTGGAGCATGAAGACGAAGAAGAAATAAATGGTATCAGAGACACGGCCTTCCTGCAGGAACCGGCGAGCATTTTTAATCGACCTGGTTTTGGATCGGTGGCATTTAGAAGAGCGGTAAGTTTATATATTTTTACAATGTATTCTTGCACCAAATTTTGTCGGCGACATTTAAGAAATAATTGTATAATCACTGTGTTAAATGTTATTAAAAGTATAACTATATTCTTTCAACATGAATTATTAGTTTTTTCAAATAATCCAATGTCTCCGTAGTGTCATAATGTTTCTTTAAAATTAGAACAACCGAGTATCTAATGATTAATATGTAACTATAAAAATTGTAATAGATTTTTTTCGGTTTCTTCATATATTGATTATAGTGTTAAAGTGAAACTGTTTATTTCTCAAATCATTCCGGATATTTAACGCTTTTAAAATATTAACGATTGCGAAACAAGGAAACTGAAACCCGTTATTTCGACGAGTGCGATTGTTTTAGCGTTGAAATCATAATTCTCCTGTCTGCAAACTTTTGTTGTTAGTTTTCAGAAGAAGATCGTTCTCACAAGCAAACGTAACGCTTTACTCTGTTATTTCCTTGCAACAGGAAGAAGTCTTTCATTGTTCCATTTACTTTTTCATTGTTCTCTCTGTTGTAGTAGTCACCTTCTATTTCTCATTAGCTTAATGAAAGTAACGGATGGAAGCAAAATCAAAGACAACACGAAACGAAGCCGTAGAACCTGCAATCACTTCGTGCACTTTATTTCGCTAAGACAAAGGATGTGCCTTTAAAAATTCACGGTTCAGCAGAATTTAATGGATTTGTTGCAAACGGTTTTACGAAACCGTTGGAAAAACAGTTATATGTAGAGCACGTATATCCCATTCATTCGTTTGTAATTACTCGAGCATCGCAACACTTGTTATAGATAAGGAGAAGTTCAATTGAACGCTCAAATACATGCCACTCCCATCATTGTAGATTTCAGTCCATTCATATTTCGTTTCTAATTGTAAATTATTGTTATCGTGTACACCGCAAGGAAAAATATTTAAACGCACGATTTGTTCCGTGATGGAAGATTCAGATTTTAGTCGTAACACACCGGAAATTTTCAATAACACATGTATTGTTTCGATATTTTGTTATCTCATTAACATGAAAATCATGTCTAACGTGACTGCAACACGCATACCTACAAGCTTAATTGTCCCGCGCTGTCATCGCTCGCGACGCTAATTGCTTCGTAGAAATCGTTACCGGCTGATCGAGAATTGATACCAAAGTTGTTACTTGTTACGTGAAACATGATAAGGCAATTACATGAACAATGCATTTCCATAAAAAAAATCGGTGTACCGTCGTTACCGTAATAGATAGAGTATACCGATAGGGATCGTATTAATGTCACTCGAGATGATTCAACATTTATTAGAAAGCGTAATGCACAATGGACTTTTTAATCTTCAGATTACAACTACTTTTGAGAACATACCTGTCACGCAACTGGATTCGCATCAACAAAATGGTAACTCCTGCATGAATGGCTCTGTGAACGGTTCTATAAATGGCCATCGAGCTAACTCGAATGGACATAACGAAGAAATTAGCATAGGAAGTGCGGGCAGCTTGGCTCGCAGGCAAGGCATGTGGGATGACGATTTACTTTCAGGTAAAAAAAATAACTTAGTACAATGTTTAAATAATCGATGTAACATGATAATAATTAGTGAACGAATAGAGACCATTAATTATAATTTCACAAAGATTTAACATCTATTATGGTATAATAATAATTAATGAAAGAATAAAGAATTTTCGTCGCAAAATATTTAAATAAACTTCTTATAACTTCATTACGAATAGAATAATTATTCATAATTGTGTGAAGATTTATCAATTTTATCGATTTCTCTTTCAAACGTAAATTACAATAAAACGTTCGAACCTACGATTATAGAAGAGGAAGAGGAAGAGGAGGAGGAAGAAGAAACCGACGAAGAATGGACACCACTGCAGAGATTCTTAGTTGCCAATAATCTGTCATCGACGCATCCGATTTTAGAGTCGGAACAAATCGATTTGGAGGCTTTAATGTTGCTCACCGAAGCTGACATCGCGGCCCTTAAACTTCCGCTTGGCCCTAAGCGGAAACTGATGAACGCGATAGCGAACCGGAAGAAAGCATTGAACGCCCCAGAGAATGTCATCAAAGATAGCAGACTGTAAATGTTCTAATACTACGGGAAACGTTATTTCTAATGTATTTTTATCTTGCCTGAATAAGTTCTTAAGTGCCTAACGAAATGCCAGGAAAGTATCTTTTGATATAAAAATACGTTGTATATAAGTATTAAAAAAATGTCTGCGCAAGCATTCGGACTGCGAATATAGTTAGAATTCGTACGGAAAAAGGATTATTTCTACGCGATTGGACGTACGAAGAAAATTCAGTGGAATAAACGGGCTAATAGATAGATAATCACTAATCACCTTTCGGTTACAATAAAATCAGATTCAATTAATACAAAAATGAAAGAAAAAATCCGCGACGACAATGCGACGACTAAAAGCTACATTAAAATATATATGAAATTAACATTTAAAACAATTTCGAATAATGACGAGGTTGTGAAGAGTCTCAATTAGCCTTAATTTCTTGTACTACGCACGGTGCCTTAATCTAGTGAAACGTACTTCTCATTAAAAGGATGAATGTATATCCCGTTGTTTGAAAGAAGACCTCCAGAAGAAAACGAGTCTGAGTGGTCGGAATCTAGCGTGTTCTCGGCTCTAGCGTGCGGTTGGTCGAAACGGTCACGCACACTAATTACGTCGTATCACGCAACGCACATAGCTAAAGACCCCTCTTGCCCCTGTGACGTCACGGCGGTCTTCTTTCAAACAACGGACGACAAATGGACGTGTAAATGCCAACCGAACGAAATGTACCTCCTCGAATCTCCCGAGTAACGTAAGAAAGGAAAATTCGATTTCGCGATCGTTCGTCGACCCATTTGTGTAAGCGAAAGAAATTTTATACGAATTGTACAAATCAAATGCGGGAAGAAAAATAAAAAGTCGTGTAAATACGGTAATATTATATTGTATAGAGAATGTTTGTGTTTCCAATATGTATGTCATTGAAAGACGGCGACCAAGAGAGAAGTAAGACAATAACGTTTAAGTAATGTTTTCTTCGTAATTTTATTTGTAAATGATTATCTTACAAACAAGAGACGCAAAAATATAGAAGCTCCTTATGTTCGCAAAAAAATAACAGCACCATTTCTCGCTCTCACCACGAACATAAACATTTTTGTGTCATATCACGGCTCTTTTGTGTTCGTGCAATTATTATAGTACGATAGTACAGTTGTTGGGAGACAAGGGTATGTCACGTTGCGATTAATGTGCATTCAGAATAAAAAAAAGGCTCGTAGAAAATTTCTCGGCGGCCGCGTATCGGTAACACGTACACAAAACTTCTACGCGCCTGTATGACCAGCGTACGAACTACATTTACTGTGAAAAAGATATGATACAGAAGTGATTCCTTGCGATCCCACATACTAAGGCTGTACGATTAATCGATTAATGCACAATAAATACAATGATGTGCGATCGTCCGATCCGATTATCCTAAATAGCTATCGACTCGTTAATATAAAAACGGATTAAATTCTTTTCCTCTTCATTTACAATTAATCGATTAATTTCAGAGCCCAATAAGCTACCTTGTCTATTTCTATACGAATACAGAACAGTCGGTTTTGTATAATGGCAACATCTTCATTGGAAACTTCTTGTGTTACTTTTTTCTCTTTTCATTTTTGGCAGCGAGTACGAATTACGCATTCCCCTTGAAAAAAAGACGGAAGTCATTGGCATTAAAAAAATAACAATTATTTTTAATGTAAAATCTAAACCCCTTATTGAAAGACATGCTATTCGTACACCCTCCTACGTCAGTTGATAATCTCGAAACACAAAGGAAAGACTCGCTTCAAGCGGACAATTACTTATAAAGAAGTTCGTTTTAGCAATAAATAGTGAAAAGTTGAAAAATAAAGCTTCACAGTTTCTGAACCGAGCACAACGATTCTCGATCGTTGTTTACAAGTCGAGAGAAATACTTTTGTTTCTGCACGAAACACGGCACAGAATCATTAAATAAGATCAACTTTTCCCACGAGAAAGGGAAAGCTCTCCATACACGTGGGAAAATTCTGTTTGTTGCCCTCCGAGTGTCGTCTAACGTGCATAGTTAGTCTTGCATTGCGCAATATGAGAAAATGCCGATCACAATGGCGAAAATCTCGCTCGAATGTTGTTCGAACCAATAACAAATATGTTCAAATCAATTTAGTTAATATACGGTCTTCATAGTATCGAGAACAAAAAAACAATTCGTAAATCAGCGAACACGCCTCTTTCTACTGACAGAAACAAAAAACAAAAACGACAGTGTCTGTACAAAATAACTCGATGTTTCATCATCAAGTATGTTTTCCTTATCGATAAGATATTGCTAAGTATGGCATCATCAGTGTGTCACTTTCCCCTATATATTCTTTTGGTTAGAGTTACCTTTGTACGAAACATTCACCAAAAAGTAACAATCCACTGGGCAGCGATAGAGGAGAATCGTTATCTTCATTCTTTCCGTCTACGTTTTAGAGAAAATTTATACGAAGTTTATGAACATACTACAGAGAAACCTAGAAGGAAGTCGCGCGACTAAATTTCATACGTACAAAGATACCCCTCGATATTGTTAATTTACAATTCGTTGGAATGGAACTTTCAGAAACATGACCCTGCGTTTACCTAGCTGGTCAGAAAAGTAGAGTCAAGTGGAGTCCTTGGAGTTTTATTAACTGCCGATTATACGATAAATATTATTAAAGCTATCGCATAGTTGTCAATATTAATAATGATAATAATATTATCAATACTCCTAAGGCTATTATTTATCGTTATCATTATGAACATACGCTATATTTACAAGTGAACAACAATTTTTTTTTTGCTCGTCTCCGGAACGGTGCTCAAACAATGTTGAGGAAATAAAACCAAACAAAAAACGAGTGAAGCTTCTAAATGACTTTCGAAGAACTCGTGAAAGGAAATTCAGGATGTCCATATAGGAAAATCGATTTTCATCCTTAAATAAATTTCTTAACAAATCCGTTATAATAAAACGGTCCCAAAATTCCTTGCTACCGGTAGTCTTCAAAATTCAGATAGGAGCTGCAGTAAAGGACACCATACCTAAAAACAGTACACATTTACAGTGATCTTAAAAAAGGAGTGACAAATCGCTCCCATACAAGTCTTTGAACATAATGCTTCTTATGAAATATGCATGTATATTTATGCGCATACGGTCATGTATGCGCGATTACATATATACACGCATATATACATACATACGCGGCAAAGAGCTGTTGTGTCTCCACGACAATGGCTACTCCGAAGACGGAAAGCTCGCGTATTGATTAGGTCCATATTAGCAGTCGTGGAAAAGTAGATCCCCTTTGCATTGCACTGTCTTTACGTAGACCTTGCCTCGAGACACATTTCAATGCGATGATTCAGCCCTTTGCCTATACTATATATACATATATAAATTATATATATTATATTATATATTATACATATTATATTAAATATTATATATAATACATATATATTATATCTATATATAAATAATATATATATGTATATATATATATATATATATATGTCACAAGAAATAAATCAACTTTAAACCACCACGAATCTCTTCATGGCTACCCAATTGACGCCGGATACACTGAGACTGGGAGTAAAACTACTCACTCATAGATCCTTTCCCACCGATCCGTTAATTCCATCCATCGCTCCAGTTTGATATAAGCATTGCTTATCCTAACTTGCTTAAGATTTATAACTACACGAAATCTATTTAAGAATTTTACCAGTAGTTACACAATTATGAGCACCCGCGACACATGGAAAAAGTAAGACGTCATTCTTCCTTTTTTTAATATCCTCGTCAAATCTCGCTTCCAAGCTCGGCTTCGCATATTAATTAAAACTTTGGCGTGAATGTCATGACGTGGAAAAAAAACAGTGCAGTGAACAAATTCATTTTTTCGATTCCTTCCAAAGGATCGCACACGAATACATATAAAGCAGATATAAAATTACAAACGAAGGATTATAGAGACAATTAAATATATTATCCAAAAGACAGCTTTTTTTATAGTTACTCTACATATAAAGATCGTACAACAGAAAATTTATCTCCCGCGATTGATGAATCGAATTTACAAAAACAAGGTAAACCGGATAATTTTCTTCCGACGCATCGTTCTTGCTTTACATGAATATTTTCCTATTATTTTATCCTATCACTGATCTTTCATCATTCACTTTTATTGCCAACAAAATCCGTATAAAATGATCTCTTTTTATTGATATTAGCCTCCAAATATCAATGATCTATCACGTAATAATCATAACAATATTATAATAATCAGAGGGCTAAGCAATCCTTTGGATTATTAAAGAATATTCTACAAACATCTCCCTATCCCCATTTTCTTCGTAAGGTTACAATTATGGACACTAATGCAATTATAAAATATTACATTATCGATTCAACACTTGTCGAACATTTTTAAACATGGTAAATTACACCGCGAAGTTTATCGGCAAATATCAACAAACATTAGCTGCTGATTTTAATGTACACATCGACCGTGTGTACAACATGTTGATTGTAGCTATTAAAATTTCATAATATATCTGGCAAGTTTCAATACCCTCACAAAAAAACAGTGCAACCGTAATCTTGATAATTTAATCGAACGTTCTTTCCAGTAGAAAATAGTAAGGCACATCCCGTTTTCACGAAAACTAGGAACCCCTACTTCCGGTACCCCTCACATATTTTTAATCGTGTTCATATCCTCAGTCTACTAGATGTTTTCTTATTTTTTTTCGTTAATACTTTTCTACTTTTAATTATTACGAGAGGTTTTCAAAATAAAATATGTAAATATAAAAAATAAACATATATCGAAACATTTATGATATAAGGACAACCGATAACCATACATGGTTTTATCGGAACGAAAATTGTCATTAATTTTCCAGCTTTTTCTAATAAAAAATATTATTACATAATACTTTATAAAAATAGTAATATAAGAAAACCTTTGTAATAATAAAAAGTGAACAGAATATAAACAAAATCGATACGGACTGGACATTTATGTGTAAACAAAAATAAGAGAAACATTTCATTACCTGAGTTGTGGTAGTTTAGTAGACCAGCATATTTTAAGAACGACAGAGAATTACACCGCACTACTTTATGATGTTATTTTAGTAGTCTCCCCTATACTGAAAAAAGTTAGATTAAAATACCAAGGTTACAGTTTGTGCCATCCTCTTGTCAGTTTACAAATCAGTAAATCGATAGATCATGTATACAGATTTCTTGCTCATAAAACAATGACATTCACTCCGTATGGGCACTTTGAATGATATTCTGAAATACGTTTACATTATCCCATTGTTTAGTTAAATAAATAAATAATTTCAAAACGAAACTCTACCAAGTATAGTAATGATTTTCATATATCCCGACTTTAAACATACTCGTGCTACGATTTCCTCAAACAATAACACAGTAATTTTTTTATATTAGAAGAAGCTGCTTCTTAAATAAATCATTCGCCTTATCGCACCTTTGTGATACTTTACCGGCAGTTTAAGAGAAACTCGTCAATTAATAGGAAATATTCGGAACATATTAATGCGTTTCATATAGCAATGCAAATCACTGCTATCTCGCTGAAATGATTATGTTTAATCGGGAACTGTGTAGGGGAGATGAACCGTTAATAATTAATTGATCAATTGATTAATTAATGGGGAACAAGGGAGTGCGGTTACTTTACACATCGCGCGCTGTTACATGAAACGCGAACGTTTGTGCGTGGGAGATCCCATATCCACATCATGCGAAGCAGGCCGTTTGTGATGTCGAGCAAATTCGCTACTAATAAATGCCGATAATTCGGCTTGTCTTCCAGTACGCCTAGACATTGGTGAACCTATCCAATTATTAAAACATCGTAATTAGTTCGAAACATAATTACATTATATAAATTATTGTAAATGAAACAAATTTACTATTCATGTACAATCAAGAATGACTCTGTGGTTAATCACAAATTTATGATTTAGTATGAAGAACAAGTATATTCTTCATTATTAACTTGTCATAATAAATGATGCTTACCAGATAATGCGATTGCTTCCCTAAATGTGTGTAATTCAGGATCAGGATCATTTACAGCTGTTGGTGTTGGCGCAACAACCATACTTGGTGTTGAACTTTGTGACGGCGGCGAACCACACACCATCATTCTTGGTTTGGGCGAACTCCTGGAAGTTGCGACAAGCTTCAACTTGTAACGTATTTATGTGCATGAAAATATGTAGTTACATTATACGTGCAATCTGTGTCATTAAGACAAACCTGACAAAAGGAATTGTTGCACTAATGTCTAAAAAATAAAAGACATTTAAATTTTACATACATTGCATTGTGTCAAAAAACTTTCATTTCCTTTACAATCCCTGAAATTAGTTTACGTAACATCTACTACCGATACATGTAATTAAATACTAAATAATTTGAAGAAATATTTACCTATGAGAATGTGGCCGAGGAGGTGGTGGTTTCCCAGCAAGATACGCTAAAAGGTCTTCCCTACGGATCATACGCCTTTTTTTCCTAGCCCAATTCATTATTTCTTTACTACGTTTTTGACGACCCATTTCTACACCTAACTCACTGCAACGACGCATGCTGTCCACTGAATCTGTTAAAATATTTATTGCACTTAGAAATGAAGTCGTGAGCAACTATATGAATAACGTACACATTAAAACCTTACTTATACCTATTGCAGAAAGGACTGTAGCTGTAGAAAGAACAACGCATACATATTCTTTCACACCCAACTATATTACTTTGTAAATATAAACTGTATATGCATTTAAGAACAAAGAGAACTAAATCAGATGTAACGAATACACTTTTATATTTGAAACACATAAAAAATGTTTAACAACATAGGACAAAAAATTATTTTATGTAAAAAAAAAATGATCGATGTAATATTTATATTCTGTTAAAAACTCTAACAACAAAAATAAAGGAGGCAAAAATCTCCAAGACAGAAATATACTTTATTATCCGCAAAATAAGCAACGATGTAAAAATATCAACATTAAAATAAGTTCTAGAACAAACACATGATCAGTGAATTCAGAAGTAAATGACTCATAAACAATTTTGTCCTCTATGTATACCTTAAGTTTGCTATTGTATACGAAATAATGATATAATAATTTAGAAATAACGAGGGTTTATTTCCCTTTTCTATAAATATTCGTAATAGCCTTAAAAGTTCGCATCAATTAACAGCTGACCTTCAGCATTGGTCAGCTGTGCAAAGCATTCTGACGCACACCTATATGCAGACACATCACCCGTGTGTGCGAGTGAGTGACGGCTGCACAAAAAGATGACCGAATAGCGGGGGTGAGGTACAAGGGGAAGGGGGAAAAAGCGACGGAGAAAGGACCATCTTAAAAAGAGAGAAACATTCACATGGACAGGGAGAGAAACGAGGAGACTCATAGAGAAAGAAAGAAAATGAAGGTTTATCTTGGCTGCATTGTTGACAAGATAAACTAAAGAACTGCACGCACCTTTATACAACGACGTGACGGTACCCGCGGCGGTCTGGAAGGGTAACCATAGAGAGACACCCTGTGTACGATCTGTAAAAGAGCAAAGCCGAAAGGAACTGGTTACACGATCAGATCGATATGCATATGCGGCGAAAAAAGGAAATCGAAGCAAACGAGAAGCGAGAACAGTGGCATATCGTCTCATACGTCGCACAAAATGGATGTCACGCAAAATGGTAACCACAGCGAGTACGAGACAGGTCTCGCCGCTCGTAGCTCTCGAGGCTCATCTTACAGACGAGACAAGGGAGGATGCAAATGATCATCGGTGTTATCGTCATGTTAGCTCGCCTTTGTACAGCTGGGCGATGGCCGACGCCGTCGTTTGAAAACTTGTCCACATCTGCTGGGAATAGAGTTCTTTTTCGTTGTGCAGTTGAGTTTCGTAATCCGGCTCTGCCTCCAATGCCTCGACGCATTGTTGTTCCCAGTTGCTGTACCAAAGATCCATTATAGGATCTTCTTCACTTCGATCCTCACTCATGGCTCTTCGTCCTCGAGACTCCCGTTTTGCGATCACGCCTCGCCCACCACACGCACTCACGGCAACACCGAAAACGCGTAACTCTAAACTCTGTCGTATCTTTACGTTCCTCGTTTTCGTCTTACTCCGTCTCCTTTCTCGTTCGTCTGCTTCACGTAACGCGAACACGGTAGTTCGCATGCACGCTACCCAAGTCAGGTCGCGGCCATTACGATGTGCATCGCTCGAGGATCGCACGAGCCTTACGCGCAACGAAACACGAAATACGAATTGCCAGGTACGAAGAACGAACTAACCCAACGATACATAATCCCTTCTCACCCCCCCGAGTTGACTGCGATCCACGCACTGATCCCTGGGAATCACTGCTGCACTCTGTTCACTGAAATGCAGTAACCTGAATGCGCAGCTTCACGTTGAACTTCGCACGGCTGATAAGGAAGGATCCCGATAAAGTTACTTTTCGATGTTTGCTCTTCAATCTACGAATATTGATGAATATACCGTTTAAGTAATTTCTTTAATATTTCCTAACATTTTACGTGTAAACATTTTTGCCATGGAAACATGCCCCTAATTTAATTGCATGTACTTGGCAATGAAACCATAGACGATTGTAATGAAACTAAGGCACACTTACTTCAGTGATTGTACTTCTATATGTAGAGGTGATTCTATTTATACGAAACATCTATTTATACTTTATCTATTTATAAGAAATATGTGCGATGAATTATGAAACATGTGGCAATATAATTTTGTTATTATCAATTGTAATCTCTGTCCAATGACAGTACACATCCGTAATTCTGCATACCGACGGTATGACGTGATATAATGGGATGTATTTACAAAAGGTGGCGCGCGTAGACCAAATGACGAAAATAATATGCAGTAAAACGCAACGTTTTATATGCCGTTCGTGTTTGTATTTCAGCTGTTGAGTCGTACACTTGTGCGGCTCGTAAGTTGGAGTACGGAGGGTTTTATATATTGGTTACTGACGAAATAACGTTAGAATTTAGAAATGACAGGGTTTACAGAAAGTGCACTTGTGAAAAGATTAATGGACTTAAATCCTTCTCAACAGAGCATTCAAACACTTTCTCTTTGGTTAATTCATCACAGAAAACATCATCCGACCATCGTGAAGGTCTGGTTCAAAGAGATGTGTAAAGGTACGTGAAGATCATCGTAAGTACACGTCTACTTACGAATATAATACCCAAGATTATCTATTTTAAATACTATTTGATTATAATATTTTTTTAAAAGGCATTCGAAGTAAAATAATTTTGGAACAACGTTTGTCTAAATTTCTAGGTTAGCTCTTAAGTTAATTCTTTTCTACGTAATTACAAACATATTTTTCATGGTTGTGTGTCAACTGTAAAATTACATTTGTTTTATGAATAGACACTTATCGAAATTAGAATATATCGTATTGTACGTTAAATTACAATTAAAAATTTGCAATTGATTAGTAACATATCTTAATACATAATTATAACATGTTTTTGTTTATGTAAATGATTATTGCAATATTTACTAATTATTTAAAGTATCTTTGTCATCTTTTATGATTAATTTCTTTGTGAAATAAAAACAAATAATTGTTTTCCAATTTCTTGTAATTTGTGTAATTCAAACAAGTTTATTATTGCGTATTTTTATTATAGATTATTATAAATTGAATTTCAGCATAAATAAACTGAAAATCAGTTTACATTAAAAACTTCTTAAAATATAATATATTAAGGTAGTACATTTTTCTTCATTACATTGTAAATTGTATTTATGTTTACTTTATCATTTTATTAAATATTATTCTTATAAATATATTTTTCAGTGAAGGATAATCGCAAGTTAATGTTCATGTATCTGGCAAATGATGTTATTCAGAATAGTAAAAAAAAGGGACCAGAATTTGGGAAAGAATTCGAAACAGTGTTACCAAAAGCATTTGAACATATGAAAGGCTTTGATGAAAAGACAAGGGAAAGGTTAAACAGATTACTTCAAATTTGGGAAGAAAGAGGTGTATATGATAAGGCACAAATTGCAGAATTCAAGACTGCTTTCACAGATACCTCAAAAGATCCAGGAACACCACCTCCAAAAAAGAAACTTAAAAATGACATAGAGAAAATAAAGGTAATGTAAAACCTATTATGCAGACAAATTAAAAATTTTATGGACATCAGCATCTGTACTTAAACATAAATATTAATTTTACAGAAAGAGAAAAAGGAGAGAAAGAAATCAGAGACTGAAGTTGAAGTAGATGGAACCAAAGAGCTACACGTTACATTAAGTCCACGTACTCCTGCTGGAGATCCACCAGAAACAGAGGAACTCATCAAGGCATTAATGGTTAATACCACTTATAAAAAGAACAAACATTCGGAATATGTATCGTTAGCAATAAACTATCTTATATATAGAAAAATATATGTTGAATCCATAAGGCATATTGGCAAGCACATTTACAGTTTGATACACCATCCCCAATTGTGATTTTATTCTATTTATGATCATCAGTTTTATTCTTACTTCGCTACAAATGTATTTTTCTTATTTTACTTAACAATTATGATGTTTCTTTAGTAGTAAAATTGTTATATTAATTTTATTTTAAAGTAATAATGTGTAACTAACTTACCGTTTTATAAATAATGATTATTCTTATTTCATTAAATCTATATTTTTATAAAATTAAGGTTGCATTGTTCCAATCGAAGTTTTACATACATGGGTCATGTAAAAATTAGAAATAAGTGCCTCAAACGTAAAATAGTTGAAGGCAATTACTAAAATAGCCTTCTCCATTTCAGGATTTGGAAAATACAGCATCCTCGGATGCTGGTGTTAGAGAACGTATTGCATCTTTGCCACCAGAAGTTTCTGAAGTTTCGCTTCTTGCAAATTTAGCTGACAGAGCAGCTGCGGATCAATTAAGTGTTGCTGTAAATGAAGCAGCTGCATTGTTAGCAGATTACAATGGACGTTTACAAGCAGAAATGGAGGACAGGAGGAGATTACTTACTATGCTTAGAGACTATACTTTAGCGCAAAGACAATTACTCCAACAAGCGCAAGCAACTTTAGAAGTATGATTATAAATATATCTGTACAATAATGCCATATTGTTTCTTGATAAAAATTATATAAGTGTGATTTGAAATTCATAAATTAATTTGTTAACTATATTGTTACAGGACTATAAAGAAAAACTGAAAAAGGTGTGTGCGGTTCGATCAGAAGTAAAGTCACATATTTCTAATCTTCCTGATTTAACACAATTACCTGATGTTACGGGTGGTTTGGCACCTCTTCCTTCAGCTGGTGATTTATTTTCTATGCACTAGCACGTGAGTTTGAAGAGCACGATCATTGAATTATCATTGAGTTCCATGCATAGACAGATACAACCATGCTATGTTAGCTTGGTCTTTGTGATGAAATGTATCTTACACAATGACTTTCTACTTTTCAATATTTAATATATTGAATATTGATAACACTTCTCGTATCTAATTACAAAGCATGAAAAGGAGAAGTACCGATGAATAAACATACTGTGGAATCATTTTGCAAAACATTTTATTAATAAGCAGAAGTAAACAATTATGCAAAATTTCAAAATATGGAAAACAACAATGCCAGTAACTCTTACAGATATTATATTTTAATTAAAGATTAGCCACAACTTGATACCTTTAGTTCCATAATATAAAAGTAATTAATTAAATGTATATTCATTTTTATAAGTCAAGCCTTAAAAAGGGAAAAATATTGAATAAATTTTGGTACTATCTTATTTTGTACTAGCAAATGAAACTATTTAATGGATTAAATACTTTCTAAATATAGTACTCATATATTGAAACTATTATAAACTGCAAACATGTAATAAGTTTTAATAAACGAATCGTTTTTTTTCCAAAGTGATGTAAATTGACATATTTATCAAAAGAGTTACTAATGAAAACACCGATACCTTATGATGCAAAACTCGCAAAAATAGAGAGAATATGTATACGTATACAAAATAACAAATGTATACAATAAAAATGTGTATACAGTTAGAAATACCCACATACTGGAAATTACCCAACTATTGCTGACCAGCAGTATTTAGAATATTGCACTTATATTTGGTAATTATCCCTTCTGTATATATACAGATACTGTAGGTAATATAACATTGGGACTGAGAAATACATCATAAAACATAATGCTGCAGTTAATTTTGGATAAATACTGGTCCGCGTAAGTAAATAATATGAAATATGTAATATTATACGAAATAAATCGCGTGATTGTGCGTTGCGGAAATTGTAATAATATGCAAAATATTAATATGAATAAATGTTTTGATCGTTATAATTCGTATTTTTCATTCAAAACTATCGCATGCTTCAAAATTTAGATTTCGAATTTATTTATACCTTAATATTTATTTTTTCTTTTTTATATCTTGTACAATTCAAAGAATTGTATACGGATAATTAACTGTCAATGAAATAAATTCAATATTGAAATATTTTAACCAAAATTTTATATAATTAACGTTATTTATTTGAAATAATTCCCTGTACACTTATTTAATTCATACAATTATCGTTTATAGGGGTGCAATATTGGTATCATTAAGACATTTTAGTAATATTACATTTATAATACATTTTTATATATGTAACTTAAAATAATCGAATGATAATATCTTACAAAAATTTTGATTTGTGTTAACTCTTGGCAAGTACCTCTGGCAGGAGTTATATTGTACATTTATTTAATTGGAGGTTAACTATTATTTGTCCCAATATGCTATGCATACACTTGTAGGTTTTTGTATTACAATATATACAATAAATAATGTTCGCAAAACACACTCGCAACTAGAAATTATACAATTTAGGATATCATAATATTACTGCATATACATACAATGTAATATACAATGAATAGCTATTGCATTACTATTGCTTCAAAATTTTCTATAATGATCCTAATTATTGACATTGTTTTATAAATGATTATTATATTATTTGGTAGATGTTTACACATCACTTAATTTTAAAGAGTGAAGTAAATATATAAGAAATGTATAACTTTAAGCATGTAATAATCTTCAATTACATCTTATTGTTGTTGAAATTCAGTTGTTAAAATTAAATATTTTTTAGTACTACATCAGTATCAAAATTGCTTCGTATATACATTCTTCGTGGGCACCCTGCATAGTAATTTAGGAATAAATGAACACTTTAGGAATTAACTAAATTTTATACATTCTTCTTTAAGTTTCGTGTGGATGTGGTGGTCTTGTTGGTTTGAGAATTAGTTTTCCTGTATCATCACAACTCATATTAAAATCACCAAGAACGCTTCTAGCTCTTTGAGTTATAATACTTGGTGCTATTACGCGTCTGTGAACTCCCATCATAAATAATATCACTGCAACAAATTAAATTTGTTTTCTATACCTTTATATATCACTGAATATAATAATGTCCATAATAATCTAGCATCTAAAAGACTTACCTAAAATAACACTGGCAATTGCAAAGAACGGATGATTACACAGACTTTGAGTAAATGATACAGCAGATGTATTAGGATCTGTCAACCAATGCCACGCACCAACAGCAGTACAGACAGAAATAAAACCCAGAAGTACTAAAAAAAAATATAATACTAAATGTACAATGATTATAAAAACATATTAAATTACCTTATGCAGTATTAAAATTCTTTACAAATTTGTGCGAGAAAAAAGCAATGAATAAACATCACAAATATAATAAAGCTTCTTGTTGTTGTTCCAAAATATATTTAGAATGAACAATGTTTAAACGTAACACGTACGGAACAAGAGAAAAACCTACTTCTCCACCGCAAAGTAGCCGGTTGTAAACTTGAAATCACTTCGGTAAGTCGTCTTTCAAATGCTTTTAAATCTGAAATAGTCGTTAAAGAAGATAAAAATAACCTCAATGAGTGTTCACTTATTGCCGCGTATGTTGTTACTTTGTGATTTCACGTCTTTCTATTAAACATCATAAATTAATTTAATGCTGACATCGATGAATACTTATTTTTACCTTCACAAACAGTTTGATCTAAAGACATTTTTATTGATTTTGCATATCTATGTGATCAAAATTCGTTACAAAATAAACAATTCCGGTTGTGTCAAGATCGCATCATTCACGCCACTCTTGTTACGGGAATGAATTATCAAATGCACTTGTCATCAATATTAGTTTCGATAATTTTAAATTATCGCAAAAATATTGATAAGAAATGGTATACATTTGTTAGCATATACATAAAACATCGTCCATATTATTTTTATCTATTTTTTAATTTATCTGTAATACTTTTCTCTGCATAATCGTTGCGTGACATTTTCGTGTAATGAACATAAATAAAATACAGTTAGTGGTATAAAATCTATTTGGTTAAATTTTTTTGTTGTGAACGTAATTATCTATTGAATTTTACCACCTACGAGATATAAGAATAGACTAAACACTTTATAGATTTTCGTGGCCCAAGTCAGACTACCTTACCGACCTGGAAATGCACGGTTAATTACACGACTTAAAATCTGTAATACTAATTCAGTAGCAGCTTGAGCGTTTTGCTATGGATGGTGCCACCAGTTAAGTGGTAAAATTATTTTACTTAATAAATGATTCTTATCGTTACATGTATTGCATCTTTTGGCAAAAATGGCACATTTATAATTATTTATAATTATACTAGAACTTTTTGGCGTAGACCGCATAGTTTTTAAAATGATGTCACAGCAACATTAAATAAGTATAATTAATACTTATATGTAACTAAAATTTTAAAACAAAAGTCTAACGGTTTAGGCAATTCATTTTTAAATAAAACACCATTTGAGCATAAATAATGTAATTAATAAAGGAACTACAATGAAACAGATCAAATTACTTAAGATTTACAAGACGACACTGTAAAAGATATTTTACTTAACACTGAAAAAAACTTCTTTCATTCTTTTCCTAAATTCGAACTAGACGCTTTCTAGGCGATTAGAACCCTCTAGTTCTACATCGGGACTAATCCATTTAATTTTAATTAATGTATTTTTATACACAATCTCACAATTCTTAAAAAGCATCCGAATATTATCAAATATTCCATGTAAAATACTAAAACAACATATCAAAACAGTTGATAAATGAATCAAGTCTCGGAACGAAGAATCCTTCGAACCTCGGACCGTATAGGGTGAAGCCAACTTAAAAATAAAGTCCGCAAATCGCGCAGCACATGTAACTCGTATAAATAGAAACGCCACAGTTTTGTCTCCGCGATTGCGATCAGATGCGAGCATTCCATCGTCGGAGATGCGATCTCTGACCGCGAAACGGATGGCTGGAGGTCATTATCCCTTATCTTTCCCGTCTGGTCAATATTATCGACCCTGACAGCCGGTGCAAGAGTTCCGTGGTTGATTCACGATTGTTCCCATAGAAACGTAACTCGCGATCGAATCGCGGCCGCGCGTACCTTGCCTTTGATAGGGACATGTGTGCAGGAACCCGGGCGAACCTTGTCCGGTCTTGCGGGTCTACCGCAGTAGTCTCAAATATTGACACGACCTACGATGAACCCGGGCATCGTCTTCTGATGCCCAACGGTTCCGAGCCTAGCCGAAAGTTCGCGCCGGAAGTTGTAACGGTCCGGAAGATCGAACGTTCACCGTCGGCCGAGGCTGAAGCGGCATGTAGGTAAAACCGACGTGTCATCGATGTCGCGGAGGCTGGATGATGTAGGTTGTTTCTTTTCTTTTCCCGTGTCTTTCGTTCCGCCGTGAAACGTTGTCAGCCGCGTGAGATTCCTTTACCGTGCGGAAACGCGTCGCGCGAAGGATGATCGGAAGGACAACCCTGGTGGAGCAAAAGAGGATACAATGGGCGAGAGAGAGAGGTAAGTTTCCGAGTTTCGAAGTCGTTCGCATAGAAGCCTACGTAAATGTTCCCTCGGATGGTGGTTGTGGCAATCTGTTGAATTTCGTGCGCTGTAAATCGTGATCGGCCGCCTCGTAACTTCTGCCCTTTGCGAGACTCAGATATCAGTAGACACGGAACTTTGAATACCGATACTGTTTCGATACAAGAGGTCGCGCGATAAATGTATGTAAGGATGAGTGATCGATCAGGATTAAAATAACGTGATTCCAATTGCGTATTAGATTCTACGCGGTGAAGTTTGTTAGAAGTAGAACGATATTGTGCATGGTACGTTAATAATTTGTACGAATACTGTAGAAGAAATGGCGCGACTCGGCGGAAGTTGGGGATTTTTGAAAAATAACAGCAATATCAACGGCAACTTCCGGTGAGTATGTATTAGAACAGATAATACGGAAGAAATATCGTGTTCTATTTATTTTTTTTCGTGATAAAGAGTACACTTGAAATAGATGTTATTGATTTCTACTTTTTAAATGTTAAATGATCATTTACTTATTCTAATGTTCGATTACTTGGACTCTGCTGTAAAATAATGCAGCCGAATTCAGAGGACTATTGATATTTGGTTGAATATGTTTTATTAAAGTTTATCGCGATTTATAAAATAAGTAAAAAGTTTTCCACGTGTATACAATAAAGTATAAAGAAACATTCGCAGACGATTGATAGTTTACATTACCGTTTACAATTATTCAAACAACTCTGCACGCTTTATGACAACTTTTAGCATTCGAGCTTAAGAAATTTTAAAATAAATCGATAATGAAAACTTTCTATTTATTCTTTTGCATGGAATAATAAAATTTCTATTACAATTCTTTTACAAGCATCAGCTGAATCTAGAAATTCGTGATGAACATTCTTTATATCAATGTGAATACAGTCCATTTTATAATCATGTAGTACTAAAGAATGGAATAAAATGACGACAAATTTTCTGCTATTATAATTTCTTATTGCAAGTAGAAACGGCGAGCATTGATCAGACGTAGCAGCGAATCGTACTCAACGCTTTATCCGTTTCTCAATTATTAAGTCAACTGAAATATACTCTGTATATACACGATTAACATATAAATTCTGTTGTTCGTTAATGGAAGTATGTTTTAATAATATTTATTTATTTAGTTCAGGCTTCTGACATTTTTGATCCGCAATTCAATTTAAACGCGGGTTTTCCTCTTCCAGAAAATTGAACTTCAATATTTGTGAAACACGTGTGCTAGTGAAAGCAATTATGCTAATATCTTTGTTCGATGCATACTGTTTCTATTTATTGCAAGCACAAATGATGGACGAATGCATAATGCATCGGTAAACGTCCCAACCCGTTTCATTTCTTTTTCTTTACGGCGACGCTTCGTAAGGGAAAACGTTGCTTTGCATTTTCGATTTGTTTTTACATTAGTAACTCCCGTATACCTGACTATGACGTTATTCCAGTCGCTTTTAGTACGCCGTAAATTCAAGCTCCGACTGTCGGATTTTCTAACCTTTCTAACGGTAGTACCAATGTTAAACTTCGGCCAATTAACTTCCAATAACGAGTACAATTAAAATCGAATTCTATTATTTCGAAAACATGTTGTCGGCTGCCGAACGTCAAAAGGAATTCATAAAGTTAACGGGCGTTGTTTGAACAGTTGTTAGCGGTACTGTATCTGCATGCCGGACATAATCAGCCGGAAACGGTTAATGAGCGTATTCGAAAGGAGTCCGCGAGGTTTATCGATTCGCTGAATAAATGAAAAGCCTCGACCCTCTGTACGATTCGTAATGAAACGCGTAACGCAACAGCTATCCAGGTGGTGCAAGAATGTCCTTGGCGGAAGCGAAGGACAGGCAAGCGTCCTCAAAACCTTTTCGTGCCGGCGGCCATTACGGAAGCACCGTCAGCCTCAAGAGTCTCGCGACCGAGAGTTCCGGAAACGGCACCACGAGCCTAAAGTGTCTCGACTGCAATGGTGGTAGCTTGATAAATCTGCACGAGCAACCGGATGTGTCGCAAATCAGGCACAGAAGTCCGAGCCTGCCGCCGATTTACAGCAAGGAGCAGCAACAATATCTATCTCAGGTCTGTCCGCGAGAAACGTTCGAGACTAATCTTCGTTACGAAAATATCCCATTTTACGTGGGCTGTTTTTATTAGGAGATTTTTTATTAGGAAGGGTCTTTTTTTACAAAAGTTTATTTATAAAATGTATACCGGATAATATGTACTGAAGTAAGTGAATTATTAAATCTTTGTCGTACAATATCAAGTCAGACTTACGAGGAAGTTTTGTAATTATAAGTTTTGGAAGTTTTGGAAGTTTTGGAAGTTTTGGAAATTACAAAAATTAAACGTCATTCGATTGTTTAAGGTTCAGATTGAATAATAGTTATCTAATAATAGTTATCTTGTATTATATACTATATTATTTTTATAATAATATATATATATAACTATATTATTTTTTGTTATTATACATGATAACTATTATTAGATAACTATTATAGTTACAAGATAACTATTATTCAATTTGAACCCAAAACAATCGAAAACTATTTTCTATGAAATATAATGGCAATAATAATTTATTACTCTAACGAAGGATCTGTAACCGTAATGGATTACGAGTTAACATCACGAGCACACGTGTAATTTTCAACTGAATTATTTCACTCGACGGTAGAATAATAAATGAAAACGAGTTTTTAATTGACATTCGAAGACTACGTTGAAAGCTATACTTACGTGTCTACGTCTCATTCGTAAGGGGGAAAGCAAAAGTAAGGCAGTCTGGCAAATCGATTCTTATCGTAGAGTTCAGTCACCCCTCGTCTACCGGTTATATATATGTATCGTATGTATCCGAAAGTTGTGCTGACCGAGTACCTAGGAAAAGGCTCGAATTATCAAGCTACATCAAGATTTAAACTGATATCGAGTGCCACGTAACTCTGAATAAATTAAACATCACGTGAGCTACAATAACACAAACACAAAATCTTTCACCACTCTTTATGCCTTATTTCCGAAAAGTGTTCCATGCCTTTTACTTTTCACTCGCACCCATTTTAAAGCATCAGTTAACACAGTGTTCCTTGTTCCTACAAACCAACGATTTATCACATGAAACAATAAAGATAAACAAAATGGTCAGTTTTAACGAGTCGCTCCGTATATTCTACAAACGTATGTATCATCTTATTTTAGAAAGCCTTCCGAAACGCGTGTAAAGTTTACTGCCTTTTTTAGGAGGTGCATATTTTAGTGCTTCAAATAAGGTCAGCTTCCTTATATAAAGTCGCCTCGCGTTAGACGTATTTATAAAGGATTCCATGCTAAAATTAGAAGGCTGAAATGCCAATATTAAAAGTCAATATAAACGTTGTCACGGTTTGTCGCTCCTGCCTCGAACTGGCACAGCAATCGTACGCGATATACAGTTTTATAGCGGAGGAAGGAGGATTCGAAGATTGATGGAAGGCATAAAATGGCTGTTAGGTCACGCAACACTCTTTTTACCTTTCCGGCGAGGATAAATCACGTCTCTCCTTGTTTCCCTTCTCCTTTTTTGTAGAGTCAGAAACGAGACTTCGGCGTTGAGGGACTGCGTTATCAAACGGGGAAGCTTCAACGGCAACAACATCATCGATCTTACAACCGCTACGAGAATTCTGAGAAAGATCGGTGCGGCCTGCAGAACGAAGAACGCGGGGGGGAGACCTCCGGTTACGCCAGCGACTCCATAGATGCACCTGTATCGGCTACGGGAAGTAAGAAAATATTGTTTACTCGTTAAAGGTACAACGAGCACCATCGATGTATCGAATCGAATAAGTAGAATGAAAGCCATAGCAATGGCTACTCGTTTTATGCTCTTGATGTTATTAAAAATGAATTTCAATACTAACTGGTTAATACTGATATTTATTATATTTTTATATTAATATAATATTATATAAACTAATCAATATTAATATTTACATAGTTACATATTTCATTCAGAAATGAATTTTATTCTGGATCGAGTATTATATACAGTACTTTCACGTATGGTCTTTCATTTAACATCAGCAATGTTGCCCGACTGTAAACGACCAGAAAGAGATATGACGGAGAAAACTTGGCAGAATCCTTACTACACCACACCCGAGAGTTCGTTACCACCGTCGAGGAGATTATCTGATGGTAGGATAGGCGAACTGAACAGGCCAAGGTGGGGCAGTGTCTGGGGTCAGGAAACCACACGAGGAGATCCACCCCCGCCTTCTTGGCTCTCGAGATTAGGACACTCCAGTCAAGTACGAACTCAAACATGGTATCCAATTAGGGTGCTCGTGTATATTTCATTACTGTGCCGAACTTTTCAGACGAAAACAATCGATTATCATTTATTTTTATTTTATACGATATAATTTACAATTGTTCATTCACATTCGTCTAGGTGCTGGTCATCAACCACGACAGTGCAAGCAGTTCGGACAGTTCGACGGTGGTCACGACCGCGTCCGAGAACAATAAAACTTACCTTCGCGGTCAGAACATACCTGTGGACGCGGCCATTCTTCAAGAACGCGAGGTGAAGAGGCAGAAAGCGCTGGAGCTGCAAAACGCGATTAAGATGCAGCTCGAAGAGAAAGATAGGCAGAGGAAGGAAGAGAAGGAGAGGAGGCTGAGAGAGGAACGCTTGGAGGAAGAACGGATCAAACTTGAAAGGGAGAAGGAACAGAAAAGGTATTCTACAAGAATGATAATTAAACATCCTAGAATTTTCCCTTTTCTTACTTATTCACCGGAACACCCTACGCACTAATATTATAGTGATCCCGGATGAGCCCCCAAGTTTATAGTGGGGCTACTATTATAGATATCGAAAATGTGGATCTTCAGTAAAAAGAGAATCAGGAAACAATATATATGTATTTAATGAAAATATGAAATAGGATTTACCGTTCAATGATAACGCACTTTCCTAGATTCGAGGAGGAGCAAAGAAAACTGAAGGAGCGGGAAGCCGCGAAGTTCAGACAGGCCGAGGCGATGCGCGAGGTGCTGGAGGCCGCGGAGCGTTTGGCCAAGGAGCAGAAGAAGAATCGTCGCAAACGCGAGGAATCGGACGACGAGACTGTTGTCTCTTCCAGAAACATCGAGTCGAATGGTCGCAACGACCAGCTGGATAGCTGTCCAAGCGACAGGACCCAACGGAATTCGACGCATAGCGCTAATGCTCAAGACACCGAGAAAAAGGACACGTCCAGTGATAAAGAAAGCAACGAAGGAAGAGTGCAGGACGTTTCGGAGAAATCGGTGACAGAAAGGAATGACGCGAGGCCGGTTCAAGTTCCTATTAGCAAAGAGGTAGCTATCGTGCTGAGCGGCAGGCTGGAGGACACCGAGTTGCTGAACAAGGCTAACCTGCAACTGGTGAATCTGGTGTTGACTCCGACGCCCAGAACTCTGGAGAACGGCAATCTGCTCGCAGGCTTGAACAGCCTCGTGCACGGCATGGGGACCGCCAGGATCCCGTCGACGATCGTGGAGAACAGATTGCTCACGCCTAGCAAATACAGAGCGATGAACGGCCGAGATTTCGGCACGCAGACCGACATTGAGAACGATCTTCAAGATTCCCGCGAGGATCTGCGGGACGTGACCACGAGGAATGTCACTATGAAGGACTGCAAGGACGCGACGAATGCTAGTAAAAGGGACATTGAAAAGTGAGTCGTAATATGATGCATTGAATCGCTTCAAACGTTGAGGAATCGTAGAGGATATTATTCTTCTGTCTTGCCAATAGAAGTGGTAATTATTGTTTCATTTCGTTCTGCGAATCTCGATTTTTCATTGCACGCTCACTCGAGGGGACGGTTACTTTGCATCGCTGTGAATTCTTTCAAGCACAATTCCGTATTTAGTCACACGCATAGAATATTTTTTATTATTGTTTACTGTACGCTTTTATACAGTTTAAGAAAAACTACTGTAGTAGTGAGACTTTGCGAATTTGTGAAGTAGCCAAAAGGGAAATTTATATTTTTGTTCTTTTAGATAATTCAAAATTCAGAATTGATCTTTTTGGGATACAATGCTTAGGCAAATGTTTATCTAGAGACATGTCTAAATTGAGTGAAATAGTTTTGTATCTGTAGCGATACTTAAAATAGTATTAAAATATGTCCTATTATTTAGACTTATGGCTGCTTCATGGATCTATGTTTTAGCAATAATAATGTACGCTTCACGTATGTTTGCTGTGCAACAATGAGACAAGGTTTTTAAGCGGTTTCAAAGTTCGCAAAAAATAGTCGTTTTAATCTGTATTGTTCGAAATACATGAGAATTATGTATTAATTAAAGTAACAGTGAATTGTCTTATCTTATTGTCCGTTGTAAATACCCGAGGTCTCTCAAGTGGCGTTTTCTAAGTTTTATTGTAACCAACGTTCCTTTAATAATTTCGAAGGTCCACGAATGTCGGTTCAACGGAAGTGCCTGTTAAGTCTCACTCACGATCAAAATCTCAACCTAGAACGTCTATTAACTCTAGACCACAGTGGAATGCCAATAGGTAACGTTCTACATTTCCAACGTGTATTTTACCTATTAATATCAAACGTGACAAGTGTTATTTTTTAGGCCGGGAACTCGATATCGAACTCAGAGCGAGAAAGATCCTCATTATCAACGACGGTTGCGAATGAGGAGACGTCAAGTTGAATCGAGCGATGAAAGATCCAGGTATTATAATTATTTTTATCTTTTATATTATACCGTATATTCGAATAAAATATAAATAAATAGAATCTTTCGTTGATAGAAATATGTAGGTACATTCACAGTGGAGATATCGATGACGAAAATTGTCTATAACATTTTCAACAGGTCACCGTCTCCGGACAGAAGGAAACTGATAAACGTAAAATCGAAGATACGTTCCATAAATCGGCAGAAAGCTAAAATCGACAGCTACGACGCAGACCTCTCGATGGACAGTTTGAATTCCATCATACCTTTGCGAACCGATAAAAACGGGAGAATAACGATCGAGGACAACAGATGCGAACGAAACGATAAAGCAAGAACCACGAACGACCGCGTTAACGAGACTGATAATGTCGGACAATCGGAGCATGAAAATTCCAACGTCTGGTGCGGACAAGAAATTCTGTCCAAGTTGAACACTTTGAAAAATGTATTTATCGTAAAATGTACATGATCGTCTCATTAAACAACACTACTCTTTATACTTCTTTTATTTCTAGTAATTCAGATAAACTTTGTTTAATTTGAAATGTTTTTCTTTCGTTATCCATAGAATTTCATTTGCAATGAAATTTTTATTACATGGTTGGAAATGGAAAAATGGAACGTTCGAAGTACTTAGAATTTCTTAATGTAAATTCAGTTTGTAAAGCTGAAACGAAACTACTCGTAGTTTGACACTCAAAGAGTTAAGCTCGCATAAAAAGGCGTTGGTTCTCTTGATTTTAAAGCATAAAAGAAGTATAAAGAAAATTGGATTGTTTATGGGACGACGCGATACGACATCGTCTTTATCTCGTCTGAAATGAAAATCTTTTTCAGGGGTTGCTGATGAAGCAATTAGAATGGAACTCTGAGAGATGCCTGGTCTCTCCCGCTGCGTCCGAGATCTTTTAACGATGACCATACGATCGCGTTGTTTTGCACACTTTCGTTTTCTTTCGTTCCGTTTTTAGTAGAAAGTACGATTGTGCCGCGAGAGAGAAAGAGAGAAAGAGAGCGTGAAATGAGCCGGGAACGGGGACTTGCGTTTCGAGGAATGAGGGCTGAAAGTTTTTCTTGGATTGCAGATGTAAATAATGGCCTTTGAGTTGGAGGATCTCTTGAAAGAGGATAAAAAAGATGCAAATTTATTGCCCGACCTAAGTAAAGCGACCTGTCAGTCTCAAGAGGAGTTCCGACGACTGCTGGAGAACTGCCCCGAATTTAAAATTAAGCCGGAAAAGGTTTGAATGACGCAGTTGGTACTCGAAAATTCGGATTCCGCGCACGATAACGCACTCGTTAATTTAAAGTTAGCACCAAGTAGGGCAATTCAGCGTGTTAATACTGGAACTACCATATCCATCGAAATAACGGCTACCGATTCTGTCATTTTGCAATTACTGACATTTTTAAAGTTTCAAATGTCCGGAATGATTCTAAAAATAAATAGTTTCATTTGAATGCTATAATAAACATCCGAAGAAATCGATTAAAATGTATTTTTACTGTTTTTACTTTTTAAATGCTCGGCAGTTTTAGTGTTAATTTAATGTAATTCGAATTGTCTTATAAAACACACATATCGCATATAAAATATTTCGCATAAATTAGTATCTTGCTTTTATTCGTTAATTCTTCATAACTGTGGAATATATAAATATTTTGTAAATTTAAACTTCATATGTTTGACGTGTAGTTATTATACACTGTTATAATATCCGAATGTTTTTTAAATTATTAAAGAATATCTTTACCGTTGTTTCTTTTTGTTGTATCGTTGCTAAATCAAAATTGTAAATATAGGTGAAAAAGGATGACGCGAAGGTGCGCGACAAGGAATTTTCTTGGAAGCCGACTAAAAAAGAATTGAAAGCGTTCGGGAAGGAATGGAACTATGGAAATCCCATACCACCGGATATGAGAGATTTGAACCTTCGTGAACTGCAACAGGTGGCCATCGACTGGAGAATGTTAACGCCCATTAGGCCCAAGCAGCGTCAGGACGAAGAAATGTTTTCCAGATTGGTATTCGGATTATGAATTGCCTTATACATTGTATATTTCTAAAATCAAAATCGACCATTTTCACTTGGCATTTATTTAGATTATTCCAAATAAAGTGGCAAGTTTCAGGAACGAAACCCTAGTATTCTTGCACAAAATAATTTTTATAATTACTTCAGAAGACAGTTATCCAAATGAAAATAATATATGTTTATAATTGATTTAATGATATTAACACACGATATTCATAACCGACGTTTCTATGCTTGAAAACAATTACAATAAGAAAACTTCTGTCGAATAAAAATAGCATCATAAATAACTAAATAATACTGTGACTTAACAACTATCGCTTCGTATTATCAACGATTAATTCTACTACCGATTGTCTTTGTTATCAAAGAATAAGTAATATTATAACATTCTGAATTTTCGTAGCGGTCAACGTGTTTGGTAGAATCTCACTTACATTGTTAACCCTTTGAGTGCTGTGGGAAAAAGATTCCGAATTAGAAATTCACAATTTTTCCCCTGCTGAAAATCGAGGCGACGTTGGAGAAGGGAATTAGCTCCGAACACTCGTCTACATAAATAAATAACTTGCAAACATATTCGTCGCGAGTATTCGATAACACCTTACATCGCGACACTCTATTTAGAAAGTTCGCACCCTCTCGTCTTTCAGGTGGAAATGGGAAAAATGGAAGCGAAAACGATCGCCAGGGAGCGTCGGTCGACGACCAGTCCCATCAGGCGAAGCAAGAATCGAGCCGGCATAATAGAAGGCAGCGTGAAGATCTGCTCGGAGTGCGGAGAAGAGTTTTGCTTCGGCGAGTTCTGCGGCGACGTCCTCTACGACTCGTTCATAAGAGTTACCGTCACCGTTCAACAGCCGAAGGTGAAAGTGTCCGCCGACACCGAGGCGATAATCGCCAATTTGGATCGCAAGAAGAAGCGCAAGAAGAAGAAACGAATGAAAAGTAAAAGCAGAACGCCCAGGAAAACCGTCAGGCTGTTGATCCGCAGCAAGGGGAAGAAATCCGTGAGCAACGATCTGGACAGAAGGAGCAGCAACGATCAGATCGACAGGAGTGCGCGCGATTCGAAGACGATCAAACCGTTTAAAAGAAAGTGCAGCAAGTATGCTAAGAAAGGGTTCCGAAAATAATGATATCGCAGGAAGTATCGTATACATTATATTCATTAGAAATAAAGTACTTATAAAATGTTAGGTAATGTTTTTATAAAATTGATTTGAACGTACGATTGTATTCGATGGCAGATGTTTAAGTAGATGTATCAATAGAATCGTTGAAATAAAATGTGTATGTACGTGTACATCGGATTTGTTACGAACGTGTGGATATTTTTTTCACGCGAGTTTCCGTTGCTGAGAAAAAGAATCGTTTAAGTATTTACTGTATGATGTTATTAATTATTTAATCGGTGTGTAATCTATATAAAAAGTTTCATTTGAAAATTTCATTACATACAAAATTTCATTTTAAACTTTCATTATATGAAAAATTTCATTTTAAACTTTCATTATATGAAAAATTTCATTTTAAACTTTCATTACATGAAAAATTTCATTTTAAACTTTCATTACAGGAAAAATTTCATCGCAAACTATTACTTTATTCGCACACTAAGATTCACGTAAAAATTTGTACCATGAATTTCGTTAGCTCGAGAATTTCTACCGAAGAATGCTCGAGATCAAGATCAAAATGGAGGCATTATTCGAGTAAACGGATTGACCCCTTGCTCTACAATAACGCGTCAAACTTGTAGTGAAGATTTCAACTAATTCAACAAGCATGAATATTAGTCGATTCTTTTACATTCACATTATACGTTATTCTTAATAAATTATTAACGACAAAGTTGCATCGGTCATAGTTGAAAGATAAACCGTAGTGCAAGGGGTTGAGAATGTCATTTCCCATCCGCGAAACGGAAATCAACGAGAACGATGAGGAACAATCGACGAGAAAGTAAAATGAAAAAGGAAACGAAGTTGTGTATGCTTTATTATTTGTCTATATTCTGTGGTCCCTTGAAACATGTTCTATTTTCGAAATCGTTAGCGCGGGAAAGAAGCGTTCTTTGTACAATATTTCGAATTTCCAATGACAATTCAGTATGTACAAAACGGCGTGGCGTAGCGGGCGGGCGCATTGAATGGTTACAATTGGATGCTGGAAAAATATAATTTTTATTCATTTAGCTGTCTTTCTTTCTCTCACTCTCCGTTTACCTTGTGATCCATCCCGTTTATCTCGTATATCTCCCACAAAAGTATCGCAACGAAAGTCGTTCATGAAAGGAGAAACGTTCCGTTGATCGGACAACTTTGATTCTCGTCGAGCTCGTGATACTTTTCAATCCGTTCGAAAAATAAATTTAGAATCTTTCTTCCAATAACACGCAGCCTTTGGGAACAGAATATTTCTCTTTCCAATTGTTGGATGTATTTTCCGTAAACCTCAAAGGAAAATTTCACTTACATTAATTTCTCACTCTCGCACAATCTCTCTCTCAAACTCTCGACGCGGCTTAACATTAGATCGTACATTATTAATATTAGAACTGACCGAAGTACACGCATTTACACGAGCATGTTCATACAGATTACATTAATGCTTATTAGTACGATACATTCCTCGCGTATCGTTGCAGTAGCTACAAAACCTCTGAATAAATAAAATAGATCGTGAAGTATACCATTTTTGCCAAATTTCCTCTCCGCTTCGTTTCGTTCGTGTACGATCGATATTTCAATTGTGATCAGAACCCTATAGTATCACAATCACTCTTGCTTCGTCGATATTGCATGCGTTAGGCCAGTGAAATTCAAATTGGTGTCAGTTTTGTTTCTCGATCAAATGTGTCGGTCATCCGCGACGTAAAAGGAAAGATTTTCGAGGAAAGTACATAGAAACATTGGCGAAGCAATGTTTCACCTTAAAAGGAACAGAAATTTGACAGAAAAATTAGCTGATTCTTCTGGGATTCTTTACAAACGTGTACAGCTACAAAATCGGACTTCTATCGAAATTCCCTTGTGAGATAATATTCATTATAGCCTAGAGAAGATAATATAGCTGTTCAAGGTCACTGGAATATTTCTTCGTCCCTTCCCTATTTCGTTGCCATCATCGTGCTACAGTTTATGTGTTAACACTATCGCAACCAGTGATTGTAGGCTGTATCTAAACCAGCAGATCGTGTTCAACGTCTACAATCTAAAATTATCATGGACATAAGCTTCAAAATGAAGAAAGGCCTACTGGAAAATATTCTGCTGTAGAATTTTTATTTGGAGAATCAGTTTCAGATTTAACACGTTTGCTACCAGCGTTCGTTTCGCCGACGATCTTCTCAATTGCAATATTCTATTCGGTTCAATAAATAAACGAAATACTAGAAAACTGAAACTGAAACGAGTTTTATTAATAATTATATAATAATTTAATTTCCTTTGTATGAAATATGGAATTGCGACCGTTACGAATATGCGACGTTGATAGCGAACGTATGAGATATAGTACTTCATCGGATTGTAGAAGTGTTGAAGATCACAGGAAACAAACTCTGATTTAAATTAATATCATCAACCAGTCGAATTTTGATTTAATTATAGAATTCCGTGATAGTTTTATAATAATTTATACCCATATATATAGTTGCTCGATAAATCAATTGCGTATAAATGTTATTCAAAATAAACGCACCCTCGAAATTTGGGAATAAATTTCCACGTTTTTTGCAATAATTCAAGTGTCACGCGAGTTAGAAAAATATTACATATAAAAATATGATAATAGTAAATACATTTAGTCCACGTTACTCGGCTCAGATAATTCCGACTGTTAATGTATCCCAATAATTCTTCGATATATTCTATTCGTCGATAGAAACATTTACTACACTGAATATTCGATTATACAATGTTTATCATTCAAAGGTATTGGTTGCGGAGATCTACAAATCATTAGACTCGTGGTTCTTTCAGAAAAATATTATATTAATTCGATATCGTAGACGTCATTCTCGTTTCGACGAATCGGAGATTCGTGAAGATTTGATTAGATGATCCTTTTATTAGGTCCTTTTAGTAAATGATATTATAAAAATATGTATCATATGTAACATACGAATTCACATTGATTTCTTAAAATAAAGTATCGCGTAAAGAAAATATTTTTATTCTTCCCTCTTTTTACGATTTGAGTCTAATAATCTGCACGTTCTTGTACGTTCAGTTTTTCACGATTTAGCTCAAATCTTCGCTTAAACTAAAAAAGATCAATGTTAGTTTAGGTGCTATTCAATATTAAGTAAATACACGAAATGATTATCACTTAACTCTCGCGAGGTAACGCCCGAGTCCGTTTGGATCCGGATTTTCGAAAGAATCAGATTTCGAGAGAAATATTCATGAGAGTCCAAACGGACCCGGACACCGTCGTACCCCGAGAATTAACTAAAGCTCGCACGTATAGGAATAACATAAAGTGCAATCGAGTCTATTATATATTAACTCTTTACAGCTCGCTAGTGTACATCGTACACCAATAACATCGAAGGAACCGGCCCTGTCTCGATGGTTCCAAATGTCCTCGATTTTTAATTCCCAAATAAACAATTCAACCTCTTACTTATTTGATTCGAAAAATACAAAAAATCAGTTTAAAAGATACAAAGTGACAACTCATTTGCAACAAAAGGTACCGAACTCGGGAATTAAAAAAATTATGAAACTGTGTGAATAGAGTAGGTCAAGCCTAATATTTTGCAATTTTTTAAAATTTATTTAAAATTTTATTTTATATTTTATAGACGTTAAAGAACTATTTTTCGTTGAAACTTTTTTCGCTCTGACCGTTTCCAAGGTAATCCACGGGGAAGAAAAAAACATAAGGGGTGGTTTCACCCCTTCAAAGTGAAATCAGACAGGAAAAAAAATCGCAATGCATTAGGCTTCATAACTGTTTTAATTCCAGAGTTTGGTACCTTTTCTCGATAATTCCTAATCGACAACGTTTAATAAAAAAATAATTAATTTCGTGTTCTAAAAATGTTCTCTTACAAACGATTAAACCAATAGCATTTTACACAAGCTGTGGATCGAAACTGAGAATAAGCTTCGAAACTTAAAGAACTTCTTTCGCCACGTATTGTCTTCCAAAAATATATACGGCCACCAAGCTATAAACAGCGTTGCTTTAGAACGCGCGAAATACAGGGGACGCCGACATTAGTCCCCTAAAAGTCAATGCCATTGGTAACGCGAGATCCGTTTCTCAAGTTTCCGTAGAGAAAACAACTGTACGAGTCGGTTGTATCTTGTTCAGGGTGGACAACCACCACCGACTTACACCTGTTCACTTCGGGAATGAAAGATTTACGAGGCACGTTCACAAATTACCCCGTGGAGACTGAAGATGAACGAGTCGGACGTGTCAGTTTCACAGCTTAGCGTCATAAAACAGTACGCGTGTACGGTACACGTAAACACGTACGTATATATACACGTGGGAATTGTCGCGAAATTAAATTCGTAACGTAGAAGATATTATGAAACGTTTACTGCAAAAATACGATCTCAATTCAAAATTACAGCTTCCTTCATGTTAACGCAACAACATTCTTGCTTTGATATTTTCTTACACTTTCACACAGGGACGCGCGAAAAGCTTCATTCGATTGGAACGTGCTACAGATTTTGTTTTGAAAATATAAAAAACAAGCAACATGAAGGACGAGTCGACTTCTATAGATGCAATCCGTTTCTGTCGTTTACACAACACCGTTTGGTAGCATCGGATAAACCCTGTTGTATCGGATTCCTCGAAAATCAATTTAAAATTACGAGACACCCTATTTGCGCCAGCACAGAACGTATTATATATGTAACTCTTATAATAATATACTCCTTAATACTCCGATTACGATAGATTCTCACAGTTAGACTCCTTAATGATTCACAGTACTCCGTCCCTCCCTATAAACGCGATTATTTCTTTCGATTTTCGTATCACGTTTCTAACATCCAATATCGATAGCAGGAACAGAAAAGATACAAATCGTTAGCCAATCAAACGATAATCATATCCACTGTTCTCTAATCATACCGTCCAGAATTGTACAAAGTCAACAGACTGTACAGATAACGTCTATAAAGAGGGACTACTGTAGTATAATACACAAATTATGAGTACGTTGCCTCTTCGTAACAGAAAGCTATAAATTTAAGTCTATTATAACTATAAATATTCGAGAAATGAAAGTCAAGTATTGTTTCGTACTGAAAATAATTATTGTACAAGATTTACCTCCAACAGAGAGCAGAATATAGTTTTTTGGCACGAGAAGGGGGCACAATCGATGCAAGCACTCGTGCTTCGTTTAATTTTACGTAATAACATTCCAACGTTTCGCACTACTTGTAGGATCGAAGCCAAGTTGAAATTCACAATTCGGTAAAGAAACTCCATTTCGGGCGTCGGCATTTTTTAACGCTAGAACTACCAGATGGGTCGAAATCAGCCATTCCTGATTTCTTCTTTTACAATTACTGAAAAGACAACAGTTCTTTGAGAAACGATTAAAAAAGCTGTTTCGATAATATCTGAATCGAGATATAAGTGAATTGAAATTTTAATAAATGCACTTATAGCTTCCAAAAAGAAACTTTAAAAGGTTAGCTTATGTGCTCGGTAGTTCTAGCGTTGACAGAGATATATTTAAATAATTATCCGAGAAAACGAGACTTGTACTCGTGTGTCGCAAACGTTGTAAGTTAAACGTCTGTGAAAATAGATCAAGGATGAAAGTACAAAATATTTAATGGCTATTTCAAGCAGACATCTTTTCATTTCCTTTTTATAGGTAAAAGCTATAAACGATAGTATCGTTTAACAATACTATTTTACAATGTTCATGTAATTCTCGGCTATAGATATAGCATATACTTATCACAATATTCCGTACGCCGTACAACCCACGTAATCTTCCTTTTCTCTTCTCATTAAATATACGTACTATATTTTTACATACTAACATATAACGCTACTTCAATGAAATCGTTTCGAAAGGACGATTCGTAGCGAATTTTTCTACATCAACTGTTACAACGACGTATGTATGCACGCGTAATAAACACACCTATGAACTATCCTCAGTTTCCATACCGATTTTTTTTTTTCACTTTTTTTGCTATTCTATCTGGTTTTTTTGCTTTTTCTTTTATGGGGACAGAAGCTTGAGGAGCTCGGGACGTAACATTCAATTTTAATGTGATCAACTGTTATCTTCGAGATCTAATTTTTCTTTCAAGATAGTACTGCTCGCAATGTTGCAACTCTTGCATTTTCACATGTAACGTTACAATATACATGTGCATATGTGTATGTATATGTATATGTATATGGTAACTGCTGAACAATCGCTGTTACATTTGAGAGACAATTTTTTAACTTTTGACTATGTACTATGCATGGCGTAAAATGTGAACGGCTTGATCGAATTGTTTGTGAAAACAACTAATGAACAGCAAAATAATATTGATCGTTTAATCCATATTTCACTTCCAAGATCTTCTAAGCTTCATTGAAATCATTCTTAGAGATAAAATGATAACACTGACAAAACTCAATATGTATTTCAACATACAGAATAAAGCCCTTGAAATGATTATTTTCATTCGTACTAACGTTATTATTAAAGAAACTAAACAAGTGATGTAATACGTAATGGTAAAATTTTCAATGAATATTTTAAGAGATAAAACAGACGTTCTAACAATTTCTACCTTACGAACGGTAAATTTTATCTTGAAAAATTGGATACTGTATTCTCGTAATATTATAAAAAGAACTAACAGTAGGTAAATCTTATTTCAATATTGACGGTGATGATCGAAAACTAGTTACAAAAGGCTGAATTATCGATCAGTGAAATAATTAGTGAAATAATCATAGTGTCTATTGCTGTTTGTAATCATGCCAGCACTTACAAAGCGACTATATGGAAAAAATACTCATTTAATGCTAAGCTTGAGCTGTTATATAGGTTTGCAAATCACGAAAACGTGTTTGCAAAGATGCAAATATATTGTAAATTATCAACTGTTAGCGAAACTCAGGAAATGTTAGATTACGTCATTGGATTATACTAAAGCTATTCGAATATGGCTACAGCATAAACAGATAAAAATTTTAATACGACGTTACTACAAAACGGAAGCAAATCGAACATGTTATAAGACATTTTGCGTTTTATTTGAGCTTTTTTATCATCTTTTAAAACGTTTTTGTATATGTTTGGAACACACTGTATAATATTATCGTCTCTACCTTCAGTCTTAATCTGTGAAATCAATACTATTTACTCGGTTCATACTGCGTCTGTAGTTTTCTTAAAAAACACTTTATATAAGCATAATTTATTATTATGGAATGATAAATTTTAATCTTGAAATCTTTAAAACGTGACATAGGAAAAAAATAAAAACATATGTTTTAAATTTTAGTACTTAATAACACATTTGTACTTCTTCGAAAAATGTAAGCTTCATCTATCACATTTTATTTCGAAAACAATATTGATAAGAATCAAGGTGGTTATTTCAAGTGCTTTACCCTGTATACAACCAGGTGCTTCGAAAGTCAACTTATGATTCATTGTAAATAAGCGATTTATTCAATATAAAAGTACTCTGAAAATCATTTATGACACTCTTTTTTTAATATTTATGTACAAAAAAACTAAAAGCTTGAAGTATTTTTTAAATTATGTTAATATATTCTTTGGGTCGAATTTAATTAGTTGTATATATAATAATGACTTTCGTCGCACCTCAATTTATCTTGTTTTACAACTTGGCACAAATTCCGTCAGATTTGCATATTCTTATAAATACATTATACCGACCTTTAAAATTCATTACTGATGTACTTACCACAATAAAGTATTACCTATGGTTCATAGTTACAAAGCATATAATTTTGGATCTATATGCTGAAGTAAATTACTCACTACCAGATATAAGAAAATATTTTTTTTTTTATATTTTGAAAAAGACATGTACATCAGTAATGCAAACTTTTCCTCGTGTAGAGATTGTCCTGCATTTTACTATTTTGGGATATATCTCATACTTTCTAAGGTTTAGCTTTCAACCATCCGCAGTACATTTATATAATTTAAATTAATTATAACGAGTAATATAAAGACAATGTGCTATGCGTTAGGATAGAAAATCAAAACTAACCTAACAAAACATTCACTTTAAGATTTCTGGATAAAACGTAAAAGACATAAGTACCATCTTGTTAACAATGTAAGTTTAATATGAAGTTCTTATAAATATATGTACTATATATATATCTGTAAATTATACAATACTAATGCATCGATAGACATATGAAGATTTTTGAAAGAGTAACGTGTTTACAGTAATTATTTTATAGAGAAAACTATGACTTATGCCTCTTTCGTTAAATGCAAGGCAGCTTTGTTAAAGCAGACCATCAGTATGTTAAAAAAATCAATAATACATAAAGATTTTTTCTTCATACATTCACTTATGGACCTACAGTCATGAAGTCTATAAAACATAACCCATCGAACAACCTAGCCCAACTGGCATTATGTACAAGGGAAAGGAACAATTTGGTCAGGTGGTTGATTCGTAAGTCACTTAAAACGCACCTGATAAGTCCGAAATGACAAATGTCGTTTGGACTAAGCAGGATTCTCACACTATTCCTCTTCACAAGGAATATAATTCTCATTATATTTAAATACTCTCAGTTATCTTTGCGAGCTTTCTTTTTACTTTTCTTTTGTGGTTTAGCTTCTGTCCAAATGTCTGCAAAAGATGTAAAAAAGAGCACTTATAAACTTTCATCTGAAAATTTACATTATAACTGCTATATTATAAAAAAATATAATTACCTCCTAATTCATCAAATACAGCACCACTTTTTGTTTGTGTTTGCATAACATTGGAATTTTTTTGTTCAACGCTATCAGAAACTTTTTCTGCATTCTCTTCATTTTTTTGTGTCTTTTGTTCCTGAAGTTTATCATCCACTTTTGGAATAGTTGAAGGTGCATTTTCACTTTCAGAAACTTTCTTATTTTTTTTAGACTTTGCAGTTTTCTTTTCTTCTTTTTCTACTTTTTCAATCTTAAACAAAAATTGAGATGAATTATTTAAATGTAAAAAACATTCCACATATATGTTTTTAGAAATTTCATGTTTTTTAAAATACCTTGGGTTGTTCCTCTTTCTTTTGATCTTCAGTTTCCTTGGCTACCTCCTCATTAGAAATGGGAATAAGAACTACATCTTTTTTTTCCTTCTCCTTTAATTCATTATTCTCAGTTTCCTTGGCAACTTTGTCTTTAATTTCAATTTTTTCAGGTTCTTTTTGTTTAGCTACAACTTCATTAATCAAATCAGCTTTTTTAACATTTTTCTTATTCTTCTTTGAAGGAGATTCTTCTTCTTTCTTCTTATTCTTCTTATCCTTCCTAGAGTATGCTTGCTCCCAATCTCCTATATTTAAAATATAGAATAAATATAACTTCATAATCGTGAAATAAATAATAAGAATTAAATGAAAAATTACCCTCATCAAAATCTACTGGCTTCTCTAGGAACAAATTCTTCAAATTCTTCTTATTTTTTGCTTGTTCAACTTTGTTTTCCTTGCCTGTCTTTGTAACAACTTGATCCTTATCTTTCTTACTTGATGTAATCTTATTATCTTCTTGTTTTTGTTCTTTCAATTTTCCATCAACATCGTCAACCTTAGAAGTAGTCTTCTTTGCATTTTCTGCTTTTGCTGCCACAGTTTTTTTAACAGGACTTGCTTTTTCAGTCGAAACTTGACCATTAGCAGATCTCTAAAAAATAATTAATTATATTTATATATTATCTTTTCAGAAATTTCTGACACAACACTTTTCTCAGATTTGATTTTTTATAAATTAACATACACACAGTAAACATTCTAATCAGATGGAATCATTAAATATCCATGAATAAACGTGTCGCGAAAAGGAACCAGAAATATTCACAGGGAAGTGCAAGGGAAACAACTATTTCCACTTTAAACGACGAGTACACAATTAATTCATCTTTTATGCATCGAGAACGAACTTTAACCAGGGAGACCAGCTGATTATCAACAATGTGTGCGTGTACATCACTAGTCGCGACAAGCAACCATATGGAGAGTGAACGATAGATATGCATTATAGGATCTGCATTGTTAGTTAATTGAAAAAATTGGATTTACTATTTGAATTGCTCGCTTCTTATACTGTGCTAACCTTTTCTTTGATCTTGCTGCGTTTCTTGTTGGCAAATTTCCGGTCCACGTCGGAACTCACTGAGAGCTGTGCGAAAGGTGGTTGCTCGGCCTTTTTGAAACCAAAGACGAAGACGAGGATTGCAAATAGGAGCACGACACCCACAGGTAACGCATATTGCGAGTGCTGAAGTAGCAGGTTGACGTCCATGGTAATACAAGAGACGTGTTAACGTGTGTGAGACCGACGACGGAAATGAGGGACGGCAATGGAGTGACGGCGACAGCACATACGGTTACAACTCGACGGTGATCGGTGAACCGGACGCTCAACGCACACGGTAAGGACTACAGATCTTTGGAACTCAAAACATTGCGCTCTAGCGGAAGGTTCACGAATTACCGACTGCCAGGCGGGCGCCGATCTCCGCTGACGCGGCTATGACATGCCACTAAATGAGTCAAAGGAGATTCCATTTTACACATTTATGAAAAGGGTATAGCCGAATAAGCAGGGGTAAAAATGCCACCAAACTAAATCGACCTTCGCATATACCATTTGATAAATCTCTCGAAGAAATCACTTTGCACCAAGTTTTAAGCCCCTACTTCTATCATTAGGGTAGTTACAAGGTGGAATCTGATACACAGTTTATGCTTGATATGTAAAGTGTTTTAAAAAATTATTTAAAAAATTATAATTATTCTAGGTGTGCATGTACATTCCTGGAAATTTTTTCAGGAATTTTAAAATGCAAAATCGATGTTTAAAAAATTCGAGAGCATTATAAATATTGACTTTTTATTTAAATTGTCAGAATACCGCTTTCATATTTCCATAGAATTATCGTCTTATTATGACTATTAATACCCAGTTTTTTCATATTTTTCAGATCGGGGAAATACAGTTAAAAAAATCAATATTTTTCTACATTATCGGCGGAATTATGCGATTACTTATTCATATTTTTATAAATGTTGTGATTTGTTATAAACGGAATATATATAAATAAAATTGTTATAAAAAATTAAAAATGATTTATTCATTTATTAAAATTATTTCTTTTGTGTTGTATATTTTATAAATAAAAAAAATAAAATATTGAAAAAGTATTTCTACTAACATTTTGCTGCTTTAGCAAATTGCACAACCATTGGTTTCTCTTTTAAAATATAACCGTTTGTTTCATCAAGAGCTAATTGTGCTTGTTCTATATTTTGTAACGTAATGAACGCTTGTCCCTTCATTCTACCCTTCTGCATAAGTCGTACATTGTACCTGAAATTATAAATCATATAAATTGTTATTGAATAACGACCTGAAAACTCAAATTATTATGATATATTAAATCAAACGAATCTTACTGAAATTCTGTTTTACAGTGAGGTATCACATATTTTTGATAGATAAAATCTAGATCCTTTTCTTCAACATCTTTTGCAAGATTCTTTATATACAAACGATTTGATGGCTTTCCAGGATGATAATTTTTAAAAACTGGAAGTAATCTTTGATCTGTAACATAAAGAAAAAAAACTTCTAATCTTTTAAACATCTTTGTACATTACAATAGACAAATATGTTCTGTTTGATTAATTATATTAATGCTCTAAAGAATGTGCTAATCAATTAAATGAATACAATGAAAGAAATTTATTCTTACCATTAGCTGAAATTTTATTATTTATTAGTTCTTTGGATGTAATTACATTTTGTCGAGTATCTTCAATGTTTTCATCTTCAATGGTTTCAGGATTTTTAGGAAATGGAAACATTAAACCAAAACCACTATCACTATCACTTTTCATAGTAGAATTATCTTCTTTATTTAAAGTATCCAGAAATGTATCTACTGTTTTTAATTCAATTTTCAGATTTTTTGTTTCTGCTCTTTGTACCGATTCAAACATATCTTCTGGTTTTACAATCTTTTGCGTAGAACTTGCAGATGTAATTTGTTTAGCAGGATTAACAAATTTTGGAATTTTTAAACGTTTTGTTGACTGAAGACGTTTCCTTTTTACAGGAACAATTTCTAAATGTTGCATTGCATTATCTTCCTCATTCGATTCTATTTCAGACTCTTCTTCCTCAGCATCTTCATCAGAACCTATTTTATTATAAGTAATAAAAATAAAAGTAAAATTGTTACAAAATAGAAGTAAAAGTAATCTTACTTTCTTACCATTGTCTCTATGAAATAATGTATCGCTATTAAATATATCTTTATATTTTTTCATATCATAGACTTTTTTTAGCATAGGAAATTCTGTCTCTAATTCTTCAAATGGAGGAGGCAAATTCATTCTATTCATTAAGTGTAAAACCTATAAAAACATAATATTCTAATTAAAAATTTATTTATATCAAAATTTATTTCACTTAATTTACCTGTGTATAAAAAGTTGGTTCTTTTAATAATTGTATAGCTATTCTTATTAATGTACTCTTTGTTGGTGCTGAATATTTATAATATATATTTGGTGGAGGTGGTTGTGTAAAAACATGATTCATCGTCCAACTATTTAACTTCTGTAAGAAAGCTTGAAAATTAGATTTATTTGTAGAGTCCTTTTTGTGTTCTTCTTTTGTAACTTTATCATTTGGAATTTCATTTTCTGTGCTTTCAGTAGTTATGGATTTTTTCGCATATTCAACTGTTAAATATTGTCCTCTAACATTTAACTGATGCAGACGCAATAATGCTTCTGTGGCTGCTTGTTGAGATGGGAACTTTGCATAAGTTACAGTATATTTCTTAGACAGTCTTAAGGTATGTATTTTAATTGCACCATATTTCTTAAATAATTCAATTCGCCGATCATCAGAAAGCTCTTGGGGTAAATGAAGAATTCTGAGGGTATCAGATATCTAAAATACAAAATCAAAAATTTAAAGTGTCCAACTTCTAAATTCCTAAATTTTATTTTAAAAATAAAGAAAAAACATGGTAAAATTATATTAAATATAACAGTAATCACTAAAGGTTAGTAGACAAGAAGATAATTTATAATAAAATAAAAGAAATTTTTCATCTGTTATTATAATTTCTCAATTATATATACATAAAAATAGAAAATTACATGTGCTGTTTCAGTTGACATTTTAAAATAATATTTAAAGTAATCTCAACATCATAAAATGTCAATGTTGTTGATCTTTATGATTATACCACAAAAGACTTTTACAGAGGTGAAACTCCGGCGATTTCCAAGAACACATTACATATATACAATATGAAGATAGTGAACTGTATATCATGAACATAGCTTCAGAACTCTGTGATATCTATAATAACTTAGTAAGTTATTGTGGGATATTTCTTTAAAATTCGTTATTGTTTGTAGCCAATATCAAAGATCTCAATGAAATTAAAATCTGATACAACTGATATGAAATTAAAAAACAAAATTATTACTCCGTTCTTGTTGACTTTCTTTACAAATCGAAATCATATTTTATAAATCTGTTTATATAGTTCTACGAATTTTAATAAAAAATGAGACATATCATTTGCGTCTCAATTACTAAAAGAACATATACTGAAATACTTGTAATATAGAAATATTAAGTATGACAATCTTTAATACAATTATATACATTTCATATGAATCCAAAGCACATTTTATTGTATCCCTAATTTAAGGATATAAACATCAGAAGCTCCAAAGAAACTTTACTTCATTTGATTATTTATAATTACTTATATTTGATTAACTCTACTGCAGTGCCATCTTTTTAAAGTTTATCGAAATCAATAAACTTCCGCCATATTCAAAATTAGGTTTGTTACAATTTGTTTTAATCATATACATTCCTATATTCTCTAGAAAATTTTAATTAAAATACAAATTTCATTTAAATTTAAATTCAACATAGAATTATCATTCAAGAGCAATTACTTTTCTCTCATTTGGAAATATGGAATTTAATATGTCTGAATAATAAGATAATTGTAAGATTTTCAAGTCAGAGTAATAAATATGTTATTTCTTTTTTAATCAAATTTACTAACATTTCTTTTTAGTAAAAGAACTTTCCTACTGTATTTTATTCACTTTATTCGTTACTCATGTATTACTACGCCGATGCTGTCATGGAAACAGTTTACACGGAACTACTTTCGGAAGTTCACTTGTCAATTTGATCTGTCGGATTTACCGGCAAGTTTAAAGATACATCTGCCATATATTGTTTGTAGCATTTAATTTACTTTGCTCTTCTAATTGCATAGATTTGAAATATTTTATTATATCGACTACCTTGATACAATAGAATAAGTGATAATTCTCTTATTTGCTTCTTCTAAATTATCGATTGGCCTTCGTCGGACTGACCGCAAGAGGGAATAATCTGTTGCTCATTGTGTTTGAGGATATTTCGATTTCTAAATGTAAGTATGATGTGACAATTTAATTTACTGTTACGCGGTAATAGCTTAAATTTAACTCTTCGGTTGTATATTGTCCGAAGTAAAAAAATTTCCTTTAAAACATTCAGTTTATTAAACATCATGCAAGGCCGAATGTACACCAGGCAATGGTATCAGTAATCAATAATCGAAATTTATAACAAAAAAGTAAATGGTTACAAGTTTTCACAGACGATAATATATATTTATTTATACTATTGCGCATCCATGATGATTTATTGATTATCAAGTCAAATTATAAAAAAACTATAAAACGTAAAATTTTATCAAATTAATTTTACTCTGAAATATTCATTGTATTTATATTTAGATATGTTTTTTTTATGTTTAAGTAAATAAATTGATATATTATTCAAAGATTTTATATCTTCATTTTAAATATAAAATTTATAATTATTTATTTTTTCTTTATTTTATTTCATGCATATGCAAAGTGCAACACATTATTATATATATGTTTATAATTTATAACATGTTTAGGTTTAATCGAGATAGAGAACAAAGTAGAGGCCGAAGAGTAGTCAGTGGTCGCGGTGGTAATAGAGGAGGTGGTGATAATATCCGTGGAAGTAACATGAACAGATTCGGTGGACGTGGTAGAGGAATTAGTAGTAGTATTCGTGGTGGTATAAAAGGCAAACAGCCTGGTGGAACACTGAGGAAAATTAACTGGGATGTAAGATCTTTGGAACCTTTACGCAAAGATTTTTATGTGGAACATCCTGCAGTTAGAAATAGGTAAAGTTGTAGAAATTCTATATTTCACAAGGAAGCAAAATTCTAATGGAATGTTTTCTATCAGATCGAAAGAAGAAGTATATAAATTTCGTGAAAATGCTGAAATAACTGTAAAAGGTGATGATGTTCCTAATCCGATTCAATATTTTGAAGAAGGGAACTTCCCTCCTTATGTATTAGAAGTGATACATAAACAGGGTTACTCTCAGCCTACAGCGATTCAAGCACAGGGATGGCCTATTGCACTCAGTGGCAAAGATTTAGTTGCTATTGCCCAAACTGGTTCTGGAAAAACGCTTGGAGTGAGCCAGTTTTAAAATATATGTTTTCAATTCGTAAAATGTACACACGTTTTTTTTATTAGATATTCTTAGTATTTGTACATAACATTTTCAAATAATAATTTACAATATATCTAAATATATAAGAATAGAATATATTAAGCCTATTTAGTTATATTTTTATTTTAGTATGTATTGCCAGCAATTGTGCACATTATACATCAGCCACGACTTGGTAATGGCGATGGTCCAATTGCCTTGATCTTAGCTCCGACAAGAGAATTAGCACAACAAATTCAGGAAGTAGCTAATTCTTTTGGAGAGTCAGCAGGTGTAAGAAATACTTGTATTTTTGGTGGTGCACCTAAAGGACCACAAGCACATGATTTAGAGCGGGGTGTTGAAATATGTATCGCTACACCAGGTAGACTTATTGATTTTTTGGAAAGAGGAACAACAAATTTACGCAGGTATTTTAGCTTTTAGTTCTAAATTATTTTACATTTATGACAACAGAGATACACCTTTTCAGATGTACATACTTAGTATTGGACGAAGCCGACAGAATGTTGGATATGGGTTTTGAACCACAAATTAAAAAAATAATTGAACAAATACGACCTGATAGACAGGTTTTAATGTGGTCAGCCACATGGCCAAAAGAGGTTCGAGCTTTAGCAGAGGACTTTTTGACTGATTATACGCATCTTAATATTGGTTCTTTGACATTATCAGCCAATCACAATATCATTCAAATAGTTGATGTTTGTCAAGAGTTCGAGAAAGACTTAAAATTATATAGACTGCTTCAAGAAATTGGAAATGAAAAAGAAAATAAGACAATCATTTTTGTTGAAACAAAACGAAAAGTAGATGATATTACTAGAAATATAAGACGTGATGGATGGCAAGCATTAAGTATTCATGGTGATAAAAATCAACAAGAAAGAGATCATGTGTTACAAGAATTTAAAAGTGGAAGAGCTCCTATTCTAGTTGCAACAGATGTGGCTGCTAGAGGTTTAGGTATGTATTTATTTTTTATATATAATATTTAAGTATCCAAAAGTCAAATAAATCTGGGAATTGGCAACACTTATCGGATTAGCCAGTGATGCGTTATTAGTAAGACCAGTGGACAGCAATGTATGTAGCGGTGTGTGATATTGGAAATGTGTAGTAGAGCCCTGAAAGTATTAGACTAGATTTTGCAACCTGTTTTCTATATGTCTTTATAATACATACTTTAACAGGTTTGTATTTTTGTATTATTAACTAAATATATAAGTTAAAGTAATGAATTATAATAATCGAATTTATAAAAAGGGTTCTATAAAAATGCACACAAGCTACAAGTAAGACTGTCTGCTTTTCTTTTTCAGAGGCACAGTGTACCCTAAGTGAATGCGGTGTACTGCCGGTATTGGGCAGACACAGTGAATGTTTTATTTTATTTTGCTTGTATCTTATTATTAATAACTACATCAAAATCAAACTACAAATTCTCTTTTTAAAAAGCATAATTTTTAGTTATTTTCTATACAAGATATTACGAATTTATAATAATTGTTATTTTTCAAAGATGTTTATGCTGAAACATATCATTTAATATTGTTCAATAGTATTCTTATTTGTGCCCTGTGTGTTAAGCTACCAACTACCGATTGATTTGTAACTTTAAAATTAATTTTACCATTTATTTCAATTGCAAACTCTAAATATTTTTCAGTGCCTCTAACTACTAAAATTGTTATTTGATACTTAACAAGATTAATGCATTCAGGCTTAAACCCTAAAATGCTGCCTTTATCCCAAACCAGACACTACCGCTGTGTCTGTCTAATCTCTAGGCCATCTATACATTTTCATATGAAACCAACCGAATAGCCCTACTTTAAAAGTAAATGGGGCTGTTCTTGCTGATTTTACAATGGAAATTCTAAACGAAAGGTGGGTGGTTTTCAAACCTGATTTACAAATCAATTTTATTTTTAAGTAAGAACCTGAGAATTCCATTTCGAACCATTACAAACTACATAAAATATTCAGATTTTTATGTAATACAAACATATCCTGTGTATTCAAAATTGATTGCTAATCATCTTGCACATTTATTCTTAAACGTTTTATGTAATTAGTTTCCCAAGTTTGAAGATCATTCTATGAGTTTGATGGAAGAAAATAAATAATTAAACAACTGTTAAAATAAATATATATAACTGTAATTTCGTTTGTATATCTATAAACACTTTGTCACAGATGTGGATGATGTTAAATATGTAATAAATTTTGACTATCCATCATCATCAGAAGATTACATACACAGGATTGGCCGCACTGGTCGAAGAAGGCAAACTGGAACCGCTTATGCATTTTTTACAAGTCATAACATGAAACATGCTGGGGATTTAATAGAAGTATTAAAGGAGGCAGGACAAAATATAAATCCACGACTCACTGAAATGGCCGAGTTGGCAAAATCTGGAAATTATGGAAGTAGAAGTATGTTTTTATACTTTCCCTACCGAATATTTGAAAAAATTGTATAACACATATATTTTTAATATGTAAGGTGGTAAACGATTTATGGGCAGCGATAGAAATAATGGTAGAAGAGGGAATATTGATAATAGAGGAAGAGGAGGTCCTTCAAGAGGAAGAGGTGGTAGTAGTGGTCGTGGTGGAAGTTCTTATCCATCTGTTTCAAATAGTTATTCTTCAGATTATGGTAGCTATAATAATATAAAGCAAAATAATTCAGTTATTCAGAGCTCAGGATATGGTTACAGTACGCAAAGGTCCTATGGACAAAATAATTTAGCGCAAAGTTATGGAGGAGGAGATAATTATGCGAGTACTTATCAGTACAGAGGCGTAACATATTAAAATGGTATTCATAGTACTGAACAAGTGATTTTTCATTAAACAGTGTTAATACTATCATATTTGATTAAATTTTTTTAGAAGGGAGATATATTAAATTAATTAAAACTGCACAAAGAATTAGATACCAAAGACAAAATGTTGCATATTTAATGTGTGAGATAAAAGTATACCAGTCGATAATAATAATCAAAACAAGATTGGTTAGTATTATTGTATATGTATTAATTAAAAGAAACTGCAATTACAATTGCAAAATAGAATTGAACAAATAGAAAATGCTAAAACATATTTAAAATTAATCAACTAAGAACATTTATGTAGCATAATTTATTATTGCTTTAATATTTTTATTACAAAATGGAGTATTATTTTAGTTTATATATGTTGCACAAGATAGCGATTGCTGTGTTAAACAAAAAGTGTTGTTTAGTTCCTAAAAAATGAAAGCATCAACTATAATATATATATATAAATATTATTGATGTTCCATTTATTAAAAGTATATAATACAGTTAATATTTATTATCACTAATTTTAATGAATGAAATGGTTGTAATTTAATTTATGTTCAAATTTTTTAGTACATAAATGTTCTACAGACTAAGAAATAAATTTTATAAGCAATAGAAATGATATTAAGATATGTAATTAAATGTATTTGTTAAATTTTTGTGTTATATCAATTACATGAATAAAATTGTTTTCTTTTTCAGAATTAGTATATTCCTTCTATTTTTAAAACATTCGAATGTATAAAATATAGCTAAATAAACAGTATAATTGAATAATTCTTTTACTTTCCCTTATTCTCTAAAATATTTAAAAGATAATGTAAATTTTTATTTAATTTCTATATATATAAATGTATTTTTAAAATATGCGACTACGTACAAATTTGCTGTCAACTGAAAAAATTTGATTTCTGCCATCATATGTTCAATACTTTTATTTCCGTGCATATATCCCTACTCTGAGTCTCTATTTCCGGCAATACACGCAGTTATGATACTTACTAACATATTTAATAACTGTTTATAAATGTGAAAATTTAATAAAATTAATCATTTTTAAATTTATTTAAATTATAAATCTATTGTAAAAACAATAATATATATGTAGAATAATAAAGTATAAATTATAGTGAAGGAGAACTATTTCCTGGTACATCACGACGCCATGACATTTGTTTCACAGATCCCCTTCGGATCGTGAAACGAGTGTAGCGTGCTTCTGGTTCATTGTGGTCATTAGTAACGCGATTTTATCGAAATATATATTATATTTTCAAGTGAAAATAGTGAATATTGTTTAAGAATGTAAGTTACATACATTTTACATTAATATTACGTAAAATTGTTAGTTTTCTGTATATTTCTTATTGACATTTACTGTCTATGATTGAGAATGCGTTACTCCATATTGCTTTTATATTAGCGAAATTTTTACATTCATATAATATACAGATTTCTTGCAATTAACAAAAGTTAGTTGAAAATATCTAATGTATTTGAAAGTATCTAACGTTACTAAGCGTACTTATACAAAATTTAACTATAAATTTATTCTATAATCTTAAAAGTAATTTACACGTGTTTAATAAATATATTATTAGTATTTAAGTTATACAATTAAACTAATATTTAAGATATTCGATTTTTAAATAATAATAATACTAAAATAATTATTATGCTCTGTAATATAGTAATTTATTTTGTATTTATATATTTTCACTTAATTAGTTACTATTACATCTGTTATTTGAAATCAGTTAATAAACTCAATTTTTAATTATAAACAAATTTTTTATTACAGGGCTTATCGTGATCGTGAACGTGGTGATAGAAGAGGAGGCGGAGCACGTGGAGGGGGCCGTTTTGGTGGTCGAGATGGAAGTGGTGGGGGTAGTAGATTTGGTAGCAGTTCAAATAGAGATGGTAATAGCTTTGGTAACTTCAAAAATCGACAACCTGGTGAACGTCTACGAAAACCAAGATGGGACATGGCCACATTGCAACCATTTAGGAAAGACTTTTATCAGCCTCATCCTAATGTTACAACTCGAAGTCCACATGTAGTTGAGGCTTATCGTTCAGATAAAGAGATTACTGTAAAAGGTACAAATGTACCAGGACCGAACATATTCTTTGAAGAAGGCGGATTTCCAGATTACGTTTTGAATGAAATCCGTAGACAAGGATTTGGGGAACCAACTGCAATACAAGCACAAGGCTGGCCCATTGCTTTATCTGGACGCGATATGGTTGGAATTGCACAAACAGGATCTGGAAAAACATTAGCATATATTTTACCAGCAATTGTACATATAAATCATCAACCTAGATTGAACAGAAACGATGGACCTATAGCTCTTATTTTAGCACCTACACGAGAACTTGCACAACAGATTCAGCAAGTTGCCTCAGATTTTGGGATTTCATCGCAAGTAAGAAATACTTGTATTTTTGGTGGAGCTCCGAAAGGTCCTCAAGCTCGTGACCTTGAACGTGGTGTTGAAATCTGTATAGCAACACCTGGCCGTCTTATCGATTTTCTAGAACGTGGTACAACAAATTTACGTAGGTGTACATACTTAGTACTAGACGAAGCTGATAGAATGCTTGACATGGGCTTTGAGCCACAAATTAGGAAAATTGTTGAACAAATCCGACCTGATCGACAAACCCTAATGTGGTCTGCAACATGGCCAAAGGAGGTTCGGAATCTCGCAGAAGAATTTTTAACCGATTACATACAAATTAATATTGGCTCTTTACAACTGGCAGCTAATCACAACATCCTTCAAATTGTTGATGTATGTGAAGAATATGAAAAAGAGGGTAAACTTATGAAATTGTTAGAAGAAATTTCAAACGAGCCAGAAAATAAGACAATTATTTTTGTTGAAACTAAAAGAAAAGTGGACGATATAACACGCGCAATTAATAGATATGGATGGCAAGCGATTGGCATCCATGGAGATAAGAGTCAACAGGAAAGAGACTATGTATTAAATCGTAAGTTCGAATTTAATAACATAGATTACATCTTAATATGTAAACATACTTTGCCCAATACCAGATAATTTATTTCAGAATTCCGGAATAGCAGATCTGCCATACTAGTAGCTACAGATGTTGCAGCAAGAGGATTAGGTAAGAATCTATTTACACATAAGTGGGTATGATGTAAGGGTCAGGCTGCGATGGTTATTTCACGTTTGTGAGAGTTGTAATATAGTGATGTGGCAACGGATAACGGCATGTGCCAGACTGATTGACATAGCCTTTTCTTGGTGTGAATGGAAATTATTTAAAACGAAAAATAGGCAAAGATTTTAGATCAAACAATTGATACAAACAACAATCTATGTTCAAAGTATTATATACAGTGTGTCTGAATTAGTTAGAAGCAATTAACTATTTCATAAGGATTTATAGGCTTAAAAAGATAATTTCTATAAAAGTTTTCTCATTCATAGGAGAACATTACACTGCATATACAGATTTTTTGTACGTATATCATCAGAGAATAATTTCTTTCTTAATTCAAAATAAATTAAATACTCTGTTTAAAATAATTTTTTAAGTCAAAGTTTCATTATTTCATAAATTCCAGTACTTAAAATGTTGAAAGAAAATTTTTGGGAAAGTAATAGATCATTATACTTTTTCTAATAGTAAATTCAACAAAGAGAAAATAAATAGTAATAATATTTGGTACTTCAAATGAAGCGTATAAGTAAATGTAAGAAAGTCTCGTAAATTTGTGGAAATTCATGAAATTGAAAAGTATTTAGCTATTTTGTATTTTTTATAATTGCATTAATTTTTCTACAACATAAGTATCGAGTTTTAAACATTAGTAGCTTAGGATGGATTGTATAGTAAAAGAAGTCATTTTGAAATCTCTTCTCTCACTGTAATTAAGAAAAACATTATATATGCAGTATAAAGTTCCTTTCTAAACCAAAGAACTGTATAGAATCTATTTTTTTTGTGCCTTTAACTTCTTATAAAATATTTAACTATTTTCAAATCGTTCAGATACACCATATAATATTTTCATTTGTTTTCATTAATTCTATATCTATGGAGTTCAATAATGTACCGTACAAAGAATATAGAGAAATTAATCTTACTATTCTCAACTTTTCAGCGTATAATACTGAAAGGATAATTTGTGATTTGTTCAATTCCACCATACTTCAGGCGGATTTTGACATACTTTTACATTATTAGAATATTACACCTGACCTTCGATTTACGCGAAAATCCGTTCCACGTGGTTTCGTTTTACGCAAATGAAAATCGCATAAATAGAGTCTGTCGGTACAAGAGGAAACAAAATATTGGAACGAAAAGTTGATATAAGTTTTAGAAATAAATATTTACTCCGCATAGCTGAACAAGAGAAATAATGATAATGACATTTCAGGAGAGAAAAGTACATTTTATTCGGTGTTACTAAATTCAGATCGCACATGAAGACTACTGTGTAAATAGTGTTCTAATTTACCGCGTAAAAAAGACTCGCGTAAATTGAGAGCCGAGTGTGTATGAATTTATAATATCTTTTCGATAAAACTTCATTATAGTTTAATATAATACTAACTTCAATTATGTACTGTATATTGAGAAAATATCGATTAACGCTTTGCTGCTAAAATTAAATTATTATACTTGTATCGATATCAGATTCAAAAGTAAGTCAAAATATTTCAGCAGTCTTATTTAGTTTAGGTAAACAGGTAAGATTGTAGGAGGTTCACCATTTTAAATTTTGCTCTGATTGAAAAAAGTCTTGTCAGTCTGGTATTAACGTGCTGTTCTATGTGTTTTCAGAGGCACATGCGACGGAGTTTTATCAATGATAAGAACTCTGGAGAGCTTGCTTTGGAATATATAATTGAATGGGACGTGACTGCTGGTCTCTGTCCCCGCGCAACAAGCTAACCTAACGCTGTGCCTCGGCCCACCGTGCCACTTGAAAAAACACACTCTCACTCTGTACCTGCGACGGTCCAAAGTATGGAAGTCATAGTGTTAGGGCATCTAGCATACAAGGACTACTGAACAGGATAGATATATTTTACCACTCTCTTAGATTAAAAGGATAGGGAATGGCATTACATTGTTTTGCAGTGGTTGTGAAATTACATTCCTCTGTAAATGTCAACAAAGTTTGATCTGTATATATATATATCCACGCGAACAATCTAATAGAATTTTTAACAACTTGTTACAACATTTTTACGATATAATGGTAGACTTTCATAAAAATTTGTAAACTCTCAACATTGCAAAACAATCGTTGATGTTACTCGTGCAATGGAATGCATGTGGGGTTGATCGGAAAGTGCACATGGTGCTCGTCCAATGTCCCAACCTCACCGAAGCAATGCGCAAGGACCAAATTTTGAAAGACCAGCACAGATCCATACTTTGGTGCGGGAGAGAAGGGTGTGAAGTCACTAAGAGTAAATATACAGCTCGCTAACGCATAATGCGAGAATTCCATGAGAACCATCTGAGCTCTGATTCCTCTACATTTCCAAAAATGTATTTACGTTTCCAGCTTTTGGCAACAACAGGTAAATAATATGAAACTTGCTCTTTGTGGTCAATTCGTTTGTATATTGCACGTGGGAGCTACAGATGGAATTAAAATCTTAGCAAATACATAAAATATTTACAAATTATTTGCTTCAGATTTTCTGTATGTTGTGTATTTTTTTAATTCCACCTGTATCACACGTGCTAGTATAATGTCTAATGCTTTAACTAATTCGCTTTGTAAGTTAATTGAACCACAAAGACACAGATAATTTCTAATTACAATGATTATAATTCCTAATATTGTACAGATGTGGAAGATGTTAAGTTTGTGATAAATTTGGACTACCCGTCCAATTCTGAAGACTATGTACACCGTATTGGACGTACAGGACGGTCACAGCGTACAGGAACTGCGTACGCATTTTTCACGCCAGGAAACGCACATAAGGCTAGTGACTTAATTCAAGTCTTAGAAGAAGCAAAACAAGTCGTAAACCCTAAACTTTATGAGCTATCAAGAAACCCAGGAATTTATAAGAGTATGTCTTCAACTTAATTCCGATTAATTAAGTTAGTTGTTTAAATATAACTAATTCTTTATATCGTAATATTGTTTTCGCAGGAGGACGTTATGGAGGACGTAGCGGAGGTGGCAGTGGTCGCGGTTCCGGAGGCCGTGGAGGTGGTCCTCGAGGATCGCGTGGCGGTCGTGATGGTGGAGATAGGGCTGGCAGATTTGATCGCTCTAGCGGTGGCGGTGGTGGGGGCGGAGATAGAGGAAAATGGAATGGAAATACTAGCAGTATGGCTTCAAACAAGAATTGTAATATATCCGAGTTAGTGAAATTATCTTACAAGTTAATGTGTGTCTAAATATTTGTTATTTCTTTCTTAGGTGGTATAGGAGGGGGCAATTACAGTAGTAAAGTATTTTCTCAAAATAGTTATGGTGGACTTTCTAGTGGCGGTTCTAGCGGTTATCAAAATGGCAGTGGATATGGAGGAAGTGGAGGTGGAGGTGGAAGTAATTATAGGCAACAAAATGGTTATTAATTTCAAAATAAGTAATTCCAAAAAAGATTTATGTAATATAGTAAAAATGTGAAAAGGGAGAATAGTTCTATCTGAACAAGAACATGTTTTCCGTTAATATGCTTCTTATCGAGACTGGACACAAAGCAAAATGAATGCGGTATTATTACCGTTTGAAACCAAAACGTCAGATATTAGGGCGTTCCAATTATGTCAAGTCAAGGACATCTAGCATTCTTTTTTTTTTAGTAAAAATAAATGTAAGTGTAATAGAAGGTAAATCATTGATGATCTTCAACTTGTGACTCCTACACAGTTTACAATACTTCATACATGCCTATTCCCTATAAATTTTAATGTATATTGGAACAAAAAAGAAGTTTGTAAAATCTAAATGCAAAATGTAGCAGTATTTATTTCCTAAAATATTTTTTATTTTTTTAATTTATGATTTCTTGTAAGTAAAGAGATTGAGCTTTGCGAAAACAAATATATGACGTTTGATAGCATGCGTTGTCGCTATCCTTCTGAAGATAATGAACATCACTCAACTGATAATTTTTTATTTTGATGATGCACGGATCAATTGTATTACTTGAAAACGTACAATACATTACACTGTAGTTAATTTAAAAGCGCATGAAATCTCAGCGCACTGTAGTATTAGAAATTTAATAAAACAATATGAGTATGAAATCTAAAAAATTATATATTAAATTTTATTTCCATATTATTCTTTCCTCTCATGGAAGCTAAAATACTTTATCAAATTTCTAATGCACGTAAGAAATGTGTTTATAATATTTTGTCTTAACATAATCATTTTCAAGAGTTATAACTTATATATGTAAATTTCATAAAATATAATACATGAAATAATAATAGCAGATTATATCTAATACGATGTTGTAAAAAATATTTATCCCATATAATTATTTTAATTGTATCAATTTTGTTATCAGTGATTTTGATATCAGTGATAATAATTACGTAATATATGTAATAAGTAATTTGATATACGTGCTGATATAAATAATCAGTGCTATGTTTCACAGAAAAGTACCTTTTTTATTTTCTATGCAGTATTCGTCAGTCATACGATTAGGTCAGTGTTTATTGATTCATTCCAATATATAGTCGTTCTTTATAGCTACATTTCCGTAGTATTATTAACGTCCTCATAACTGCCAATTATGCGTGTCTGTTCGATTGTTTTTGCAATAGCAGAATTTATAAAATAATGTCATTTGTCATTCTCTACGATGTTCAACATTTAATAGTATGTGTATCTTATGTGATTATAATCTCGTGAATACATTTTTCGTCATCAGTCGAAACAATTGAAGTTTTAGGTCAGGATATGAAAAGCAAAGTATTATTGTCTTAGTGACGCAATAAACATTGTAGTTTGAAATTGTCCTAATATTTTTATATTGTACAATGGTTAATAAATAACGAAGTATTTCATTTTAATTGTGCTAATATTACATTGTATTATTGTGTATTATTGCTTTGTAGTTAGTATGCATTTATAAAATTAAATATATGTATACGATATAATCGATTAAATTTGTATTTGATGAATAAAGAGAAATCATTCTGTGAATAAACTACAGAGGAATTGAAACTTATTTTCTCAATAATTTATTTTTACTCGTAAAATGAATGGCAATAATAAATATCATTGTAATGTTGTGAGCAACATTGAAGGTATCAAAAGTAGGTACATTCTTTGAAAAATCAGTTGATGGTTATAAGCATGCGTGATTATTCAAGTGCAAATATAAAAAGTAGAGGGAGGCATGAGTTGATTAAAATTGTATGATGCGCGAATCGACGCGCGCAGTTTGTTCCAAGCTCTGGTGGGTGTAGTGTACTTCTTGGTTATCAACTATTATTTGCTAAACGGGAATTTGTTTCTACTGCAAAATATCGCTAATTCTTTCATTATGACAGAAAATCGGAAGGAAGTAAGAGTATGGTGCGATGGATGGTAAGTTTTTACGAAATTAATTTATTGTTCATTCATGTTGACTTTTACGTGCATAAATTGTCGAATGACTGTGTCATTTTTTGATAATAACTGCGTATCATTAATGTCTCTATAAGGTGTACTTTTATAAATCGATGCAAACGACTGTTTCAGTAATAACTATATTCATTATATAGTTATGTTAATACATTTTATTTAAGTAAACGGTATCTTTTACTTTATTTCTTTTTCCTTGAATCCTGATATATATTATTGTGGCCTTAAGATGTATTTATTGAATTTTTACTATGACGTACCATCAATAAAAGTGAACTTTCTTACCGCGCAATTATTGTCAAGTTATTACCGGCACAAATTGATGTTGATCATAAGATTAATATGTTCTATGAAGATTTAGAAATGATTACTTTCTTAATACAGTTATGACATGGTACACTTCGGTCACGCAAATTCTTTGCGACAAGCGAAGGCGTTAGGTGATTATTTAGTTGTGGGTATACATACGGACGAAGAAATTACTAAACACAAAGGACCACCAGTATTTATGGAAGAGGAGAGGTATGCTTCTGTTAAGGCAGTGATTCTGAATTTTGAATTCGATTACAAGAGTTTTTTTTATCTTTTTATTGTAGTTGCTTACAGTATTACTACAAAAGATTATTTAGATGTTTTTAGGGTAATTTTTAGAATTTCTTATTTCTCTTGTAATACATTTTTCATGTTAGGTATAAAATGGTTCGTGGTATTAAGTGGGTAGATGAAGTTGTAAAAGGTGCACCTTATGTTACAACATTGGATACATTAGATAAATACAACTGTGATTTTTGTGTTCATGGCGATGACATTACTATGACAGCAGATGGTATAGATACGTATCATTTAGTTAAAGCAGCAGGTCGTTACAGGTATATTTTAAATGATAAATTATTATAAGGATATATACATTATGTTATAATAGATTATAAAGAACAACTTCTAAGAAATACATAATTATTATAGAGAGGTTCAAAGAACTGCTGGTGTTTCAACAACTGATTTAGTAGGGCGTATGCTTCTAATGACCCGGCAACATTTCAAACAAGGAGATAGTGAATATAGCGTTGACAGAGAACCTAGTAAAAGTATGGGTCAAGATAGATCAGCTAGAAGTCCTTGGACAGGCTGCTCACAATTTTTACCTACTACACAGAAGATTATTCAGTTTAGTGATGGAAAGAGTCCACAACCTGGAGATAAAATTGTTTACGTAGCAGGAGCATTTGATCTCTTTCATGTTGGTCATTTAGATTTTTTAGAGGTTGCAAAGAAAGAAGGTGATTATCTCATAGTTGGACTACATACAGATCCAGTAGTTAATCGGTACAAGTGTGGTAATCATCCAATTATGAATCTTCATGAAAGAGTACTTAGCGTTCTAGCATGCAAGGTAAAAAATTAAATTATTCCTTTAAGAGTTTAATCAAATAATTGGACCAAAGTTTATTTAATACTTGTCGTCTTGTTGATTCATAGTATGTTAATGAAGTAGTAATTGGGGCACCATATGAAGTTACAAAAGATCTGATGGAACATTTTGATGTTTCTGTTGTTTGCCATGGTCAAACTCCTATAATGCCTTGTGAAGATGGTTCTGATCCATATGCTGAGCCTAAGAGGCAAAATAAATTTAAATTATTGGATAGCGGTAATGATATGACAACAGAAAAAATAGTTGAACGCATCATATTTCACAGGTATATCAGTTTTACATATTTCATCCTGTGCATGATTGAAAATATTTCACCAGTAGTTATTAGGATACTTCGCTCAGTCTAGAATTAAAGTTACATGCTGTATAAAAGCTTAATAATATTCATTATATTATTAGTTAATTATAAAATTTTTGAGACAATACAGATTTTTATATTTCGAATTTTTGTATGTGATTTGTATCACATAAAATATACTGTATACAGTATTTTATGTCCCTAGGTCAAAAGAACTACATAGGGTAATTAAGAACTTGATCAACTTGAACCATTGACCTGCTGAATCTTGCCATTTTGCATTTTGTAATTTCTCACTCAGCTTACAGTAAACACCTTTTTTCTTACTTTGTTTTATATCTCTTTTTTTTTATCATTCATCTATTCATGCTTTTCTATTGGGATATGCAATTTTATGCTAAAAAAAACCACCTCATTGACTTACTCCATAAAGCTACAATTTGCTTAATATACTGATAAGATTTGAAAATGTTTGCATATCCCAAGTTATGTAAACAGACTTATCATGTTTTGATATAGTGCTTAATTACAGATTGGAATTTGAGGACAGAAATTTAAGAAAGGAGAAGAAAGAATTAGCAGCATATGAAGCATTAGAGAAATCTCAGAAAAAAGAAAGGACTGACTAACTAACTCTAAATATTGAGAGTATGCGATAATAACTATTTTATGGGAGATGATTGTAAATACAATATTATACTGATATTTAACTTATTTACTTGCGTTTAAAAATATATGTGGCTTGCATATTTAGGATGACTGTAGATAGTTCAAGTATTATTACATAACTGTTAGTTTTCATTTTCTGCAATTCAACGAAAAAAAATACAACGACAAAAGTGCACAAATAATTGTGCATATCTATACATTTTTATATTTTGAATGGAAAAAAACAGATCAAAATATTTCATATTATTATTAGACTGTAGAGTATACATTTAAATTATTTCTGAATGTGCAATTATATAAAACATTTAATAATTATTACGAAAGATTTTATTTTAATTTTTATTTGGAATAGT